TTCACGTAGCCCGTTTGGTTGGCTTGGCTGGGGGGTTCGGGTGGCGGATTCTGATTTGACGGCGGGGGGAGGCAAGGAGGATTGCTCAAGGAAAAGGGCTTGGGCGTTGCCTTCCCCGCAAGAAAGGTGGTGACGAAGACGATGGCTGAGGAGGGAAGGGAGTGAGGAAGCCATTAAGTAACGGGATCGAGCAGTTACGGGGTTTTGCTATATATACTGGCTGGTTCGCAAATTTGCCCTGGGTTTTGAACTTTCTTTTCATTTAGGCCCTGTGACTTTTTTCTCACTTTGACTTCATCTGGACGGCTGGGATTTCATCTCCTCCGGCGTGAATTGATTGATCTTGCAGAGCTCGACATACCTTAATCTTTGTGCTCGAGGCTACCGCACCCTTGGCTCGCCGCGTCATCGCATCCTCGATAGTTGGGATATTGGAATAAGATTCAAAAGAAGAATTCAGAGACCGCAATCATGGCAGGGTGGGATGCTTGTAAGATATCCCCTATCCCCATCATCGTCTTGGCTTCATGATACGGATTGCTCACCATCTTTTTTTTTCTGCAGGGAACCCCTTCTCGAGGAGGGAGACACACAGCCATGGCTCTGTCCTCACATACAAAATCTTCGTGCTGCTGACCTGGCTGGCGTCGGTCATTGTCAGCGTATACTACTCGGCGGGCGTGCATCACCAAAAGGTCAACTTCCACCAGACCATCTGGTTCCTGAATGACCACTACCGCACCGCCTTTACCATGAACCATGTCCTCGCCGAGGTCTACTGGTAAATATTCGCCTGGATTCCTGAGGATTTCGATGTTTTCTAACAAAATGCAACAGGGTCGTGCTCTTCATCCTCCAATTCGGATATGCCACCTCGCTCTTCTCCAGCAACGCCGACGTCGTCCACGCCGCCGCCAGCGTCGGCAGCCACTTCATCTTCAACAACATCCTCCACGTCATCTTTGTGCTGCTCTTCGTCAACAGGCACTTTGCCATTGCCGAGGTCATCCTGATCCTCAACTTTGCCAACCTCAGCTCGCTGTACTTCCGCCACAACACCACTCCGCGCTTCATCCATGTGCCCGTTGCCTCGGGCCCGTTGGCATGGACCTTTGTGGCCATTTACTGGAACGGCGCCATCATGGTGCCGCACCCGGCCAGCCTGGTGGCCAGAATCTTTGGCAACGTTTTCATCTGGTCCATCTTGGTCTATGGACTGTTCTTCATCACTGCTTACAGTGTAAGTCGATTATTTCTTCTTCGATTGCCATTGCCAAAACAGGCAGCTAATAATCATCGTGCAATTTAGGACTACACCATGGGCTTCGCTCTCAGCGTCCTGTCCGCCGCAATTGGTGTCGCCCAGTTCAAGCGACAGGTCATTGCGTTCCAGTGGATCTTCGCCTTTGTCATCATGTCTGTTCTCTTCGTGCTGACCATCGCCATTGCCGCCCCGCGCGCAGCCGGTAGAGACGCCAGATGGAGGCGCGTCACCTCTGCAGACCAGGAACGTGCACCGCTCCTCAACGAGTCTGCCGCCTAAAGCAGGGAACACAAACCACAGCCATGAATTCTCTCCACTACCGCATCGTCGTATCGCAGCCATAGGCCGGATCACAAATTGGTCCGAGGCGGTGAGAGGAGGAGAATGGCGTTCTAGGCCGCTCATGTTTCACATTTCACAGCAGACAGTTCACCCGAAAGCCTGTTTGCGGGTGGGAAAAAGTACAACCCTGGTGCTTCATCATGAATGTATGACGTAGGGGAGAGTAACACTACAGATTTCTGCGAATCGGATTCTTTCTGCGGGAGTTATAGGGTCAAGTTTGCTATGATATTGATGTTGAGATTGAGAGATTGGTAGTTAATTTCATTGCTTCGCTTTTCAGCTTACACATAGGCATTTGGGTAGTAGAATCTTTCATCCATCTCGAGGCTCTTTTTAAAATTATTCTCCGTACGCATAGCGTAACGTCTTTTAACGTTTTCGATGCATGCATAGCTTGTAGATTTCCCAGATTAGCTCCGATTGCGTTGCATCATGGACCATTTCTTCCGCGCCGCAGGTGATTCGCTGCTCGCAAAGGTCCCCTGCTGGTGAGCATGAGCTTGGCTTGACGGCTCGATGACGTCGACGGTGTCCCGTGTACCGCTTTGGCCACTGGTATCGATAAGCCTAGCATCAGATCAGCCCACCCCACGGCGTGGCTGTAACAGAACGCAGGGCACAGCATTATCTGATACAATTCAATATCCGTTGTGCTTCTAATATTAGCCATCATCGCATCTTCTTATCATCTCGTCCATGCGGCGGCACAGCAGATGAAGCCTCTCCGGCCGTTTCCATTCCCGCTCAACATTGGGACGGACATCTGCCAGATATCTCGCATCTATGGCATCCTGAAGAGTCCGCGGGGCCTGCGGTTTGTGAACCGAATCCTATCGCCAGAGGAGCAGGCCAATAAAGACCCGAGGCTGCGATGTCTTGAAGACCGCCCTATTGTTAAGGCTTTCCAAGCCGATGAGCTTTACCCTTTTGAAAAGAATAAAGGAGGGGGCCCTTCGATTAGCGAGGAGATGGCTCGTCAGGACCCAGATGTGTGGACGGCCGCTGCGTTTGTGGCAGGCAGGTAAGTACCTAAGCAAGCAGAGCAAAGAGCTTTATGATAGGATCAAATTAAGCACGGATATGAGAGAAAAAATCCCTAAGCTTGCATGTTGTTCATTTAGATTTGCTGCGAAAGAAGCGGCCATCAAGGCCCATTCGCATCGTCGGCTCACGTTCCATGACGTGGTGATTGAACGCCGCGGCAGAAAGGAGGAGCGTCTCGGGAGCGGACCGCCGGTGGCGCGGATCAAGGGCGAGGGCGAGGCGGATGCGGATGTGAGTGCCATGATTTCGATTAGCCATGATGGGGACTATGCGACGGCGGTTTGTATGGCGCATGATCCGAGTGTTGTGGCGGAGGAGGGTGAGGAGGATGATATTGTGAGGAGGTGGAATATGGGCGAGATTTGCTGAGGCATCATTAAAGATTTAAGGAAAAATTCGAAAATAGAAGAAGATTTCAGTTTCCTACTTGTTTATGATGTTTTAAACCCCGTAAAGCAAAAAATTGAAAGTAATTGGTTTTTGGAAGTAAAGATACAAAAAGCAAAAAGCAAAAAGCAAATTGAGCAACTCAATCACTCGACGTACCAGGGACTCGAACCCTGAGCCTCAGACTTAGGAGGTCTGCGCGCTACCATTGCGCCAGCACGCCTGCTGTCGGTTCGATGTTTCGACCAATCGCGTCTAATGGAGTGCGCGATTTTAAATTAACTTATATACTACTAATCGTAATTGCTCTCTTTCTGTCAATGGGCTCAATCTTTGGAAAGTGAATGATGATGGAGAAGAGCTCTATGACATGTATCTTGTAGGAATGAGTGCTTGTAAAATACAGGGATGAAGAATTGTTGGCTGAAGGAAGGCGGCATGCTGTGGCAATTACCCATGGCTCCTGCCTCAATGGATGTAGTGACAATAAGGCACACTTTTCACCCATATTATCTTCCCTCTTAGTAATAAACCTGTATGATCAATTCTATGTTCTCAATCATCTCTGTGAATGCGTTTGTGCCATCATTATATCATTTCAAATAACGCAACTGCCTTCACATCAATATTGGCTTGCTTGTTCAGCATCTTCAAAATGCACAGATTTCAATCATGCTCCTTGTAGCCAAGCCGGAATCCATTCACAATGATCCACCTCCGGGGGAGCAGAATGAGGCTTAGATCCTGGCATGGCAGCCCTCTTCTTCTCTCCATAAAGCAGCTAGGCTAATAAAGCATACAGGCTACTTGATCAACGGGTATCATTCCCGACGCATCGAAGCATATATATCGCGCGCAGCGACTTGAGAGGTGCGTTACTTGTTGGGCAACAGGCTCGGGCTCGTGATCGCACAGATGACTCACCTGGTGAATAAGCTCCTCACTCATTGGGCCGTGAACCTGGGTTTTTAGAAAGGAGGGTTACTTTTCGGCGCGTTAGCTACCGAGCACGCGATAGCGACCTAGTTGGACGACATGGCTGGTTACGGGCTAGCTAACCGCTCAATTCAGGAACAGCACGTACAGAACCAGGTTCGTACCGACCAGAATGCAGTCTACCGTCAATTCAAGCTGCAAATGCAAAGTACCTATACAGGAGCCGAATCCTGCTTGATGCCGACATGCTGGCTATTACTAGTAATTAGGGCATTGGCACTCTGGTCGACATATTTCTTCCTACGAGTTCACAATTCAGATTTCGCAAGAGGTTGCCGCCTAATGGATGGGCATATGACATGCAATTGAACCACACCAAGCGCGCTTTAGCAAAGCCGTCGGTCCAAGGGCCTCCGGTAGCAGCTACGCCAGTGCCGTTTGAGCCGTGCCTAGGAGGGCCGGCGCCGGTTCCTTGTCGTTATCATGGCTATCTCAACCAATTCGATGTCATAAGGCTGGGTAGAGCAGACGGGCATGCCTACTTCACAATCCTTATTATTCGCCTATATCGAATCCTTCTTTGCTTATATGATCGATCCGTTCATACTCATGCTTCAATAGCCGTACAGGTATTTAAAGAGACTCACTGCTGCATATTCGAGTATGGTCTCTTCGTGAGACTCATTGACCGCTCATGGACGCATGGGTCGAATGCTCCCTTCCTTTGTAAGACCAGACATTCACCTTTTCTGTCCCAAACAATCGGTGAGAGTTGCAAAGGCTGGCTTCTCATAGGCCGCCCCTTATACAGCACTTGCTGCCCTTGAGATACGCGGCATACAAAGCCCACTAGCACACCAACGCATCCCCGTATCAGTCATTGTGGGGAGTTCTAGCGCAGGGATTTTTGCAGCCGCGGCGTGTTCGCCAGGGATTCCAACGCCCTTTCAGCGCCGAGCGGGACTTACCAGGCCTGGGATTCGGCAGCGACTCGGCGGGCTCGGTGGTGGTTGGTAGCCTATTCATGTGGCCCACACGCGCTTTGTGCTACATCACGATTCAATCAAAACCAAGCATTTCGTCGTTACTCTATCCTTTTCATCCTCACATATTCAATCTTTATTTACTCCCTCCTCTGCCTACTCTCCAGCGAGGGCAGATTTCGGATGCCGGCATCATGGATGTCGTTCTATCCCGCCTCAGCACACAGTTGCTCTCCCCACTGAGCACAGATGAGCTGCTATTTCGGGAACCTCCAGCGTCTCTCAGCAGGTATGTTACCTACTCCTCATGCATTCTGTTATCTGGGGTACACCGGCGTGCCATTCTCGTATCATGTTTGATCGACTCCCCTTCTCCCTGCCGATATTGAAAGTCCCCTTTTTGGCTGACGAGAATCTACATCTTTTAGCCTCCGCATTGATAATTCCGAGACTGAATGGATAGCTCGAGTTTCCGAATTTGCTCGTTCTGGTATTCTTCAGGGTGCGCTTCTCGCTACATCAGCAGCTTGGCTGACATTTCGTCTTGTTCGGCATCGCAAGAGCACCGTTCCAGCCAGTAGAGCAAAGGCTTCATCCATCAAATGGCCCTACGAAATTGCGTCGCAGGCCTCGCGCATTGCCTCGCTAGTCTTTTTGACCTTGGCTTTCATCCAGGGGCGTGTGCATTTGCTTAACGTAGTTGTCGTTGCCTACGCCTTTGTTCTCGGCTTGTTACGCCCCATCAATGATCTCAATTGGCGCCATGTAGCTCTCCATCAAATCAATTACGTCCTGACCGCCACGTTCTTCGTCTTAGTGGCCGCGCAGCTGCTCCCTTGTATTCAAGTCGAAACGGACCAATGTATTACAACCACCAGCGTTATCGGCTCCCTATCTTCACTTGCTGCAGCAATGCTTATCGCCTTGGCCACTCCCAGAGAGTGGGTTCCGCCAGTAATCAAGCATGACTTCCCAGGCTACGCAGAAGATAATGAGCCTGCACCCGAAGAGACCTGCAGCTGGCTCAACTATTACTTCACCTATGAATGGCTGACACCTCTCGTGTGGAAGGGCACTAGGCAAAAACTTGACATGTCTGGTATCCCGACACTAGCTTGGTACGACGAGCCCCTGTACTTACTCCAAAAGATCCAGAAAGCTCGATCACTAGCCGGGAAGACGTTGTGGACGGCCCTGCGTTTTCAGCGCAAAGAGTTGCTGTTGATGGGCTTCTGGGCAAGCGCTGCTTTTACCATGGAGAACGTCTCTCCGTACGGCATGTTTCGGCTTTTGGATTACATCTCCAACCCTGACAACGCAAGCTACCACCCCTGGGTATGGCTCATTCTCACATTTACTGGTCCCTTGTCACGATCAGTCCTATTCCAGCAGTACGTCTTTAACTCGACTAGATTGATTGTCCGAGTCAAATCTGCCATGACCCAAGAACTGTATCACAGGGCCTTGGGGTCAATGGAACTGGAGGAAGATCCATTCGATCTCAAGGGGGGAAGTGCTAACAAGGGGAAAGAGGGCCAAAACACCCAAAAATCAACATCTGCTGGTCGCCTGGCCAATCTGATGGCTGCCGACGTGGACGCTGTATTTCGAGCACGAGATGTAATTTTGGTTACTACAGGTGTTCCCGCCGGAACAATCATCTCTCTCTTTGGTCTGTATAGAATGATGGGTTGGGTGTCCCTTGTTGGTACCGCCGTGCTGCTGCTCGCAACCCCCTTATCCATATATATGGGTAGGATGATGTATGGTGCGCAAAGACGAGTGAGAAAAGCCCAAGATACACGTATCTCTCTTGTTGCCGAGTATCTAGCTTCTATCCGTGCCATCAAGTACTTTGCTTGGGAGGATCCCTCCACAGACCGAATTATTGCGTCCAGGGCAGCGGAACAAAAAGAGCTGTGGCGCGTGGCCGTTTTGCAGACCTTGGTTAACCAAGTCACGCAGATTTTCCCATATATCGGTCTGATAGTGATGCTTGGTCTGCACGTTGGAGTAGAAAAGCATCGTCTCGATGCTTCCACTGCGTTTACTGCTGCCTTTCTCGTGAAGAATATCCGTAGAAACATCATGATGGCCAGCGCCTTTTCAAGAAACTTTGCCGCCGCGAGCGTCGCCTTTAACCGACTGGACACATATTTCGAGAACACTACGCCTCTCATTCGATATCCGGTAGGGCCATTGAGGATTGAAGGCGCTTCATTCCGCCGGAATAAAAAGGCAACCTTCCACCTGGAAGATATCTCACTAGACTTTGTCGAAGGCGGCCTCAACGTCGTCACTGGCCAGAGCGGGAGTGGCAAGAGCACACTCTTACTCGCAATCCTTGGCGAAACTCATCTAGAAGGCGGAAAAGTCACAGCACCTAGCGATATTGCGTTCGCTTCCCAGTCCGCTTGGCTTCAGAACGAAACCATCCAAGCCAATATCCTCTTCCAAAGCCCCATGGACCGTGCTCGGTACGACAGAATTATTGAAGCTTGCTGTCTCAACGTAGACTTCAAGGAGCTATCTGACGGCGATTTGACTGTCGTGGGCGAGAATGGTACTTCACTGTCTGGAGGCCAAAAGGCTAGAGTTGCGCTGGCAAGAGCTTTGTACTCCCAAGCATCTCTACTGCTCCTAGATGACATCTTTTCTGCTCTCGACGCAAAGACTTCGGCTGGCGTTTGGAAATACTGCTTCTGCAGCGATCTACTCAAAGGCAGGACTACTGTTCTGGTCACCCAAGTCCCTTGGATTGCGTCTCAAGCAGATCTTTCCATCTTATTGGACAGAGGCCAGGTCAAGAGCGCGGAACCAAACATTGGTGTTGTTCGCCAACCAATTACAATTGCCGAAGTTTTGGGAGGAGATGACGATGACACCGAAGACGAGACTCAAGTCGGAACAGAAACCCCTCCTGAGCCAGAATTACAGGCCAATGGCGATGCCCTCAACGATCCTGCAAAGGTTGCCAACGAGGTTTCGGCAAATGACATTGTGAACCAAGAAATGAAGGCATCAGGCAGGATTGGCCGGCTTGAGGCCTTGCAGTATATGAGATACTTTGGCCATCCAATCTTTGCCATCTCCATTTTGGTTGGTCTCGCCGGCTCCAATGTCTTCTTCTTTGCCTCTAGCTACTGGATGGGTATCTGGGTTGATGCATACAACAACAATGCCCATGTAGACATTGCTTACTACATGGGTATCTACGCCCTCTTTACCTTTTCCGAAATCATTTCTTTTGGATTTGTCATTGTTGCTTTCGAATGGGGAGCGTGGCGTGCTGGTCGCAAACTTCACAATGATTTTATTCGAGCAATTATGCGCGTCCCGCTATCATGGTTCAAGACGATTCCCATCGGCCGCATTACCAATCGATTCTCTGGCGACATGGCTTCTATCGATTCTGGGCTTAGCTCTATGCTCCGAGTGACGTTTGACTCGGTCATGATGCTGTTTGCTCGTATCGCTGCGGTCAGCTCGATTATGCCAATCTTCATGCTGCCAGCCCTCATCACCTGCTTTTTTGGCGTCGTGATTGGCGAGATGTACACACGTACGGCAGTCATCATCAAGCGGCTTTCTTCATCCGCTCAGTCCCCCGTCTTCTCTCAATTTGCTGATACTCTGGCGGGCCTACCGATCATCAGGGCTAGAGCAGGTATGAGCGAGACTTTTGGTCGTGATTTAGCAGCTAAGCTGCGAGTGTGGTCAGCCGCGGCTGAGGCCAACTATAACTGCAACCGTTGGGTGGCCATGCGAGTGGATTTTGTCACTGCCTTGGTGGCCCTCGTTGCTGGCATCATCGCCCTCTCAAAGGTGGGAGTCGTCGGTGCTGGTCTGGTGGGTTTCTCCCTGAACAATGCCAACGGTCTGAGCCAAACTATTCTTATGCTGGTGCGAGCCATGAACGATCTCGAGGTAGAGATGCAGAGCTTCCATCGTGTCAAAGAGTATGTCAAGTTGGAACCTGAAGGAAAAGACGACGTGACATATCCCGAAGAAGGAGAATACGCGGATGACGATAGTCATGTAATTCCCAAGAACTGGCCACGCTCAGGCGAGATTGAGTTTCGCAATGTCACCATTAGATATGATCCGGATGGCCCCAATATTCTTACAGATGTCAATCTCAAGTTCAGGGCGGGAGAGCGTGTTGCGGTGGTAGGACGAACGGGCTCTGGTAAGAGCACTCTGGTGTTATCTCTCTTGCGATTTACCCACATTGTTTCTGGCCAAATTCTTTACGATGGCATCGATATTACAAAAGTTCCTCGACGAAAATTACGTGAAGGCCTTACAATCATCCCCCAGGAGGCGACATTGTTTAACGGAACCGTGGAATCCAATCTTGACCCTACCGGCCGCGTTCCAGAGGAGATACTCGAAAAGGCATTGGAGAATTGCAGGGGTATCGCATCCTTTTCTAGCGACGACTCTTCTGACGAGACTATTGCCGATGGTGTTGATGACCGCTCCACTCACAAACAGTCTCAGGGTATCTCCCTATCGACACAAGTAGATTCACGCGGAGAGAACTTTTCCCATGGCCAACGCCAAGTATTGTCGCTCTGCCGCGCGCTTATTCGACAAAGCAAGCTGATGCTGCTGGATGAGGCAACGGCAAGCATGGACTACGAAACGGACAAGGGTATCCAGCAAGTGCTCCGAACTGAACTTGAATCTGCGGGCAAAGACCGCACACTCGTGACGATTGCCCATCGCCTGCGAACTATTATCGATTACGACAGTGTTGTCGTCATGGGAGCTGGAAAAGTAGTTGAGTAAGTTGTGACGTCTCCTCTTGAATGTTGAGTTGTAGAGCAATTTTGCTGACTGAGTTTGTGAATAGATATGGCTCCCCTCGAGAGCTGTACCACTCTAAAGGTTTGTTTTACGACATGATATATCACAGTGGTGAGATGGAAGAATTGCAGGAGATATTAGATGATAAATAATATGATGAGTTCTTGGTGTATATAGAAACTTTTTTTCTCAAAGGCGGTTTTGCGGATGGCATTGGATGAATGAACCTGCCTGACATAGTGGCGAGCATGGAGATGTTTTGTTTTCTAAGCTTAAAAGGGGAGACATGGAAATGGAAGCATGTAGCAGATTTTTTCCTTTTGCTTTTAAACAATAAATCATACGAATAGTTGCCGCATCAAGCACGACTCTCATTATCTTACTATTGTCTGTTTCTCTGTTCATTCCATGCTCTGTTGTAACCTAAGAGGCTCGGTTTATACAACCAAGCTGTCGGAATCCGAGGCCCCACTAACCAATCCACTAACATGCACGCCAATCTCCACTCTCCACTCACCTTGGGAAAAAGCCCGAAAAGTTTAGTAAAGGCAGAAAAAAAAATCTGGACGAATCTATGACTCGGTTCGAGTCAAAAAATGAAAGTTTGCTCACGGCAGGGCTTGAACCTGCGGCCTCCGCATCACTAAGATTTCAACTTGAGTTGAAGTATTAGTACGAAGCTCTAACCAACTGAGCTACGCGAGCCATCTTATTGTCGATGTTGGACGTTAGGTTAGTTATAGATCTTTGCTATCCTGTTTCCCTCCCATTCCAGAGAATGTCGAGCTGTTTGTATCATGTTGTTTGAAGCAAGAGATGTAGCCATGATTTAGAGATTATTATAGAATGTTACCAACATTAGATGATAACATAGTTTCAACATACTAGTGCCCTTGTTATGAACTGGTGCTTCCTATCATACAGACCATATTCAACCGCCGAGATAGATGGATGGGAAATCTCGTAAGCCTATCATAGCACAAGCTCACTCCAACTCTCAATCAAGTCTCCGCCGCTTATGATGCAGCTCATCCGGCCTCTCACTCACTGAGCCTCTCCGCCGGGCCGGGCCCAACACATCATGGCTCTTATCGGGAGAAGCGACAACTCCTAAGAGCAGCTTCGCATAAGCAGCCGCCGTGGCAGCGGCGTATTCTTGCCACAGTTTATTCTTGAAGGCGTCTGCGTAGTCACAGATGCCTCGGATGACAAGAGATGGGAATATGCTCATTATCCCTGCGGCTTCCATCTCAAAGCATAAAACGCCGTGTTCTTGTGCCCATTTATCACGGGTTTGAGAATTCTTAATGACATGGTTTCCGGAGGCGATGAGGCCGTAGTGAATCTCGGGATGATCTGTCGGCCGCTGACTTCTCTTTGTAACATGGTAGTCATGGTTGGCGCATTCTTCTCGGGTTTGGCATTTTGGACATGCAGCTTTGAAGAGTTGGTCGTGTTCCTGCCCCGGATGTTTATATCTCGATCTCATGGATTCGGGGACTCGAGTTATGATTTCGTCAACATATGGCTGCAAAGGATAGGAGGGAAGATCCGGATCCGATCGTAACGAACTAATAGCCGTCATTAAAGATCGGGGAGGTGGTGGAAGCGACCCAGTCAACTCGAACACATTGTTATCTTTGTCTTTACCGCGGTCGTATTGAACTACGCCAGGGTAGCCAGCCGTCGGTAGGCTCACAACAACATCTCCAAGCCGAATATCGTTGTCTTGATATGGGGCGCCGCCTCCTATGCCAACCATTAAGCAGAACTTGATGCTTGGGAAGCTTCTCCTCATATTTGAAGCAGAATCAGCCGCCGAGGTCGTTCCATATTCTGGAAGACAAGACGCAACAATCATGTGCTTCCCCATTTGCCCCAGCGCGTAGTGATTGCTATCTCCGTTTATACTTTCGAGGCTGTCGTGCTTTTTGTCGAAGAGAGCTCGCACGGCCAAAAGCTCCTTGGGCAGTGCGCAAAGTATCCCAACTGTGTATTCTTCCTGAGAATGTGCTTCGTAGATCGGTAAAGAGGTAGTTTCTAGCAAAGATGCTTCAACTTGTCTGGGGGCCGGAGACTCGTTTGATCTGTGGGCGTTTGATTGAGTAGCCCCTATTCTTGGTGAGTCCATATCAACTTCGATGCCGCTATCTTTAAAAGAATCGACATCAGATACGTTTGGCGTTGGTAATCTTCCCTCACTTGGATGACCACTGACTTTATAAATCCAGGAAAAGCTCGAATTGTGACCAAAGATTATGGCTCCAGGGCTTTCTAGTGGAATGCCGATCTTTCTAGGTAGTAAAAATTTGGACATGGCCGAGGGAAGTAGTGATTGTACTGGGTCACTGTGGTCTTGTCGAAGTATTCCCTTGCACCGACACGTTCCAAATAGACTCGTCGGCGTGTGCCATATGATATCCTGGCTGACTCTGACCTGATTTTCCTCATGGACATGGTTATCTTTTACCAGTTGGCTCATATCGGAAAGGCAGGCTGCAAGGTAATACTTTTCTTTTGGCATCTCCGCCCAGTATTCGCACATATCGGCGCCAGTTGATTTGATGATATCACCAAATCCGCGCCCAAATAGAGTGACCGCGTGTATAGCTCTGGTGAAATCAACCCAGCTCTTCCCGCGTGGTTCTAAAGAAGCCACTCGTGGGTAAAGCGGATCGCGGCTCATTGCTAGATCGTTGAATTCCCAGCCTTCAAGAAATCGTCGTGGTTTATCGGCCATGTTAACGCCACGCTCCCCGGCAATATCTGCTTGATGATCGATGAGTTTCTCTAAAATATTATAAAAATATTCAATTCTGCTCTCTAGCAACAGAAATCCGTTTTTCTCGCGGTACAGCTTGAGCGCCAAGTTTTTGGGGTTGATGAGCATATCAATAGCTGAGTCCGCCGTGAGTGGTTTTGCCGACTCATGAAAGCTGCTCTCCCGGAAGATGAACGCAAAGTTGAATTTATCCGTGTTGCTATATGCCAGTGATGCTCTTACTATGTGTAGCAAGGCACTGGTACCGTTGACGAGCCAGCCACGTTTCTCGCTCTCGTCCCAGAGCAGCACATACTTGGTCGCAATCCATTGAAGCCTCGGAATAAAGCCGCTGCGAGACACATGGACGGGCGTGTCTTTAGTTCCTAAACTATATGCAGGACCGCCAACTAGGGACCGTCCAGGAGATACGTAAGTACCGGCAAGACTACAGCCTTCATGAGGTGGAGGGAGGGCGGAACTGAGAACAGAATAGTTTGCCTTTGCTGAACCTGCGGAGAGTAGGCATTAGCAAAGTCCTTTGTGACGGTTTGAAGGAAAACTCTACCGGCGTAAAAAGCGGCATCTTCGCACCAACCAAGAACATGCCGACATCGTTCTAGATCGAGACTCGTGGCATATCCCAAGCTTCTTATGGCGCTATCGAGATAGGAAATACGGCGCCCATCTTTATTGTAAAACAAGTGCCAAAATATCACGTCTCCAGTTCTTCTTGTCGGAACTAGGAGAGTGGAAAAGCCTTTGATGAAGGTCATTCCTTTAAAGCAGTCTACTCGCTGAGTTCGCGCCAGACCCGCCATGATATTGAATGGGATCTCAGCCCCCGTTCCTGTCTCGGCTCTTGCTGGAATTGGAAATCCTTTAACTACCATTGGACTGTTGAATAAGTTGTGCCAACATTTGCCGTTCAATTGGCCAAGATCTGGCTGGATCTCGTCCCGAAAACCTATCTTAAACTTGACCGTCGAGGTGAAAATAGACTTGGTAGACGGTGTTGGCTTCGTGTTGATAGCCGGAACGCTGATAAATGGACTACAGCAAGCAAGTCCTTGATCATGTAGAGGTGTGCGAAGCGCAGCGCCGAGCCAAGCAAGCTGTTCCCCAACTTCAGCCAGGGAAGTCTTGGGCCCGTAAGCCGTAACTATGACTTTCGATCCTTCAATCTCTGCGTTAAGTGTTGTTCCTGTAGATGGGTCGCCTAGAAAATATTTACTAACTATAATCAATCTCTGACTTGTGGACTTACTCGGGGTATAGCTAACCATGCTATACGCCAATTCTTTCACCATCTGCATGATTATCTCTCCGGATGATGGCCATGTCTGGTTAATATATTGCCCACATGTTGTTATAAACGAGTCTTGATAGGATCCAGTCACTGTAAGTACTCTTTCTATGGTCTCGTGCAAATCAGTAGTATACTGCTCTTTCTCCAGAAAAGCCATGACATCCCAGTCGACTTCGAATATGGCATCGTAGGTTCTAGTAGGCGTGTGGTGGCTAGTTTGGCGCGATGACTCTAGAGATTGTGTAATCAGATTACCGATTGTATCCATAAAACTCGGTTTCGATGGAACCATAAGGACTTCTTTTTTTAAACGACTGAGAAACCACTGATAACCCTCTGTTTTAGGGATAAGCTCATGGTAAGCGGCAAGCCACAAATCGGTGGCCCCCCGGACCTTTGATGGATTTGTTTCGCTGTAATCGTCCTTTGGGGAGTTGATATTGGTATTTGCTGAATTAACATCTTCAATCTGCGTATGTGTCGATAAGTTGCTCTTGTCTGTCTTTAATTGAGTTTGACTGAGATCCAAATTACTCAACCAAGCTCCAACAGTATCGTTGATCGATGTATTATCGGAGCTGGGGAAACTCTTTGCTTGAAAATTTCTTGGCTCGGACAATCTATCTTTAATAGACGTGGAGATTTGACTACTTCATTAGACATGCTTATATTGAACACCATGGCTTTAATGACTCACTGGCGATTCTCGAAAACAAAATTCATAATACTCCGGTGCATAACAGGAGTTGGCGCCTTATGGCCAATTCTGAGCGCAAAAGCCTCGAGTAGGTTTGGAAGCATAACCGAGACTCGATTGAGAACGTCTTCGCCAGCATCTAAGTCTTGGATAATTTTGACAAAAGAATCTGCCAATTCCGATATGTATATTTGGCGCTTATCAGGATTTATTTCTTCAGGCTTGTAGGCGGTCGTCCCTGAAAACTGAGACCTGTGTTTTATTGTTTTCCTATTCATCCCCCCAGAAGATTTGAATTTTGCCTGTATTCGGGGAGTTTGATAGTATGACTTGAGATAAGCGCTATAACTGTCCATAGTTGTTTTAAGCGCAGGCAGTAAATTTTCCCAGCGGTGCACCTCAATTTGTAGCTCGAGGTCACTCGGTTGGGGATGAGACAAGCTCATGATTAGCTTGAAAAAGTCTTCTGTCTCAGCCTTGACTTTAGAAACAGTTAGAGGATCAAAATCGTCCAAGGTTTGGAGAATCTGACTTTTTTCCTCGGCGCTAAGTCTGTATGGAAAAGGTTTTGTATGAAACCACGTAAGAAGCCACTCGATTAGACGAATTATATCGTGCTGAGTGAAATAATAATTGCTTGTATCGTCTCTCTTGATGCATGAGATGTAGAAGCCGCCAGGGAGCATCGCGTCTGCAGCAACGGCGTTGAAGCTGACATCTACAGCTGATTCAGATAGAAGCTTCCGAAAAGAAACTATGCGCCGAGAGTCATGCAACTCTTCAAGGGACCAATCCTTGGTCATCTCACCCAAGTCACGGTCCGCTTTCAGAGCTATTCTATCCATATTCGGCGCCTGGGACTTATTATCCTCTTTGCTATTGAAGGCTATAGAGGTTCGAGTCAAGGGCCGTGTTTCGTTGCTGAAATTCTCACCGGAACTGCGTTGGCGAGACCAATCTGTCGTAAGCTTTCTCGCTCTGAAAGGCGTACTACGCGGTTGAAACGCAGGTTCTGATTTGTCATCCTCATCGAGTTGGTAGCCGGGAGGGTATGATTCCCGCGCCCCGAATCGCGACGGCCGACGGATAATAAGAGGCTGAACCGGCCCTGAGTCATCGTCGGACGAGACATTTGAACTATTATCGGCTGATCTAGGAGAACTCGCTTTATCAACTTCAGCAGGCGGCTGTTCGGGAGATCTTGGAGATTTTGGAGACCTTGGTCCTGGAGATCCCATTGGCAATGATGAAAAAGAAAGAAGAGGGTTGGGAGAAGAGCTCTGGCCCCTCTCTGCGTTATGTTGGGACGAATCCATTTTCAAGATGCTAATTATTCGACAATTGACTTAACGACCTCAAATTTTTGAGCTCATAAATCCCACAGCTGCTAATTAAGATAAAGGGCCGTATAAACATTATACAACTTCATTAGAGGATTGTTATCTACAAGTCCCGTACTTAGGCAGCTGTTGTTGGTTGTTATAGTCGCGGATCATTATTCACCCGGCATCGACAGCCCTTCAACTCTCCAATAGGTTGCATGTTTGGTGGAATAATCTCTCTAGACGCGTTTGTTACGCATCTTTCCGATGTCTTTTTCATCTCTTCGTGCACAGTTTATTGCAATGAAGTTCCGATGTTTTAAGTACTCGTTATGAATTTGCAGCGTAAGGTGATATTTAGTAGGCTGTCTTTAGGATCCATGGCAGGCATCTCGTAACAGAAATGGGTCTATGTAAGAAAATCTCAGCGTCTACAGGAGTAGCTTTAGTGGAAGTTGTCATGCTAAAAGTTTCCAAAATGCAACGAGGAACAGAGACTGCATAGAACAATCTACTTCTCTATTGTCAGAAGTAACAAAACAAAATTTCGACGCCTTGATAAAGCCTGCCAACGATCCTGCTATTAGGGTACGCTCCGCTACCCGCTTTGTGCGGCCCGTTCCGCGACCCACACCTTGCCGTTGGTGGTCATGTTAATTGTAGAGCGAAACTTGACCTAAACAACATTAGTTCTTTATGTTGAAGAAATCATAAAACAGGATATTGGTATAAATGTCATACTCGGCTCTCTACATTGTCCTTTGGCAAAAAAGATAAGTATATCAACACACACCTGCAAAACGTTATCACCGCCACCAAATAAGGGAGAGAGAAGAAAGTAAAAGAATGTCTTCAATTTGTGAAATGATGAGATTAGTGTGCTATCTGCATTGTTTCTCATACTCTTGCTTTGCGACAGTCCACAATGAAACAGCAGCAGCCTGTATTGTCGAATTCGATTGTGCCTATGAGTACTAACGACGTTCAATCAAATTTGATAGTTCGATCGAACACTGGTAATATGTCTGCTTATTAGTTAAAATACAAAGTGTTATCCTTCAATCCTCGCAATCATAGAACTCATTCTAGGGTAGCAGTAAGGCATTGCTGAGGAATACCATGTGCCTAGGTAAAGATATCATGCTCAGGCAACAATTTACCTGGTTTGATATCAGTGGTATGTAACAGGCTACGGAAACAGCGATGAAAACAGCGCATATCGCCGTATTTTTCGTGATGGCGAGTGTTGAACCCCACCAAGTGTGAAAGTGGCTGTATTGCATCGACAACTAGATGGACTCTTTCAGTACCTGATCGATCTAACGATCCTTTCACTTAACAAATCCACAGATTTTCCAATCTCATGTAGTCATATAAAAGAGGATATAGTTAACTTTCTCATCAGTTATGTGCAAGCCGCGGCATTGAGCTCCTAGTGAGCGAGATAATCAGCATAATCACCCGAGATTGCAATTTGCATTGTATGGAAACTATATATCACGCCTCTCTTCATATGAGCACAGACCAGACTTCTCTCCAGCGTGTTGCATCCGAGAAATTCGGCACGTATGGCGGATTCTGTCACATAGCTAGAGGGTGCAAGGAGGGCACTCATGATGACAGAGTAATTGGTCGATACAGTTCTTTAGAGGACGCATGCTTCTGCCTGATTTCTATAGGTCAGACATCACCATGTCTTACTTGAAGCATGGTGGTATCCCGAAACCTGTATTCAGTGAAAGTTGAAATATTGTTGTATCCCGAGCGGCCGTGTTACTCCGGCCGGTCGCTTTGCCCGAAGCAGGGACTATTGTTGGCTCGGCCCCTCGCTTGACTCGTCCCCTGGTCGTCTCCGCACGAGCTGTTTCTTCTTGATCGTCCCTGATCGTCCCCACCACTAACTGGATGGCTGTGTCCGGCACACTCCGTCTTGGCGTGACGTCTACTAACTCTGTGTGTTTATTTTCATGGATTTGCGTGCAACTGCATCATTTATTAGCGGCTTGTCTAACTATACGTTATGAGACATTATTGACGATTGCCTTGTTTAGTTGCCATTACCGCTGGACGCCACGTCACGTCTCCCCCGCAGCGCTACTTTTGAGACAAAAGCTGAGATGCAGAGCAAGGTTGTTTGACAGGCCAGCCGGTGAGACACGGCATGGACAGATCGCTGAGACACGAGAGTCACCCTAGTGGTGCTACTGCTGCGGCGATTCTGTAGTACTGATGTAGTAATACTGAGCCGTCATCTGCGCTATCTCGTCTCCCGCAGATTGACATCCACAATCTTTGCCTTTTACTGGAGAATCCTCATCTGCTCGCTATTAGATGCAGATGCAGGTTTGCCCAAAACGGAACAGAACGGATGCAACCCTGGTGCTGCCTTCAGCCAGCCACGAGCGAGAGTTAAATCCATATTGGTATTTGATCGTCACACTCTTCAGTTCTCTGGCGTTGGTATATTCGTCATAAAATGTAAGACACGGGAAGTGTGAATGTAAACATGACAAATGCTTGCATCACAATGTCTGACTGTAGTTGTGAGAAGTTAAGCACTAACAAGCAAGCGAAAGGAATACGGCAAGAAAAATAATGAAGCTTTGTTCTCTCGAGAAGTTATGCATCCCATATATTGTGTTTCATCAGATGATCATTATGCACATGCTTATCAATGATATATTCATATGTGTACGTTTACATATATCGATTATACCGTCTTTCAAGCCTGAGCACATAGTAATACTCACTTACATAGCATCTATATGTTCGAAACTATTCCCCTTCTATTCATTTATACTAGGACTATTTGTGCCTCTGAATGATCTAGATCAACCCTTTTATGTAAAATGTCTAGGTAGCTGCCAAGGTTTCACTACGAACATTTGACGTTAAACTCTGAGCATGTAGCCGTGATGTAATATGCGATATCACATTAAACAATCTCATGAATAGGCAAGGTCATTGCCGCCACTTGCTTGTCTTAGCCGTATTGGCTTTTCCGTATACGTACAGATATGTCAAGCCAGAGAAGTATATAAGCTCCCAATGCTTTACATCTTGCTGTCATTAGAAAAGCTCATTATCAATCTTACATCGTTGCAACTCGACTCACACTATATTGTTTATTCAAATCATTACACCATCATGAAGTTCTTGTTTGTTCTTCTTCTCACTGCATCTACCGCGTATGGCTGCGGAAACAACGCATACAGATGCAAACACCCTGACAAGACAGTCAACGAGATGTGGAAGGTGACGCACAGAATCTGCGATGATTTGAAAGAAGATGACTGTTATTGTTCCCACTGGGCTGAATACTACTGTGATCCCTGGGGCGATAATATCAACGAGTTCAAGCGCAGATGCAATAATGAGGGCGAGAACTGGTACTGGACGGAATGTTAAAGCAAGGTAGGGCCAATATCGACATTGGTAGCGCAGAGTACACTTTAGATATTAACGTTGTTTTCTTTAGTCTTATAATCGAGATTGTGCGAGTATTTGGCGCTGCTGTCAATGCATGAGCACATCGTTTTGATACCTTATTTCTACGGGCTACACTGCACTCTTGGTCTGCTGTTGGATGTATGAATGAAAGGCAGCTTAGCAGACTCGTACATAGATTTATGGTTACTGTCCGCTTACTCAAATCAATATACAATCAATTCTGCTAATCTCGCTAATTGCCTTGCCTCTCTCAACGTTGATGCATGCCTGGTATACAGTAATGATTGCATTGTATATAGCTTCTGCGGACTTGACAACTCACAACAATTGTATCTTTCGATCATTCCAAACACAAGACTTACAGTGCTACTCTCTTGAACACCTTTCGTACCGCCAATACCTAGCTATTCTTGGGCCATCTTTCGGCACTGGCTCTGGCATGAGATCATTTCAGCAGCTTTGAGAGGCATGTGATCCGTTTTGTACGGGAGCAGATATCACCAACTATAATACTTCATCAAGATATGAGTGGCCTCAGCCCAGAAACTTGTATTGGGCTAGTTAGACTCGCCGTCTAAAAGTCTTGCATAAACTAACACGTAATGCACTCAAGACTACCAAGTACAGCAGAAAACTTTGCATAGACTCTTCACAACTCTCCTTTGTCGTCCGATCCCCACTTGCAAAAGCTGATGTGTAGCAAGACCCCATACGCCACCCAGCCCCCTCCATCCCAGCCATTGTAGCAGCTATCAACTATCTCCGCATAGGCCGACTTGCAAGCCGCCTTGGAGGAGAAGGATCCAATCATTCCGATATTGGCAGTGTGTCCGCTGCTGTCTGCAAAATTCGACCAAGTGCCGGATACATCTTCCCAATGAGTGGCACAAAAGTCATCTCCGTGCTGAGATATCTCACTCTTGCTTACGCAATCCACCTTGTGTGCTCCTTTGTTGTGGTTGGAGCACTGACCGGCCATGGCGCTTGAAGCAAGCACAAGGACAGCAGCTACTTTCAAAAGAAACTTCATGGTTGATAGAAAGAAGAAGATAGGAAAAAGATTCTAAAGAACGGGTTATTATAGCTCTACAGGACTCAGCAAAAGTGTCGGTACCTATTGGCTCAAGTAGAGAAGAGATGGCTGTTTGGATTGGATTCTAGACGATGGTGTAAGGCTCAGGGTATAGTACTAACTTTTATATCAGGATTGAGACACCGTTAACACATGAAATGCTTCATTACGTGGGTCAAGACATACCGGTATACGATAGATAAAACATTGGAGAAGAGTGACCCACGCAGATTCAGACAACGAGAGGACTGCCGGGTGATTCTTGGCGTGGGAATGGCTTGGACGGGAACTTCTGGTACACTTACAAGGGTCACAACTTGATTTGTTTGCTCCAGGGTGCTTGCATATGAGCTGAATACAGGGGTGCTATATGCATTACCAATTGGTGTTGCCAACGGGACCTATTCTCTAAGCCTATTGGAGATACAGAGGTGAGACATAGGCCACAGAGTCAACCGTCACCATTCAGAAACCTAGTGATTACGCCAGTACATGCAGTATTACGCATATTGGGCACTAAAAGCAGATCTTCAGCCACTAAAGATTATGCAAAAGCAGAGTGAGTATAATAACTGTCCGTAATACGTACGTAGCTGAAGATTGCTGTAAGTAGAAATATAAATTGATGATTTATGCAGTGGTAATGCTAGTATATTAGCATGTTGATTTGCGAAAGGAATACTATCTAATATCTATGTGAATTCACCAAAATCATGTCATAAAATGTGTAAACACTAGCTAAAAGGAACCAAGAATGCTATTCGTTTAGTGACATAGTTTGCGTACAGCTCACCTCCTTCATTGACTTACACGCATCTCTGGATAGGGAATAGGCTGGGCGCTTACCCCTGTCTGCATGCATCATTTGTCTCTCTTCTGTTACATCCGTATCCCGTCTCCCGTCACAACCACCGGCATCCTCCAAGCCCTGTGCAAGCCACGAAGCGGCACATAAACGGTGACTCTTGGGCACTTCAGTACGCCATGCCTGTACGCGAGCAAGATGACCCCTCACCGTTGGCTTCCAATGCCTCGACGACGACAGCGGCGCAGCGGCAACGGCCGATCAAGCTTGGAGACGCTTTGCCACTGACTCAGTGTGATGGCAGACGAGGCCTGCCATACGCTGATCCATGAAGCTCGGCTCAGATAGTATTCGCTCATCCCGCTGTGGCGCCTGCATGCTACTCTGTTGCACTGACGGTACACTGGCAGAGCTGGATGATAGGCCATAGACGGCGTTGCCCATCACAAAAGAAACTGGCTAGCATCGGGCCTCGCCTATGCCCTGCCAATTCTCGCCATACCGCGGCCTCACATCACATCATTGTGTCGTCAATGGGATTTCGAACCCCGCAATGTGAGACGATTGCAATGATTTTACTGTCTGTTCGAGCTGGATCGGCAAACTTTGAGGATGCCGTTGGGAGGTGTGATCAGAATGGTCTGATGGGAGACCTTGGAAGCCATTGTGGTGATGTGCCAGGCCAGGCTTTGATTGAGAGGTTTATATCAAGGAGGATCACGGCATCGTCACTGCGAGTACCATAAGAATACTCTCAGCGTACACTTAACTTGCATAATTGCTCGCTATCTTCGTTGCAATCTACATAGTACTTTTGCTGTCACTTTACTCCTCAGTCATGGCCGGCAAAGACACACTGTATTCTCAGGGGTTCAATTTCGGTAGCTTTGTCCAAGATGGCGTTGACCCTCGCACCGGGCAATTCACGTCCTCCATCACCTTGTATGAGACTCCGGCCGAGATCCGTAACTGCACTTCATTCAGGCTGGTTCTAAAATTCAGTCCTTCCAACGCAGAGGATATTGGCTTCGGCAAGGGCTGGTCACTCAACCTTTCTCAGTATCATCATTCCAGTCCTCGCAGCCTCGTCCTCTCTACAGGCGAGCACTACCAGGTCGCAGTGGATGGCGGTGATCTCAGCGTTGTAGACCTGAAGCTTCGCAAGTTCGCGTTCAAGAAAAAGGAGTCTGACTTCCAGATCGCCCACAAGGACGGCCGAGTCGAACTCCTGTCTAATCATGACAACACCTGGAATTACAGCGTCCCCACTAGACTATATGCCCCGAATGGTCGTCAGTTAGAGCTGGTGTGGACTACTGTCAAAGGGCAACCGAGGCTGAGGAAGCTGTTGGAGGGCTCAGAACAACTTTTGGTGATCAACTATAATGATCCAAATGTTGAAATAGTGCGTGGCCCGACATCTGCCGAGTCTGTTACTTTTACTGCTTTGTTAAAGAGCGGCAAGCTGGCGGAATTCTGGCTACCGTTGAAGGATAAGCCCAGGCCCAAGTGGGTGTTTGACTATGAGACCTATGGCAAAAACACCTGTCTTTCCACCATCACAAGCCCCATTGGCCTTGTTGAGAAGGTGAGATACAAGTCGGACGGCCATAAAGTGCCAAAAGGGGGTCCCTCAGCGGCTGTTCCGTACGTCATTCAACACATAGCAGAGCCGGGTAACCAACAACCCGCGATCCGGACGCTCTATAGCTATTCGAGCACCAATTTCCTGGGCTACGGTGGCGTAGACAGCTGGAAGAGCGGCCAAGACAACTTGTACCGTGTAAGAGACAATTACACATACAATGCCACTGTCTCCGCCGACGGCGGCCAAGAAACTACATACACCTATAACAAATTTCATCTACTGATCAAGTCACAACAAGTGAAGGATAGAAAGCAAATCACACAATCCATTACCTATCACGCGAAAGAGAATGTGGCTTTTGAACATCAACCCCCTCAGTTCCAGCTGCCGAAGACTGTTGTGACCAATTACCGTGACCTATCGGACCAGAAGCTGTCTCGAGATGAGCAGACTCAACACGATTTTGACGAATGGGGAAACCCTACCATGGATATCCAGATAAACGGCGTCCAAACGGATCGTGTCTACTATCCACCCAAAGGTGAATCTGGTAGCTGCCCAGCCGATCCACATCTCTTCCAACGATATCTCAAAGAGCAGACTGTTACGCCGGCCAAGAAGCCTGATCCGGCTCCAGTGCGAAGCACTCGTCACACATATCACGAGATGGCTACAGCATCTGGAGCACCGGTAGCCTCATTCGTCGTTATTCAAAAATCAACTATTTTTCAAGACAACAAGGCCATCAGCAGCATTGAACGGGATTATTTCTCCAGCCCCGGGGAGAGAGATCATGGTCGTCTCCGGCAGAAGACGACGACGATGATGGTCTCTGAAAATCGGGCAACGGTGCAGAACTGGGCCTACCGATACACAGCGGATAAGATGTTGGCTATAAGTGTGAAAGAACAGGGCTTTGACGGCTGTCAGATGGAAGAAGAAAGGAGCTACTCTTTGGATCATGGGTCTGCTGTGACCCAAATTGACCAGGCTGGGATCCAAACCAACTTCACATATGATGAGATCGGCCGCATAACACGCACAACTGTCTCTCCAAATACCTCTCACGAGGCAACACAGACAATCGATTACACTATGACATCCAAAAGAGCAGGATACACCAAGACGGTGACGGATGTGAAGCAGGTGAAGACTCGGCACATCTTTGACGGCTTACAGAGGCTTTGTCAAATCGAGAGGCAGGACGACGACGGTGATTGGGATACAAATGACACTTACACAGGTACTTTCCGCCCAGTGCAGCAAAAGAGTTACGACGCGCTCGGCCAGTGCAGCCAGATGGTCGAGATCGATTGGATGAGAGCTCCAGATGGTCTAAGAGGCAGTCCATCCCATATCGTTATGAGTACGATGGCTGGGGACAAGCAAGCAAAGTAACTGAGAGCGACGGTGTTGTCACTTTGGTTGCCACAGATCCCATTTCTCAGACGCAAACAGAGAGTATCGAGGGCCTAGGCAAGAAGAGAAGTCGCGTCGAGCCTGGAGATGTCATCGTCCAGACGTCATTACTCGAGAAAGATGATACCCTCTATACCAGCGTCGACTACGCCAATGACGGCCTGGGTCGCAGAGTTCAGGAGAAGAATGGCAAGGGCCACGTTACGCAGTTCTCGTATGATTGGTTCGACCGCGTAAGCAAAACAACTTGGCCGGATGACAGCATTGCAACGACGAAATATGCGGACCACAGCGCAGACCCTCTTCCTGTATCAATCCATGTTCAAGATAATATCACCGGCAAACAGTCCTATGACGGGCTGGGTCGTGTAAAGACAAAAGATTCTGGAGGACGCACTACCGGCTATTCGTATCAGGGAAGCTCCCCGAAGCCATCCAGCATTACGATGCCGAAGAAAACAGAGGCTATTATGGCCTACGATGATGCTTTGGACTATGCGCTCAAGGACATGACTGTCCCCGATGATCAGCAAGCCTTTGACTACAATAATAAAACGGGTGAATTGATACAAAGCAAAAATTCATATTGCACTGAGGACTTGAAGTATCTACCCTCAGGTCTGCTAAAGGCTGAAGACATTCGCCTCGGGCAGGGGAACGCCCTGTCAACACTGCATACCTATTCTATGAACGGCAGACTTCAGAAGTACTCCAACGTACACAGCCAAACACAAGAATTCAAATACGATGAATACGGCCGGCTCAACCAGCTCTTGCAAGGTCCACTCACAGTTACACTCGACTACGACAAGGCGAGTCGGCTATGGAAAAGCAGCGTCCATGACAGCCAAAAGGGGTCGACCCTTGGAACAGAAATTGTCTTTGATGACTTTAGTCGCGAGCTCGAGCGCACTATATTCCGAGATTCACAGCCCTTGTACAAGTTGATCCAGGATTACGATGTACTAGACAAGCTAAAGACTCGTGAACTGAAGGACGGCGATGGCGGCTCGTTACGGAAAGAGGCTTTTGATTATGATAACATGGGTCGATTATTCGACTATCAATGCAAGGGCAGCCAGCTTCCTGTCAATGAACGTGGGCGTCAGCTGCGGCGCCAAACATACGGCTTTACTACTACAGGGGGCATAGCAAAAGTCACTACAGAATACCAAGATGGTAGTCAAAATGTTGCCGTTTACACATACAGCGATGGTGACCCTGACCAACTCATCCAAATCACCAACACCCACCCCGATGAGCTTGGAAAGATCACTCTCGAGTACGACGCGAATGGCTGCTTGACACGAGACGAGCAAGGCCGAATACTGGAATACAACTCCATGGGTAGCCTCACGGTGGTCAAGAGTTCTGACGGATCGACAGTTCTCAGTCGGTATCACTACGATGCTCGGGCCAGATTGGTCTGCCAGGAGGTGCCCGGCAAGCTAGACTTTCATCTGTATTATCGAGACAGTAGCCTCATCGCTGCTACCAGCGGTGATGCCCAGCTCAGCTATGTATCTGATGGAGTCTCCTATTGGGGTCAGATCCTTCAGGAGGATGGACAAACAGCAGCCTCATTGTGGGCTTCCGATGCTCATCAATCGACCATTGCGACGCTGGACACCAGAGAATCCAATCAGGTTCACACCCAGTGCTATACACCTTACGGCTTCAGCACGGCCGGATCTGCCATCGCTTGGAACGGCCAGTGGAGAGATCCCGTCACAGGCTGGTATCATCTTGGCAACGGATACCGCGTTTATAACCCAGTGTTGATGCGCTTCCACGCCCCTGATACATGGACCCCTTTTACTTCTGGGGAGATCAACCCCTACGCCTACTGTCTTTGCGACCCCATTAACCGAGTAGACCCCACTGGTCACTCGAGCGACTCTGCTGGAGATTCCAAAAAGAGAAGCATCGCCCAGCTGATTGTCGGCCTAGTTGTTAGCATTTTGGCAGCCATCTTCACCGAGGGCGCGTCCTTGGCAGTGGAGGTTGGAGTTCTCGTAGGAACCGGCATCGCCTCCGACGTGGCAACCGGCCTCATATACGACGCTGCTTCGGGAACTGCCCCAACTTGGGGGAGCGTAGGAGATGACACTCTCTCCAGCGTCATTGGCAACATCGTCGGGCTCGGCGTAGCCAAGGGGGCGGGGAAGCTCTTCAAGTCAATCGGGGAGACGATAGATCAGCTCCTGGAGGGCGCTGCCAAACTACAGCACGCCGGAGGAGCGCGATTTCTTCCCGTAGACAAGATGAGCGTCAATCAGCTAAAGAGCGAGCAAAAGTGGCTGTCGTTTGAAAGAAGGGGCGAAAACCTAACGGAGAAGGGCAGGGCCGTACGAAGAGCCCGAATAGAAGCCATAGACAGCCGGCTCGACAACCTCGCAAAGCAGCCGGAATGGAAATGGGTGGACACGGGGCTGAAAGAGAGTGACAAGCATTTGACATCGGCCGACACAGTAGCCTGGAGGAAATATCACGATTTCCGAAGACTGATCACAGAGAACAGGCTTCATCCGAGTACCGCCGCCAAACACCTTGGCGGGTCGGAATATGAGCCGATTACCCCAAAGCCGACGCACACCATCCGGCTATCAAAAGGTCATCGGCTTTATTTTCTTTTGGATCAAGAGAATCGTGTAGTGATCATTGATCAGATTGGAAAACATCGATAGATGGAGGTTCCCGTTCGTTCATTCCTAGACATTGAGTAGCTACGAAAGCGATATTTTGATGGCTCAGAAGGATAACAATCGATGACCCGCGAGAAAAGACTTTTTCTTTTTATCTAGAGAGATAACGAATGTGCCAATGTGGAGTTTACGTAAATTCTTTAATATACTCTATTTTACTTCCTTTATGCTTATTACGAGTATCTATCCTATGAAACAGTCACTGTGACGTTTCCAAAGAAATTCTCACTAGAGTTGCCTACGAGAACAGTAAAATCCCCAGGCTCAACCACATATTTCATTTGGCGGTTCCACAGCCCCCAATCCTCAACTGAGAGGTCAATCTTGACCGTCGTTGACTTTCCGGCCTTTACAGTGACCTTCTGGAAGCCCTTGAGCCGGTATCGTGGCACATCTACCGAAGCAATCATGTCCTTGACGTAAAGCTGCACCACCTCTGCTCCATCACGTTGTGACTTGTTTGTCACTTTCACAGAAACGGTCACAGTATCGGAAGCGGACACTTGAGATTTGGAAACTGAAATGTCGGAGAATTCGAACTGGCTGTATGACAGGCCGTATCCGAATTCATAGAGCGCGGTGGGGTTCTCGAATACGTAAGTGCTGCCAAAGACAAGGGTTCCATTTTCATAGATGTGGCCGGGATTGGGGGAGCCTCTGGCGGAGTTTTGGTAGTCGTAGTAGATGGGAAGAGTTCCAACATCGTAGGGGAAGCTCACGGAGAGCTTGCCTGAAGGGTTGACGTTGCCATACAAAACATCTGCGAGAGCATATCCACCCTGCTCGGACTGGTAAAACTGCTGTACAAGAGCAGATGCTTCCTCTGAGATCCACGGCTCGGTGATGGGCTTTCCGGAGCTGTAGACAACGACGGTGGGCTTTCCAGTCTCGATGATGGCTTTGACCAAGCGAGGCATGGCACCAACGAGGTGGAAGTCGCTGATATCAATGTGCTCGCCAGTAGTTGCGTTATAGCCTGACCAGAGCTCGTTTTGGTCCCGCGACCATGTCCCAACGACGACGACAGCAACGTCCGAGTCTTTGGCGGCGGCAATAGCTTCGTCGAAGCCAGATTCATCGTTGGACCAGCGCTCGCAGCCTTGGGCATAGGTAACCTTGCCGGTGCTGACAGATTTGATACCATCAAGGGGGGTAACGCCTCGGGTCATTGCTGTGTGAATCACATAATCTCCGTACTACAGGTATACTTGGATTAGAACAGTGCTTTGACAAAGAGACGAATGTTGAAGATATTTCCTCACATTAACATAGCCGTGAGCCATGGGACCAATAACCGCAATATTAGCGTTCTTCTTCAGGGGCAGAACGTTTTCGTGATTTTCAAGAAGCACAATGCTCTCTGAATCAAGCTGGCGAGCAATCTTCTTGTGCGCCGGAGTGTTGATATACTTGAAGATGTCGTCGTCAGCAACGCCAGTATAGGGCTTCTCAAAAAGGCCCAGTTTGAACTTTGCCCGAAGCACGCGGGATACAGCGGTATCCAAGACACTTTCGCTCAGCTTGCCTGATTCAACAAGGGCTGGGATTGACTGGTAGCTGTAATATCCACCACCCATTTCGACATCGTTGCCAGCAGGCAGAGCCTAAGACGAGTCAACTCTCTTCCGTTACTAAGATCAGACGAATCTTCTATGGCCTACCTCAAGAGTAATGCAATCGTTGTCTTGGGCTCCGCAGACATAAAAGGCATTAGAAAGGCGAGCAGTGCCACCCGCATCAGACGTTACGAAATACTCATAGCCCCATTCACCGCGAAGGATATCGGTAAGCACCGCCGAGTTTGCAACCATGGGGACGCCATCGTAGGAATTATAGGACGACATGATTGAGGTAGCACCGCTGTCAATGATGGCTCTCTTAAACGACGGAAGATAGAGTGAGCGTAGTTCGCGTTCGCCTCCGTGCACTGGGGAAGTATTGATTCCCTGCTCGGGTGAAGCAAAAGCAGCCTATCAAAGAAAAAAATTGGAAAATGAAAATCATCAGCAAGATCTTCAAGCCAAGTGAAGTGGATTTTGACGTACAAAATGCTTGACAGTCGCCGAGACACCTTTTTCTTGGAGTCCCTTGGCAAAGCTGTAAGCCATTTCTCCCGCCCTTTTAGGAATTGTTAGTGTACGGTTAACATGCAATGTGGCGAACTTGGGACAAGAGGCACAAGAGCGTACAAGTACGAATCCTCGCTAAAACATTCTTCTACGCGGCCGTATCTCAATTCTCGTGCAAGATCAGCCAGCGGTGCGAAAAGCTGGTTAACTCCAAGGGCTAGACTTTCCGTTGCAATGGCGTTTGCCATTGTCTCTACCAGGCTGGGATTGAACGAGCATCCTATGCCAATGGGAGAGTTGAAAATCGTGGCATTCAGGCCCAAGAATCCGTGGAGACCTTCGCTCTGAACAAACGTCGGAATGCCTGGACGGTGTTAGTCGGCGAGCAGATCAAACAAGTGCCGTCATTATCAAATTCTGACCCAATTCAGTTTCCTTGAGCAAGTACTCTTGCGCCAACTGAGCAGCCTTCTTGACCGTCGTCATGTTGGTATAGTAGCCCGTCCAGACCGAGTTGGCTCGGTACTCCATGTTCCACACAAGACCCGATTTGTTGAATGTACCATACGTGAGGTCGAGGTAGTTGGACATGTCGCCCTGAATCAATTGGGCCATTTTTTCCTGTACGGACATGCGTTTCAGCAGGTCAGACACTCTATCATCGATAGAAGCGTGAGGGTTCTTGTACAACGGCTGGCTTGAGGTGGCCTGGCTGGCCGCCGCCAGCATCGCCGGACAGAGACATGCTAAGAGCTTCATTTGTCCAACTGAGAGGCCAAAAAAGGCTACCAGTGAGAGACTCAAACAGCATTCGTTAAGAGAGGTTTCAGCTATTTATCATCTTTTCTCCGCGGTTAATTAATAGCGACCTAAAAACAATCGTGCAGTCAAGCCGTTCGTCTTGCTCCAGCATATGCGCGTTGTCATTTATCCGGAGGGGTTGACCCATTGTCGGATTCCCCGTGATGGAGCCTCTGCAATCATCTTTACTTTGGCCGCTTGGCTTCCAGGGTTATGTGCAGGATTCAACTGATGAGCATTGAAGGTTGTGTCATCGATGAGGCCTTGGAGCTTCGGTCAAAGCTAGTCCGATATCCCGGTGAAGACGCCATGTCTTCAATGGAATACTTGTGAAAATGTTTTGGTAAGTTTTGACAGGTGGAAAAAGAAGTGCCCAGATAGGTTCCTAAAAAATGCTGGCTATGAATGTGCTGTTTAGTATTGGCTCAAGCATTGTTTTTTACCGGCCTCTCCCAAGTTATTGTCCGTAGCTCATTCGTGCGCTTAGAAGCATGGTCCGCATGCTGGCAGAATCTTGCAACTCATGCCGATTATCGTTGGGGGCAAGAGAAAGCCGGGCGGCTCATATTTGTAAATTCGTTACAACTCCTCTCCTGTATTATTGTTGCGCCACGTTTGAAATAGTTCTTTTCGTGGGTTTTGCCTGGCTTTGGTTGCGTTTACGAACAACACTTGGCTGCAAAAGAAATTGTTTGAATCCATGGCATCTTAAGGGCGGCATGTAAGAAAAGAGGACGTGCCGCGTTTATGTAAAGAGCCGATGGGTAAAAGCGATCGAAGCTACAATTATGCGTTGATCTTTTCCCGTCAATCCAGCTGTTCTAGCCTATTCAAGTATTCTCATTGAGATTTATCCTTTAGATTAATTCAACACTTATCTGAGGCTGAGAGCATCCGGAAAAGAAAATGATGAAAATTAGGGTCTAGGCCAATCTTATGGCATTAGAGCGACAGGATGGTATACCCTGGAGGTGGAAGTTGAACGCAGCAATTTCACATCATAATGAGCAGTAAACAAGTTAACCTCGCCTGTAATTGTGCCATGGTGAACTTATTATGCATGTCTCTCCTCTACCTTCTATTATGCGATGGATGAGACGCGGGATAGTAGCTCATCTTTGGTCGGGACTCCGATGAAACTAACAAACAGTAGCACCGTTTAAGGTAATCGGCTAAAAAGACAGTGTGTTCAGAAGATTCTATTCAGTAACTGAGTTCTTTTCACTGATAATCAATTTACTCACCGAATGGAGAAATATGACTATCTACCTAGGTATGGAGCTTGATGCTTGTGTTTCTACACTGAGGCATGGTAGCTGAGGATCCACCTACTTTAGACATCAAGAAAGAAGCCCTCAACACATGTGAAACGGCCTTGTATAAGGTATTGAACCAAGTTTTGATGCAATATCAAAGCTGAGATTCATCTTCCTACATTATTGTAAGCCTTACTACCCCCCGTAAAATCCTGCATGGTCATCGAATCTGGCGACGAGGCGTATTCGGGGAGTTTGATCGGCGGATTTCGGTGCATCGTGGGTTACCTGGTGCCTGTGATTAGTACCTACATGTGCTCCGTATCACTGTTACACCGCTGACTGTTTCGCAAGGGCTGCGGCCAATAGGATTAGTCTGGTATTACACAGAAGGAGCCTAAACAAGTGGCCGCTCTTGGAGGATGAGGATGCAACATCTTTTTTCCATTTCCCTGATTTGATACAAAGGTTTGGTGGCGCCTTAGAGGCCATACTTTATTCTCCTCAAAATCTGACAAGTTGCGTACCGTCATCATCTGATCCCTCTTGATGGCAGATAATGAGCGCATCTCACTTACACTCATCTGCCTATTGTGTGAGAGGAGAGACTGCTGGGCACAGTATTTGACGACATGGACCGGCATTGTCGACACGGCGCCGGCGTGCACTTCGGCGTGAAATGGAGGCTGTCAGACAGAGTACCGTTGAAGTACCTGGTACTCCGCACGTGTCCGACTTTTCAAAGGGCGGGGGAGGGGTATAATGGAGCACATCATGGAGGCTCACTAAATGGCAGCCACAGGCTAAGATACAGTAGAGGCGACCCTTACAATTGTGTACATGTATTAATATTGAGGCATCTACTACGGTGCAACTAACCCGATCGTGCACCAAGGTATAATATTTGAGATATTCTTTTCTTATAGAGCTGTGCTGGATTGTGTTGGGTGCTATCGTGCTATATCCCGTGATAGTCAAAGAAATAAATAGAGCAGACCTGTCTCGTGCATATCGCCAAATATGTAATGGCATCTGGTAATAGATATTGGTACTATCAGTTGCGAATGGAAGTGTCTCAGAGACAGACACACACGCCAAAGATCCCGCCTATTATTAGATCCGCAAGAAATGCCTCTAATGATTACTGCTTGTGCTTGTTTTGCGTCTCTTTTCCATTCCTGCAGGATACAAACAGCTGCGGCTTTCCGTGCCAAACAATCTACTGCTGCTGTAACCCACAAGCCCCCGTATATGCACCATTTCACGCTTCAGGGTTGCGTACAGACTGGATCCCAGCAAACAGGCATTCTTGCAGGAGTGCATCTTACATACATAAATTGCGAAAAAGCCCTGTCTCGCTCGATTCCTTCAAGATCCTTGGCTTGTGTGAGTGAAGCAAACTATTTACACGTCCAGTGGCTTTTCTCTCTCAAAAAGCGAAATACTACCAAGTATCTTGGTTAGCACTTCTGAATTAGAACCAGAGAAAAAGGCGGGTATCTCGGGAGTACGTACCTGCCAAGTCTCTGGTACCCCCGCCGCAATTGGCCCAATCACAGCCCCTCCATAATTCGGAGAACCGCTGCATCTGTCATTGAATTGTCCCGCAGCCAAATTTCCGTCATATTTTGTTCGAGACGTCTTTTCTACTTTTGAATCGTGACTCCCCCCCTCTTTATTCGGCCCTGCTATACTCAATATTCGCGTGTGGCACCTCCCAATTGCCCTCTATTTTCTGTTTTTCTCCCTATTTTCCTCTTCCCTGTCCCTTTCTGTTTCTTATTCTCGCAGATTCTCGGCGGTCGAGTCGCTCGAGGCTTCTCCACAGATTTGCGATCCGCACTCGGCGGGCTGTCGGCGACGTTGGTCGATTTTGGTCTGGCTTGCGAAAACCGCTGTGACGCCCAAAGCCAGTTGTCTCTTCGACTTTGCATCTCGCAGCTGTGTTTACTGGTTTTGTTTTTACTTGGGGCGCTTTTCAGATTCTGTTTGTCGCTCTCTGGCTGTCTTCCATCCTGTAGTGAGTAATGCCAATTTCTTGCTGGCGGATCACCATCGTCTGGCGCTTCAACTGCTGACTCTTTGCCCTCAACAGCAGCAGAGACCATTTCGCATGAGCAAATACTCTGATTCTCCTCTATTCGATTTTTAAAACCCTCCAATAACTTGATTCTCTCACGCCCGCATCGCCCAGCATGCATATCAAAAGCTTGGTCGCCGATACGGAGAAGACGAAGGCCCCGTCCTTCTCGTTCGAGTATTTCCCGCCCAAGACCGCCCAGGGTGTCCAGAATCTTTACGACCGCATGGACCGCATGAACAACTTTGGCCCCAAGTTCATCGACATCACATGGGGAGCCGGTGGCGGTATTGCCGAACTGACCTGCGAGATGGTCGTTCAGGCACAGGCTGTCTACGGCCTGGAGACCTGCATGCATCTTACCTGCACTGACATGGGAATTGACAAAGTCAACGACGCCCTGCAAAAGGCCTACAAGGCCGGATGCACCAACATTCTCGCCCTCCGTGGAGATCCTCCCCGTGACCAGACGACATGGACTGCCTCCGACGGAAACTTCCGCTATGCTCGCGATCTCGTCAAGCATATTCGCGATACATATGGCGACCATTTCGATATCGGCGTTGCTGGCTATCCCGAGGGATGCGATGACAATAAAGACGAGGATTCACTGCTGGATCATCTCAAGGAAAAGGTGGACATGGGTGCTGGTTTCATCGTTACTCAGATGTTCTACGACGCCGACAATTTCCTTCGATGGGTCGGCAGAGTCCGCGAGCGAGGCATCACCGTTCCCATCTTGCCTGGAATCATGCCCATTGCCACCTATGCTAGCTTTCTTCGTCGTGCTAAACACATGCAATGCAGAGTGCCTCCAGAGTGGATGACCTTGCTTGAGCCGGTTAAGAATGACGACGTGGCTGTGCGTGAAATTGGTAAGACGCTGGTTGCCGAGTTGTGCAGGAAACTGCTTGCCGGTGGAATTCACCATCTCCACTTCTATACCATGAACCTTGCCCAGGCAACCCGTATGGTTCTAGATGAGCTTGACTGGACCCCTTCAGCGGAACGTCCTCTGAAGCAGGCCCTCCCCTGGAAGCAGTCCAAGGGCTTTGGTCGGCGCGAAGAGGACGTGCGCCCCATTTTCTGGCGTAACCGCAACAAGTCCTATGTCATCCGCACCCAGGATTGGGATGAGTTCCCCAACGGCCGATGGGGTGACTCCCGCTCGCCCGCTTTCGGAGAGCTTGATGCCTATGGCATTGGTTTGACCGGCACAAACGAGGCCAACCGCAAGAAATGGGGCGAGCCCACTTGCGTCCAGGACATAGCCGATACCTTTGTCCAGTATCTAGAGAAGAAGATTGAGACTCTTCCCTGGAGTGAATCTGCCCTTGCCGCCGAAGCAGATCCCATCAAAGACGACCTTGTGGCTCTCAACAAGCGAGGCATTCTGACCATCAACTCACAGCCCGCCGTTGACGGAGCCAAGTCCAACCACCCGGTTCACGGCTGGGGACCTTCAAACGGCTATGTGTACCAAAAGGCCTACCTGGAGTTGCTCGTTCCACCTTATCTCCTGGACGAGATGATTAGCCGTCTTGATGACTTCCCCAACTTGACTTATTACGCCGTTACCAAAAATGGTGAACTGAGGTCCAATGCGCCCTCAGACGGCCCCAACGCTGTCACTTGGGGTGTTTTCCCAGGCAAGGAGATTGTGCAGCCCACCATTGTGGAATCGATCAGCTTCTTAGCCTGGAGAGACGAGGCTTTCCGACTGGGTGTCGACTGGGCTCACTGCTTCGATGCCAACACCCCCAGCCGAGCGCTTATCGAGGGAATCATGAATGAATGGTACCTCGTTAACATCGGTGAGTTTCATCTAATGAATTCCCCTTCTTTTACATGATTCAACGGACTAATCAAGAGAATGTGTAGTAAACAATGATTTCCGCGAGAATAACACCATCTTCAGTTTCCTCGAAGGTCTCCAAGTCAAGGACGCTTCCGCCCCTGCCAATGGCACGGCCTAAATCCATTTCTTATACACTTCGCTCAGGAAGTGGAAACAAAAAAAGGCCTTGACAAAATTCGAGCTTTTTTTTTGCCGATTTGGGTATCATTAATTACCCCCCTTATTTTTATTTCATTCTCTCAATCTTCATATCTCGGCGCAGATGACCGAAGATAAAAAGCGGCGTTTATTTTGCACAGAAAGGGCGGAGTCGGTGTCTTTTTCAACAAAAAGCATTACACCGAAGGCTCATTTTTTCATGAGACATGGGGATTAACTTTATTATCATTTTTTCCCGGGGCGGTGGGCGCAACGGGAACGGAACGAACATAACATTTAAAAAAGGCATTGGAAAGAGCCCGGTTCTAACGATGGAATTGCATATATTATATCTCAACGATACCCCCGCCTGCGGACAAATTTTTTTTTTTTTTTTTTTTTTTTTTCAATTTCATCGTTATTGCTTTTTTGCGTTTGTTTTCATTACGAGTCACAGAAAAAAAAGAAAATCGATAGAAACATCATGAGGGGGAGAACTTGAAGGAGAGAAGCATTACAGGAGCGCTGTAAAGAAAAAAAAAGGACGTCACGGAGCGAACAGGCAGATCATGGTGTATATGCATACATGTGTACATATATCCTGTCTTCCATCGCTGAAAGTGTGTCAACGAATAGATAACACGGCATTGCATATTACGAGCCGCAAATCATTCCTCTCCCTTGCAACCCCACGTGAAGCTGATTTCATTGGGCCTCGATGTTGTTCGTTGAAGTAAATAATATGCCTGGCTTTTCAACAATTAAGCATTGCTTCATTAAAATGCTGGATATACACGTCCCTTGTATACATTCTGTAGCGCTTCCCTCTCTCTCATCTGATATATACCCGATCTATATATACTGGTTGCCTAAACCTAATTTCACACCATCTTCCACATCATTCAACCCAGCCCTCGCCATCCCCGACATCATAGTCCATGTCGACCTGGCGCCCTTGTATATGCTTCTCAGGTAAGTCTTCGATGACCTCGCCTTCTTCTTCGTCGTCGTTCATTCCGGCCATGGCGTCGCCATCACCAACATCTTCATTCTTCTTGAAGGATCCAACGGGTGGCAAAGGTGTATTGACCCAGGAGAGATCAAGCGTTCCTTCGACTCCGGGTAATTCTTTGCCATGTAAGCTGTAGTAAAACTTTTCGGCTGTTTTGCGATCCTGAAAAGATACGTTTGTGACGGTGGGTGTAGTTTCCACGGATTCAAATTCGCCCAAGTTCTGTATATAATCGAAACATTAGCAAACGAGCTTCTTCAAAAACAGACAAGTACTTTTCCACCAGAATGCACTCCAATTACTTACCAAGAGGAAATGCCGAAGCATTTCATCCTTGTCAGCTGGAGTAAAGTCCACCCCAGTGACAGCCAACTTCCGCGGCCGGTTGTCCAGCGAATACTGTGCATAGGCCGCATGTCTTCCTACTTGCCCCCTGAACGAGCCGCGACCTCTTGGCGCAAAACCTCGCTCACTACCACGTCCACCGCGCCCCATATACCCCCTGCCTCTTGAGCTGTAGCTGCCTCCATCTTCGGCCATGTCAGGGTCAATACCAAGAATCATAGCTTCCTGTTCCAATGCTGCCAACTGCGCACGTAGCATATCGGTTGATGATGACGATCCTGGAGCTTTAGCATCGCCGCCTTTCTCGGCTAGCCTCGCTTTCAGCCTTTCACTCTCCTCCCTGTGTCTTGCCAGAAGGTCCTGCTGCTGCTTCTCCAACTCTTGACGTTGTCGTTCCAACTCTACTCGCTTAGTTTCCCTGTCTTGATGCTGCTTTTGAGCCTCTTCCTGCCTCCGCTGGAACTCTTCCATATCAATTTCAGGCTCAGCTTCTACGGGAGCAGAAGACCCATCACCGTTGATTTTCGATGACCCACCATCGCCATGCTTCGATGATGACTTGCCACCATCATCCTTGTGCCAGAAGACCTTGACAAATCTGTTATCAAAAATGACTTTTGGCGACCGATATGCCGCATTTGCTGACGCCCACTTGTCATATTTCACAATCGCCAAGTGCTTGTATGGCTGCATGGAGACTTCAACAATCTCGCCAAACTGTGAAAAGAAAGTGCGGACCTCATCTTCATTGAAACTCTCTTCAGGGATGTTTTCCACGACAATGGTGCTCTTGGAACGGTCGTGTACCGGGCCCTCTGCTGAGAAAGAGGCTCTGGCACCGCCTTTCTTACCGCCACGGCCGCCACGGCCTCGACCGCGTGGCTTCGTGTCCATCGGAAACTGGTAAGGATTTGCTGCAAGTGCAGGCAAGCCCAGAACAGCATTGTTAGGATCATACTCTTGAAAAGTAAAAAGATAGCGAGTTAGCCGGGTACTCATTGTATTGTAGCTGGTTGGAAATATTGGGACACATACCTTCGATTCCAGATAACATATTGGGGACATAGATGGAAGAGTTGCCATGGTCGTACATGCACTGATTCCCACGAGAACAATATCCTTTGGTATCAAAATCTCGACAGCGTCCTCTCCGCCGCTGTGAACTCCTTCCACCACCTCCATGAGGCATCTGAGCCATGAACTCAGCCATGCCAGGGTAGGGAATACCCATAGCTTGCATCTGCATAATCGCTTCAAGAGCGCTTTTGGGATCAAAATGTGTCATGCCGGGCATTGAGTCCACGGAAACGTAGCTCCCTTGCTGGCCGCCCATCATCGAGTCGTCCATTCTCCCGTGGTTCGAGCCCCGTCGAGGCTGCTTGTGGCCCCTGCCATGCGAAGCCGGCCCATCGTATTCGCCGTCATCGTGGAATCCTCGTTTTCTTGAGCCGGTATGTTGTGGCGCACTGCTTTGTACGCCCTGGGCACTTGGGAGAGGACGAGCTGCGGCGCCAATGGCACTGGTGTTCGGGGGCGGCGGAGCGCCTGGTCGATATGACTTGTACGCGATCGCTTGGAAGACGTCGTCTAGGAAAGCCTTTGGATCTGTAGCTCGCGAGAATCAAGCAGTCAGCACTCCTTCTTCTTTTTAATCCTGCGCCTGGAATACCTTCGGCGCGTCTCTCATGGTGATTCTGACGGACCTTCAGTCAAAAAATCGGGAATCTCAGCCTCGCAAAGCGTCCGCACCGATGCGGCGTCGCCGTCGTGTTTCAGCAGGGCGATGACATAGTCGGCAAGCACGTCGGAATCAGCATCTGACCTGTACAAGAGAAAAGGAGGTTAGCAACCGGGAAAAAAGCCAATGATAGGCTACAGCAAAAGAACCGAGCGAATTCCAGTCTGTAGGCAAACGAACGTGTTCTCAATGCGCTTGACAATCCATGTCTTGAGCTGCGGCGCATCCTCTTCCGGGAACAGCATGGCTGGGGGGGGGAAAAGATTGAAGAGGCGCAAAGTCGTAGTTAGTGTTGCATGGACGATGTCATAAATAAGTAATTGGAACGTTTAGTGCTGGCCGTATATAGTGTAAAGAAGAAAAGAATAAGACCAGGCAGCCAGAGGACCTCTGTTTTCTATGTTGGTCCGAGCGAAGAGAAAAGAAAAGGACGTTGAAAGTTAGAATTTCGAGGCGGCTAAAGTTACGGGGGAGTTGCAAGGCAAGGCTGCGCCTGATGATGGCGGAAGGAAGGTCCCGTTCAGTGGCTTTTAAAGTGGGGACTTGTCAGCTCGGCAGCGCTGGAGCTTTTTGATAGATTGATAGATTGATGCACCATCTGATACAGAGATCGATCTGCGTAGCTTTTGTTTAGCGGGCAATTTACTGATAAACAGGATTGTTTGTTATTGGGTACCTAGGTAGCTGATTGCCAATACAGCATCTACAATTCTCATTGTCATTATCAACATTGCAATTCCATTATAATGGTATTCACCCGCTGTTCATGAAGCTTAACCAGACTTCTAGAAGCTCGCATGGCTCGACTGCAACCTCGATCTACCTTGATTAATTTTAGAGATCGTGTCCCAAAGGATAAGAAATACTCAAGTCCGTAGAAAAAAGAGGACAGCTTCTTAGTTCATCACGAGCACGCATATCAATAACCGATTTGTCTGTTTCTTGAACATTCATAAATTTCATTCAACTCCACCGGTGCACAACTACATGCATGAAAAGCTGCCTAGTGAAGCTTCCCTTGATTATGGCCTCATCCTAGTGATCCACACGTAATCCCTTTTTTTTCTTTAACGGGGTGGTATTTTTTTTCTTTGTCATTCAACCGTAAATCTCCTCATCTACCTCCTTAAATCAGTGAGGCGGCATGCCCCTTGGTATAGAAGTAGTGGACTTCAGTTTTCGCTAGAAGCCGGTTGACACATTGTGCCCATTTTGACACGAATGGTAGTTCTATCAGCAAATAAGGGAGCCGTTTACAGCTTGTCATAGTACTAGAAGAAATATTAGCATCATGCATGAAAGAAAGTGAGTAGAGTGATTTGTAACTTACGTTCTCGACACCGGGAACCTCAACCTTGATACCCTTGCGCTTACGCATCTCAGTAACGATGGTGCCGACCTTGGAGGTGGCATCGAGAGGAGAGCCACCGGGCAGGACCTGCCAGTGAGAGAAGACAGACTGGGGGAAAGCCTGGCCGGAGGTGGCCTGGCGCAGGTCACCGTTGAAGCCGAAGGACTCCAGGACGGGCAGGTAGGCCTTGATGTTGAAGAGAGGAGTACCAGGACGCTGCTCCTCGTTGAAGACGTGACCACGACGACGGGTCAGGACACCGTAGACACCACCCATGGCCTGCTCAGGGACCTGAATCTCGACCAGGTAGACGGGCTCAAGCAGAGCAGGCTCAGCCAGCAGAGCAGAGGCGTACAGGACACGACGAGCAGTGGGGATGATCTGGCCACCACCACGGTGGATAGCATCAGCGTGCAGAGTAACATCAAGGACGTTGAAGCGGATGGAGCGCATGGGCTCCTCAGCAATGGGACCCTCACGGGAAGCCCACTGGAAACCAGAGACGACGGAGTCCTTGATTTCGTTGAGGTACTGGACGGCCTTGGTCTGGTCAACCAGCAAGTTGGCACCAGTGCCATCGGGACCGAAGGTCCAGATCTTACGGGCGTCGGTGACATCCCAGCCGAAATCATCAGCCAGAACACGGGCACGAGCCTTGAAATCATCACGGGGGCTGACCTTGCCAGCCTCAATGGCCAGGGACAGCTCCTCGTCAATGGGCTCGGCAACCATGTACAGACGGTTGTGCTTGTTGGGGGACTTGGACAGAGCGGTGATGCTGGACTTGCCCGTGACAGTCTCACGGTACTGGACGACGGGGTCGGAAATGATGAGGGGAACACCAGCGTGGTCGTTCTCGAGATCGTTCAAGCAAATCTCGAGGTGGAGCTCACCGGCACCGGCAACGACGTGCTCACCAGACTCGGAAGTGTAGGTAAGAACGCAAGGGTCGGACTTGGACAGACGCTTAAGACCTTCAACCAGCTTGGGGAGATCCTGGGCGTTCTTGACCTGGACGGAGCGTCGGACGACGGGGGAGACGGAAAACTTCATGACCTTGAGGTTGTGGGCAGACTCGCTGGTGGTCAGGGTACCAGACTTGAGCAGGAACTGATCGATACCGACCAGACCGACAATGTTACCGGCAGGCATGTCGTCAATGGGCTCGACCTTGCCACCCATCATCAGGACAGTACGCTGGATGGCCTTGACGAAGAGATCGTCCTTCTTGCCGGGGGTGTAGTTGGGGCCCTGGATGCGGACCTTGAGACCGGAGCGGACCTTACCGGAGAAGACACGACCGAAGGCGTAGAATCGGCCCTTGTCAGAGGTGGGAACCATCTTGGAGACGTAAAGCATGAGGGGACCATTGGGGTCACAGTCACGGATACCGATGGCAGCCTCGTCGTCCATGGGACCCTCGTACAGGGTCTCGACACGGTAGCGCTGGGCAGTGACGGGTGAAGGAAGGTGGAGGATCATCATCTCCAGCAGGGAGTCGGCAGCGGGCAGGAAAGTGCGCATGACGGCCTTGAGCAGCTGCTTGCCCTCCTTGGAGCGGTCATCAGGGGTCAGCTTGAGCTGGAGCTTGTCAAGCAGGGTGGCGATCTCGTCGTTCTTGAAGTTCATAACAGCAGAGAAGATCTTGAAGATGGGGTCCAGAATGAACTGGTTGAAAGCACGCTCAAGCTGCTTGCCCTCGTAGGTACCGTTCTTGGTCCACTTCTTGGTGTGGGGGTTGAAGTAGTTGTCACCCCAGAGACGCTCCATCATCTTGCCCTTGTCAACACCAAACTTCTTGGCGTAACGGATGGCGAACTGGCGGACGGTGAAAGCCCAGCCGTGCAGACCGGAACCGAAAGCAATGGTACCCTTCTCGGGGTAGACCTGGAGGTCGCCGAGGGACTTGTCGAGGTAGGTGGAGATGATGACGTTGACGGACTCGATGGTACGAGAGAAGGACTGGTACAGATCCTCCTTGGAGACCTGAAGCTCGAGAAGAGCACGGTCGACCTTGTTGATGATGATGACGGGCTTGATGCGCTCACCAAGGGCCTGTCGCAGCACAGTCTCGGTCTGGACGCAGACACCCTCGACGGTGTCGACGACGACAAGGGCACCATCAGTGACACGGAGAGCAGCAGTGACCTCGGATGAGAAATCAACGTGACCGGGGGAATCGATCAGGTTGATCAGGAAATCACGGCCGTCAGTCTTCTGGCCGACAATGTCCTTGATATCCTCCTCATCCTCGAGCTGACCGTACAGAGAGATGGCAGTGGACTTGATGGTAATACCACGCTCCTGCTCGTCGGCACGAGTATCTGTGGCTCGGGCGTCACCAGCCTTGGCGGTGGAAATGATACCAGCCTTGGCGAGCAGGGAGTCGGTCAGGGTAGACTTGCCGTGATCGACGTGGGCAATGACGGACATGTTACGGACATTGGTGGGCTTGTCCATCAACTGCCGGATCTCGTCAACTGTGAAGCTATCATGGTGAAGGCGTCGGTTAGCAAGATGATTCTAGTAGAAGCTCAATTCCAGATAGGCCACAGAGATAGCTCCCATCTGAGCTAGGCACGGCAATATGAGAGAGAACAGGTGAAAAAGTGTGAAGAAAAATTTTCGGCAGCAGCGGCATAGATGCAAGCACTCGAGGAAGAGAAGCATCGCAGCCCCCCGCCATAGCTATACTAAGGTAAAGCAGAAAAGGATACAAGACTAGGATGGTGAAGCTCAAAGCCGATAAGGTGGAATCACAGAAAAAAACAACTTACTTCACCATCTTGACGGTATTGAGGCTCGGGGCCTGCCTGAAAAAACTATGTGTGGTTTGTTGGTGTAGGAAGAAGAAAACGAAAAAAGGGCAAAGCGGGGTTGAAGAATTTGACCCCGCGCTTTATGCTCAAGTAAGTGGCTAAAGGTGCTGCTAACTGCTGCGTAAGCACAAGGCTCTGTGCTTTTGGCGGACACAGAAAAAAAAATTATGAAGAGGACACAGCGAAGAACGGGTCTCACTGTCTGCTCTATCAGAATTTTTTGATGGGGAAAGAGAGCGAGAGAGGGTGGGCTGGGAGATTTTTATGGCAAGGAGGGGGACGCAGAAAAGGGCCACGAAAATCGGGTGGTGGGCGGAGAGAGCAGGCTTTGGGCTTGGGCGCACGCACAAGGTTTAGGGTGAGGCCATGACTATGACTAGCACGGGCAGCTTTGAGTTGGGCCAGCCGTGGCGGCGCTTTTACTGGACAGCTGTGAATCCACCGGGCAGCGAGGGCCCAATAATTGAGAAAAAAATTACAGGTAGCACGCGCAAAATATCACACAAACAGCAGAGGTACCAGCATGTCGAATTTTTCTTCTTCTTCTGCCATCAAGGGCCATTATAGTGGGGGACCTGCCCTTGAAAGAGGGCCATGCACCGCCAGACGATGGAACGATTGGAGTGTATTAGTGGGCACACTCGCTGCGAGCCAGCCCTGCTAACGCCGAGAGATGGCGCCGGCGTCATTGCTGAGCAGCTGTGACTGGCCAGAACTGCTCGAAGAGGGCTAGGGGCTAGCGGCGGTTTGAGACGAGCTGGAGCCGCTAGTAGGTGCTGGGCAATAAATCGCTTTTGGCCTGCAATTTTCTGTTGGAGCTGCTTTGCAAGTGGAGGGCAAGAAGCCCTCACGGCGATACAACCTAAAGCCCGTCGTTCGATTTGCCATCGCTGGCTGGAAGTGGAAGCTGGGAGGCGGCACGGACCCAATGCTTATCAGCGAGCTGGAGGTATATCCGAGTACCTGTACGCTGTACGAGGGGATGCGATTTGGCCTATGCTTGAAGCTGTTACTGTGGCAATTGCTGGTCAAACAGCTCAAGATTACAGTATCTCCAAGGTAGTGGTGCTATTATTCAGCACAGTTAACGCAGCTATAGAAGCTCCTTGCTGCCATCAATGGAACAGCACAAACAGCATAGAGCAGTACTGCCGGTAACATCTTCACAGCATTGTCATCGTATAATCCCATTAAGCTGCTGCTGCATTCTCTCAATACGACAGAAAAAAAAAAAAAAACTTGCTGCTATTGATCCGCAGCAAAAATTGGAGCTCTCAAGGAGGGGCAACGCAAAGTGGGCTTCTTGCATTTCTTCATGCTCATGCTGTCAGCCGCGCCGAGCTCATTGGCCGCTTGCTCACGCCGCCTAAGCTGCCCTCAAGGTCAAATGTCGCAGTACGTACCGCAAGCACTTTATCCACAGGGCCTTTCTTAGTGGTGCTTCATGCAAGCAGCTTTGTGGTCTCTGTTAGAGCTTCCTGGGCCTAATCTCTCGGCCACACGATTGGCCATTTGACTCACCTCGTTCCATAATGCCCGAAACAGCCACTGGTTAGGTCTTGATATTGCTATATATTGAGTCTTCTCATTCTATCATACCACCACGTCACTCGCCGGTGAAACATAAATTTTTGAAAAAGGTAGAAAAAGCCAAATGCCCCAAAACAGGAAGAAAAGGATGAAAAGAAGACTGGATCGTTACGCCGTACTCCTTCGCTTATAAGTTACTCAGCCCTCGAGTGACTCACACTGACGCCTCTTATGACGACCCCAAAATCCGCGAATATGCATCTTCCACCTCTCCTGCCAACTCCAACAGCGACACGATGACAATTTGATGCGTCAAGTTTGGCAGCCTCTCTCTGTGCAGGCCAATCCATTCCAACGGTGGCGTCGCCTCGCCCATGTCTCGCAGCTGTGGCGTCTCAATGATAGGGGGCTCCAGAGCGAGATACTCATACTTGGACTGTGGCACATTCACCTCGGCCGTAATCTTCTGCTGCTCGCCGCCTTCTCGCTGCCCTTCCTCGGCTTCTGGTACTCCGGTAATCTTGACTGCCGTAAGGGGCAGCTGTCGGCCCCATGTCTCCTCCAGCGACTTGTTGTGCTTTGCCCACATGCCGCGTATGTAGCTGATGCGGGAATAGTTCCATCCGACCTCGACTTTGCCTTCAAAGGCACTCTTGAATAGGTAGTCGATGTGGTTGCTATTTGGCGCCTGCCAAGTCTGCATTGCCGCTTCCACCCGCGGCACCTTGAGGATAGTACCACCTCGTGATCCCGTCGCCCGCTGAACCACATCCTCCACTGTCATTTCGCTGAGTGTCTTGGGCGCTTCAATGTTCCTAACACCTGCCAATCCGATTCGAAGCTGTCCCAGGGTCATCCTTAGTATGCTATGGACTCGTCGTTGCTCGATACTTGCGGCAAACCGCGCGTATGCATTCAGCGCCTCCATCTTGAATACCTGATGGTCGGAGAATGTGTTGGGAAACACTCCAAGATTGAGTGCTCGAAGCGTCACAACCACATCTGTGTCCAGAGAAATTGGGGATTTGGACATGGTATCATCCGTCGGAAGCTTGGGAGCCCTCGTCGCCGCTGAAATCGATTGGCGCGCCGCTGAAGACTTGCGTCTCATAAACTTTTCAATCTCCTTGAGCGACGATTCGAAATTCTCTCGCCTCTCTTGCATTAGCTTTGTAACGGCCTGGTAAAGTGAGACGGCTTGGGCGGCTGAAGTCGCAGTGCCAAATACCTGCACAGCATCACCATCGAAGAATGCCACGAGGCGGTCTCCTTCCCTATCTTTACCCTCTCTCACATTGTACATCAAGAATTCCAAGGACGTGATGTCTGCAATCAAAAAGGCTTGATAATCAAACGCCGCCTTGACACGTAGTTCGTTGAAACCAATAGACGCCTGGATCAGAGGAGTTTCGTTGAGTGCCTTTTCTCGCTTCGGCCAATGGATCGAGGTCCGTAGTTTGAAATGCCGTAGAGCAATGAAACCACTCAATCGACCCGTACAGTCTATGCCAATCTTGTCAAAGCCAAGACATAGATTCTGCTCCCAGTCAGATGTCTTCTTAGACGATACCCAAAACTTGCTAATCTCAAAGACAGATTTGCCTATCGCTTGCCCCATATCAACGCTGACGTCCAGGGCGGCGATGGATATCGTCGCCGTCCACGGGAAAGCTGCCGTGGCCGCCACCTGCTGGTATCTTTGAACCAAGTGGCCTTGTGATGTCTCTGTAGCTAGCTTAGGCACTGGTGTAGTCGTGCTTGCACCTCTCAAGTCTTTGGGATACCAGATTTCTTCAAACAATAAAAAGTCTTGTACCTGCTTGGCGTTGATGGAAATCTTCATGGGGCTTACACTCAGAATAGCTGAAACGCCGCTTGTGCCGCTGACGTGCTTGCTATTCATGAATGAAAGCGTCACAGTGTCAACCTCGAAGCTTGCAGTCGACTCTCTCGAATATACATGCTGTACCGAAGCTTGTGGTTTGTTAAGAACGCCGGATATCGCAAAAAAGTTTCCGTGGTCTTGTGAAGAAACTGTGTTGAGAGTAAAGTACACGCTTTCGAAGCTTGTCGTAGCGGCAACGCGAGCTATAGGCTGGCAGCTTAGGGAGAATTCTTGCCTGCAGATACGCAGGCCCAAGTTCAGCTTGACACGACCCAATACCGCGCTAGGGTCTGCAGTAAGAATATTATCCTCATCTGCAGACTTCTCTGGTTTCAGCTTTGGCGGCTCCGGTTCTGAGGCCGGTTCACTCTCGGTATCGCCACTCACTACCTCCTTCACACTAGCCACAATATCCATAATGAGCGGGACGACTGATGGGTAAAGAATGTTGCTTGAAGCATCAATCTTGACTTCACCCGATAGTGCAGGATCATTTCGGCCATTGTCTCGATATTCAGCTTTCCAGGCAAGTCCAGGGCTTCGCAAAACTGCGCCGCTTCCTGAGTCATCTGTTGTGAACTGGCCATATTTTCCTGCCAGGGACGGGCGGCGGCCGCTTCGTGAAAGCCGCGCAGCATCATGAGCAGACTTTGCGCTTGAGACGTAAACAACCGCGCCCGCAAAATCGGCATCCATGAGCAGGCTCTCAAGTCGTTTGTTGCCAAAGGCGCTTCGTGAAGGCTTGGGCTTGGGTGCGCTTTCAGGTTTCTTATTACTTTGCGCTGCCTCGTTATTCCATTGTATTGATGCCTTCTGCACATTTTTTGCTGATAACGATATTGATTGAACCAAGTTGGCTGCCGGGACGATGAAAGCTGATGTCACTCTGAGATCCAAGGATTCGCCCGAGGCTTGGAATGCCAATCGGCGAGCATCCGCCGTGGAGAAGTAAGCAATGTTGAATATAACTTGGGGAAGAAGCGCCGAGTGCACAGATCTCAAGTTTCTGTCATGGCCAGGTGGTACCGTTTGTAGTTGGAAGTCTTCTATGGTTAGGCGTGCAGATCTCTTGGTCCTCGTACCAAACTCGATTAGCTTGATAGATAGTACTAGATCTTCCTCATTGCTCGCTTGACGTCCGCTATCATCCGCAACGTTCCAAGAAGCACGAATGTTTCGTAGTTCGAACCGATAAACGACTGAACCAAGAATAGAGTCGAGAATGTCCGTATACTCGGGTAAGACCTCATCATCGTTAATAGAAATCCGTGGTTTGGACTGTCTGAGTCTCCTTAGGTATTCTAATTCTCGCGATGTGTCCAGGTCCTTTATCTTTGTCCCTAGATAGCCCAGCACATCAACAGCTGTGGATGTCGACCTTGGCGATAAATTCACGTCAAACTCATCGCTCCTGAAATTGAATGACCATTCATCTTTGCCGTCGTCTCCAGGACTTGAGCTAGCAGATACTGTAAAGCTCGCGCCGAAATTACCACATGACCTCATATTGTCTTCCGTTCCTCTTTGGATGTCAAGTCCAACATGTCTGAGATTCAAGTGTATCTCTGGATATTTGAGAATAGGGCCGTGTACTTCATGACGGTTAGATGCTCGCAAATAAGCTTTATCCATGAAAAAGAGTACGTGCGCCATTGATCCTGCTTCAGACTTCAAAGCCGTCTTAGATGCGATTTGTAATCCTTCCAAAGTAAGATGAACAGCGTATACCATATTCGAGCTGGGTTTCTCGACCTCTTTTGGCTCACTAGTTCCAAAGATATCTTCGATATGTTCTTGGATGGCTTTAGATTGCAGCTGTATCTCTTCGATGGCGGTAGAGATTTGTGGTCGATTTAGCGCTGTGAGGAGATTATATATTGACGATGCGTCCAAACGCATAATTTCAACCGAGCAGAGCACATTCAGTATACTCTCTGCCTTCTGTCCTTGGCTCATAGTAATGCGTCCGTTTGTAGGTGGTATTTGCAAACAAGAGATGGTGCGAGACTCATTCTTGACGTTTATTTGCATCTCGTGAGAGTTTTCTTTGACGTCAAAGTCAAAAATGATTTCTTTGGAAGAGTCTGCCGCACATGCCGCCCGCGCGACGACGCCAGAGATTTGATATGTGAGAGACGGTATCAAGGGAAGCCTGATTTGGTAATCATCTATGAATGTGGCAATATTAATCCTAAAGTTTGACGGGCGATCAGTCGACTCAGCCTGTGATTCTGCCTTTGACAGATCAGGAAGCTGTGTTTTCAAGCGATGAAGCTGAGCAATCTCGTCTCTAAAGAGTAGATCAAGAACTTCCATGAGACCGATAGGGTCTTGCTTCACAGTAAACGTCAGGCCCTGGCTGCTAGCCGTTGCTTTGACTTTGTGTGCTGACACCTCGTCGACTGTTCTTAGTTCATGCGAAACGCATAGACTCGGTCTTCGAAACTGAGAAACGCCCAGATGATGCGAATGGCTATGCAGCATGGAAGTGACAGCATCACAATTTATCATCAAGCTTGTGAGAGTTGCGCCATCACTCGTATCAAATGTGAGTAAGGAAGCTTTAAGCCCGTCACCCAGGGTCTTTGCGCTTAGATTCACCGTCTCAAGTTCGATAGATCCCTTGATGAGCTCAAGAGCAAGATGATAAGCTGTTGATGGCTTTTTCGTCGGCTTGATGGCCTCCAGAACCGGCTTCTGAAAGTGAGTAGGGGCCTGGCTCTGGCCTCTGTGGTATAGCCGCAAGACATCATCGGCAAGAACACAAAGTTCCCAGTTCAAGTTGAGCAATGCATCGCCACAGCATATATTCAAAACAGTCACCGGTATTGTCCCCAAGACGGCGGTTGTGGGATCCCCCAATTTTCTTTCAACTCTTGCACTGAGATCGACAAATCCAACTCTGTTTTGCTTTGGGCCTGGATCTAGGATGAGGCAAACGCTGCCGAGCTTACAAGCACCTAGGAGGGGGTATACTTCTTCGTCGTCTTGGTCATCGGCTCCTATATCGCCAAAGATCTTCTTCAGGAGGAGAGTGTGTGAAACGTTTTCCAAATCCCAGTTTCTCCACTTCTCAAAGGAGCTCACCACGCGTTGAACTGCGTCAGGTGGAAGAGTGGGCGACTCCCCCCAGCACTCTTGGATCAAATGTGACTTCTCAAAATCGTTTTTCGTATCCCAGATTTGGCGAAGTCGTATGATCATTTTCCAAGAATCTACTGTTCTCAAATGTTGATTTGCAGATCTGAGAACAGCCGAAGGCCGTATGAGGAATGAAGGATCATTTGTTGCCTCTCCCAGCTGCAGCAGGCGTAGCACAAAGTATTTGACATGCGTAGAATGACGCTGGTTGACCTCTGTCAAGAGTCGCTCCAGCTCGGTAGCAACATTGCCGGTGCGGTGGATCAAAGAGGCCAAATACTCGATCTTGCCTGACGCGGTTCTTCCCTCGATTGAGCCAATATCGGCATCAAAATATGTGATTTCTTTGGCTCCTAGAGAGACCCTCACTCCGTCGATTGTAACTACTACGGCTGCTTGTGGCTTCTGGACAGACGAAAGACGCTCTGAGGCTGACATTTCAATGGAGCCTAGACGTAAGTCCAGAGAAGTTCTCGAGTCGGTAATGCCTTTTTCCTTCGTAGTTCGCGTTACAACAGAGACCTTGGAAATTGTTAGGTCATATTGATCTAGCTCTTCTTCGGATGGATCTGGCGAATCGAGTGTCGACGAATTGAGAAATCGTAGGTTGATCCTAGGTAATTTGACCATAAAGTCAAGCATCTCTCCTTCAATTGGCGCTTCTTTTCGGGCTTTGAAGATGTCCGTAATAGTACCAGACTGGAGAGAGTCTAGCACATCTTCAGGGTCTGTCGGTTGCAAGGCCGCCATCAAGATAGTTACATGGCGGATAGCTTCAGGAGTGATAAATGCGCTTATTCCTGAGGGAAATTCAATGATAGTACTCGACTGAGCGTGATCTTCACTAAGATCAATAGGGGGGATATCATTTAAATCCAGCTTCAGTCGATTAAAAAACTCAAACTCTTCATCATCAATTGGTGGGAAAGTGGCATCTCTAGTATCGGGCCTGACTCCCTCCAAGGGAAAGTTTGGGTTGAAATATTGGCTAGAAAAGGCAATTTGAGATTGCTCACCGTTTTCTTTTGCTGAAAAATCGCCCACAGCGCTGTAGAAAGAAGGCCGCCTGCCGGGAGAAGCAGCCTCCCTCCTGTCCATCTCAGAGCGAGAGCCCATCATAGCGGCAGACCTGATCGACAAGCTTTCTCCAAATTGTGGCGTCCTTTGTATATCGCGGCGGCTACTGCGGAATCCGATACTGCCGTCGCTCGAAGAGCTAGCAAAGGAGAGAAATGACCTTTGGCGGGTAACTCTGCGCGAGCGTGTGCTCACTGAGGCCTTATCGTACTCAATATCGGCGAGAGGAGGAGGAGGAGGGGGCATGCATTGCGCAGGAGGGTCGACTTGTTCGGGAACTAAATCCCCGCCTGTGCCAGGGAGGAGAAGAAACGGCGTTCTGTCTGTTCGTTGATCCTCACGATAGATTAAGTCTTGCTGGATTTTTCGTTCTTCGGAGAAATGAAATTTCCTTCCAATGGAGGCAAGCCGAATATCTGTTTTGAGGTATGCCTGAGTTTCAACCGGATGCTGCGGGCGTGACTTGTGTCTCGCCGCTGAGTCCGCATTTATGCATGATAGCTGAAGGTTTGGTATGAGTACGTTGGCTCGCTTTGAATAGTGCGAGCGAGCCCAATCATTGCTATTGACATCGATAGCATCGGTAGAGAAGCAGAAAACGCTTTCTTCTACATGTATCCAGAGGCGAATCGACTGGACAGCAAGTCGGACAAACGTGACGTCGTAAAATATTAACGAGGAATACGGCACCACGGCGTTTTCCACGTCATCAAACGTAAACCCAAATGCTGGTCCTGCTTTAGTCAAAGCGGCTACAAAGTCAGTTGTGCACTCTCCGGCGACTGCACCAACAGCGACATCCCAGTTACAAAGGTATGTTGGCTCTGATGGAGGCAGGCCGAACGTTCGGTGGCCAAATACTCGAACGCCATCGACAAATAGTTGCGTATCAGCAGTTGATACACTGGGAGAATCCAGATTGCTCTCTGAGCTGCCCAAAGACAGCGATAATGGACTTAGATCAAGTTCCATATCCATATAGTAATTTGTAAAACGCAAGTCCAGGGATAAAGAGGCCAATTCACCCTGAAGATAGCACTTTGAGGAGTAAATATTAGTAGGAATCAAGAGGCGAGGGTCGTCCAGTTTGATGGCCAAGATTACGTCAAGGTCATTGGATTTCTTGGTAGGGGGGCGAAGAGCCGGCTCAGCATCTGGATTCTGCGCCTTCGCTTGTATTTGCTCCTGATATTCCTCTTGAGTTCTGAAATGTACAAATTCGCCGAAATAGTTGTCTTTGAGTAGCATAAAGTACCGAACAACAAAGCCGTAGAGGTAAACGGAAGGTGATTGGGCATGGATATTTAAGTCGAGAGTATCTATGTTAGCAGGAGAGGTAGTTGCATTGTATTGATAATTTCCAGCGACTGCCAAGCCTTCAATATGTCCCAGTTCTTTGGATTTCAGAAACGTCGCCTGCGTATTTGACTCGGAAGCATGCAGTGCCAAGTCAAGAGTTTCAGTTCGTATATCAAAAGGAATACTGTTCTTGCTTGGTCGGAAAGTGTCAAGAGGTATGCAGGTTTCGGCTTTCAATTCCGGGCTAGAGAGTATAAGAAACGTGTTTTCATCCATGTCAGTTGGTTTATCGATGATATTCTCGTCGTTGACGTTGAGATAGATTTTCACATTCCGCAAATTGAGATGGAGATGGTATAAAAAGGGCGTGAACACAAGATACTCGGCAGGGGGGCCTGCTGCCCAGTCATCCACCAAGTCAACGATCAAGAAGATATGATCCCTCAGGAGAAACAAGTCCATTCCATCGCATGCTATGTTGAAATTCCAATTGCGCAGCGTATTCCATGAGAGCGGGTTTGAAAGATCGCAGGAAATCTGCTGAGGGCCAGATCGCCAGAGTACATCATGGTTGATGCTGCTTCGTAGCTCAGTGCTCGGCATCTGAACCGCTAGCTTGTTTTTATAGCCACTTGGACTGGCCACCATGTCCATATAATATCTGATGGTCGAGTTTTGAGGAAGCTTGAACTCAAGCCAACCGGACTGGCGAAGCTGGACCGCTTCGCTCTTTGAATTTTTCTTACCCCTAGCCCGATGCTTGCGTGCATTGCGAGTAGTCGTGGATTCTTGCTTGATTAGTGGCGGCTCTTTACCACGCCAACGCCAGTTTTTAGACTCCTCCCTTATGGGAATGCGAAGCGTAACTGTGTCGTCTAGTTCTACTAGCAAGTCAAAAAGTGTAGGCACTCTCCATGCTCCAACGGGAAGCGGTCCAGTGGCGGTGCCATCCTTGGAGAGCGAAGGCACAAAAACACGTTGTAAATCAGCCCTTTGCCGATCGGCCCATGGCCCGTAGTTCATAGTCCCTCCCTTCACCGATAATTGTACTCCCCAAGCTGGTGGCTCTGACCCATTGATATTCAAAGATGGGTTCATTTGTCTCTGGCGATGAGCATCTTCGGTTACTTTGCTGACGGCATCCCAATATACAGTCAAATGGCAGGCCGGGCTATCGAGAACGGTTGAGACTGCAGCATACTCAACAGACGACCAGCGAGTTTTATCATCTATATCCTGATCATCGAGATACCGTGACAAGCCTTGCCATTGGACAGCTCCAGGAACTTGGACTGGCACAGCACCCCCTCCAGCCCGAGCGTCACTTGAAAACGACTCCACAGATCTTCGCCAATAAGGTACCAGATTTCGCAAGGAGCTCAGTGCCTTGCGTCTATGTTGGCGGAAGTATGACTTCCTCGGAGCTTGCTGTGAATCTTGGGGAACGTTCTCTCGCTCCCTTGTGGCTCGTGTGGCCTGGTCCTCCTTATAGTCCGGGTTATCCAGCATTTCCACCACAGGATGCTCCAGTTCGATCTTGAATGTCTGTCTGTATTGATCCACAGTCTTTGTCTCTAAAGCATCGACGTCTCCAGAAAGGGAATCGGCTTTCACGATGAGGATTGCTTTGGTGTTGTCATTTCCAAACACTGCTGCAGCTTTCTGGCATTCGATCTGGATGGGAAATAGTTTGAGGATGAAAGGCAGCTCTGAAATGTCATTGTCTGCAGCCTCATCGCTGCTCTTGCTTTTGTAGCCAGTGCTAGGTCGACTCCCTATCTCAGGCTTCCCGTTTCCATTCAATGCTCTATTGCTCTTTTCGTGGGGGGTATAGTCTCGGTCTCGGTCGGATGAATCTTCCTGGTTCGTCTTCCGTGATCGTAGCCCTGTGTCTCCCTTCTCATCCGGTCCCCCAACGCTCGAGCTTGAGCCTGATGAAGTTGGATCGATGATACCGGCAAGGACAGAATCATATGCTGGACTGCGGTTGTAGACAAACCACTCCAAACCAACAAGATTCAGGTTTATCCGACATGGCAACGCCGCATTTTTCTGTCTTTCCGATTCCAAGGCCTCCCCTTCCCCAGCCGACGCGAATATGTCTGCCTGTCTGACTCGGCGCAGCCAGTATCTCCAGGTAATGTCTCCATGTTGAATACAGAAGGTTTCGTTCGCGCCGTGGTATCGCAGGCCCGTAAAAAAAACTCGACCCGCCAAAAGCGATACTTGAAGCGCTTTTATGTCGAGATATATGTGGTATTGATGCCATGTCCAAGTCCGAATCACATACGACACAACAGAGCCAAACAGTCGGTTAAAGTAGAGCAGGAAGAATATGGCGAGGATTGCGGAAACGATTAGAAAGATTAGAAACTCAAAGTTGAAACCCGGCGTCACCTGGGGTTGTGTATCTGCGTCGGTTACGCTCAGCAGCCGATCCATCTCGACGAGAGCTTCGCGATCGAGCTTCCCCACGCCCAGCAGAGACCCAATATCATTGTTCGTAGCCGCAGCTCTCTGATTGACGGGGGTTATCGTTGGAGGGGCCGGTCGATCCTCCTCTGCATGTCTCTGAAGCCGCGGCGTCTAGAAGGCGAAGGTGTGCGAGCAGATGTTGGTGTTGGATGAAGAGACGAATAGAAGCACTTCCACAGCTGGGGGCTTCGGGATTGACGTCCACCCCCTAGGAGCGCTAGAGCTATCCGCTAAATTACCATTTTCAGCAGCCTCCATTCGCCACGATCCGCTAGCTCCAGTGGAGCTTTATGCAGCAGCAAGGCATGCTTTGTACATCATCTGAAAGTATTTCCGCGCCGAGCGCGGGTGAGCGGGTACCTCCCCCGGGGTCCAAGCTCCGGCCGCGAATCCCTTTGGGAGCCAAGGAGCACCAGACCTCAGCAACCTCCTGCTACTAGATAGATCTGATCTTGTGAGCTTCGTCATACTTTTACCTCTTTTTTTCCTCCATCGTTGTTTTGGCCACGAGACCATCCTCGTCGCCCCGAGAGCTTTGGTTAAGCCGCAAACTCCCTTGATTTGAAGAAGACCGCATGCAGGGCTCAGCGATGACATAAACGAACCATTCTCTGCGCTGCCCAGACTCTCCTCGTATCTAATCTCCCTCAGGGAGTCGCGTCGCCATCATGCCTGACCTGGGCACCGGCCAGAAGTTCACCACCGCCACCACTGTGGTCGCGGGTGTTGCAGCTCTGTCAGCAACGGTGGTATCAGCGATGTAAGCCGTATTTCCGTCCCGCCGACTGTGAAGCGTTCTAACCAGTGCCGTGGCAGCTCGATATGGCTACAAGCAAAGAACTATCGCAAGCCGCTGCTCCAGCGCTATGTCGTCCGCATCCTGCTGATGGTCCCGATATACTCGATCGCATCATTCACAAGCATGGTCTCATTAAGAGCTGCTTCGTTTTTAGACCCTGTTCGCGACATTTATGAAGCATTTACGATATATACCTTTTTCCAACTTCTGATCAACTACTTGGGTGGAGAGCGGTCGGCCATCATTATGCCCCACGGTCGGGCTCCCGTCCACCATCTATGGCCCATGAACCATGTGCTATCCAAAGTCGACATCTCAGACCCGTACACATTCCTCGCCATCAAGCGGGGCATTCTTCAGTATGCATGGCTTAAACCCATCCTCGCTCTCGCTGCTATCATCATGAAGGCCACAGGCACCTACCAGGAAGGATATATCGGGGCTAAATCTGGCTACTTTTGGAGCGGCATAATCTACAACATTAGTGTCACAGTCAGCCTGTACTCGCTCGGGCTGTTTTGGGTTTGCATGCACAAAGATTTGGTGCCATTCCGACCCGTCCCCAAATTCTTGTGCATCAAACTCATCATTTTTGCATCATATTGGCAGGGGTTTTTCCTGTCGATTCTTGTCTGGCTTGGAGCTATCCCCGATGACGTTCAGGGTTACACACGTGACAACTTGGCAGCGGCCATCCAAGACGCCCTCATCTGCGTGGAGATGCCGATTTTTGCTGTTGCCCACTGGTATGCCTTTTCTTGGCACGACTTTGCCGATAATAGGATTCAGTCGGCTCGCATGCCGCTCAACTTTGCTTTCCGCGATGCATTTGGTGTCAGAGATCTCATTGAAGATTCGAAAGAGACATTCAGAGGAGACAAATACGGCTACCGGACATTTGATTCTGGCGATAGGGTCATTGCGCACGAAGATTCTAGCTCAAGATATGCTAGACTGAAGGAAGGCATGCGATATGAACGTGGAGGCAAAGGCAAATATTGGATTCCAAAGCCAGGAGAGGTGAATGCGACAGCGCCATTGCTGGGTAATGACAATGGGTCATCCAGCTCTACTCGCCCCGATCAACTCAACGAGAATACCCATGGAACATTTGACGAGCCGGAAATTGATGCTGATGATGAGCGCCTATATGACAAGGCCCGAGCACTGGAGTATGGGGATTGGAATGTAAGTCGTTGATCTTTTTTCGTCGTAAATATTTGTCTAACATCCGCTGACAATGACAATAGTACCCCGTCATCACGGCAAGCGAACCGCTCAGGGAACGTTATGCATCCTGGGCAAGCAGCTCAGAGACCAGAATTCTCAACTCTCATACATACAACAGCGTCCCAACCGGCAACGACGCAGCCGAGTCATCACAGCAAAAAGGCAAACAAACTGAGTCAGAGCAACAAGAGCCGCCAGTGGTTGTTATTAAGAAGAAGAAGAAGCCGAAGAAGGTTGTAAAGCACCCGGATCCCAAACCATCTGATGTAATTTCCGACCACGAAGACCAAGACAATGCCAGAGCTGCACAGGGCTACGATGGCAGCCACACCCCAGCCGCCGAAGAGCAGGGGCCGTGGGCCTCTACAGAACGTAACGACGCACGAGAGAGTGTATCCAGCTACCAAATATCAGACTCCGACGAGTTCCGGAACGTTTGGGGCGCTGATAACAAATAAGCAGGCGTTTATTCACTTGATTGTTATGGAAAGCTGCTAGAAGGATTTCAGATCTATATGCCTACTCCACTTAGTCAGACAGGCATAGCGAGGCGTTCTTTGGGTGACTGGAAATTAGGAAGAGGGAAAATACCAGATTTTTTTTATTGATGTATGCGGAATATACCACTTACATACGGCTGCCTATTCGTTTCAATTGGCAATCTTGTTTTCCTTTTTATCTTTTTCCAATTTTGACACGATTGTGCTGCCAGCGAGCAAATGGACAGGAGTTGCACTTGTTGAAGCACTTTATTACTTTTTAACAAATATACTATATACTACTATTTACATCTTGTTTTATTTTTTTACCTTTTTTACTTCCTCATGTATCCAGATCAAGAGCTGGCTCCCTTAGACATGTCAATCAACAGCTGCTTCGCGTCAGCTGCACTCACACTCCCCGGACTGGGCGGCAATGGACCAGTCGTCCAGTTACTCGGTGTGCTGCCAAGCACAAAATCGAGGCTTCCTCCATGAGCAAAAATATCATACCAGCTCACCCAGCTCTTGTTCCACGGGCGGCCGTTGACTTTGAGCGACTGGACGTAGTAGACGTTCTCGCTGCCGCCAGTGGTGGTGATCTTGAGCTTCTTGCCGCCCCCCAAAGAGATGGTCAGGTCTGTGAACCAGGGAGATCCGATGAGGAAAGTGGTTTGACCAGTTACGGGGAATAGGCCAATCATACTCCACAAGAGCCAAGACTCCATAGCTCCGGCGTCACTGTTACCAGGAAGGCCGCCTGGCGTTGGGGCATAGTACGATTTGGCGATGAAGCGGCTTCTCAGGACGGAAAGGTCCTGTCTGTTGACATAATTGTACAGATAAGGGGTGGCGAAACTGGGTTCGTTGCCAGGATTGAAGATTGTGCTGCCAAAGGCGCTGTTGCCGGAGTAAATGCCGGGCTGGAAAGTCATCTCAAGGCGCTTGACGAATGTGTCTGCTCCGCCGCAGTAGTCGACGAGGGTTCCCAGGTCATGGTGAGCGTTGAAGGAGTATTCCCAGGGAAGAGCCTGGTAGTACAGGTCTGCCCAGTAGCAGCCGCCGCAGGAAATGGGATTTTGGGCGATGAAGCCACTGGTGTTTCTCGGGCCGAGGAAGCCAGAGAAGCCGAGGGCGGTCATGTTGGTGTTCCAGTGGTTGCGCCAGTTGTGAGATCTGTTGAGATACTTTTTGAAGTCGTTTTGGAGACCAAGACCGTTGGCAACAGTTGCCAGCGAGAAATCGTTGACGGCGCTGCATAAATGTTAGGTTAAATGAAGATAAAACAGGATGTGGAACACGTACTATTCAACGGCTCGGCTCACAGATCTTCCAAAGCGAGGCGTGATGTAGCCATACTGCAGCCAATCCGGCAGAGCGCTTCGTCCTTCTTTAGTTGAGCCCGTAGGATCGCGAGGATCGTTGTTATTGGCCGGCACGACTTCAGCATTCTTCACCATGGAAGCATAGGCGCCCTCCCAGTCAACCTTGCCGCGCACACCCTTGACATAGGCATCAGCGAAGACGTTATCGCTGTTTGAGCCTCCTTGGACGGCACCGTTCGAAAACGAGGAACGAGCATCGGAGGTGTAACCTTCATTGCGGTATATGTCAATCATGGATCTCAGGAGCTCTTCATAAAACACTGGTTGAAGGATGTGAAGCAGAGAGGTTGTGCAGCGGTGCTGTTGAGATGTTTGTTAGTATACCGCATATGATCGAACAATCAATAGCTTTCAGACTTACTGTGTCCCAGAAAGTGAAGATATCATCGTAGTAGGGTTCGCCAGAGCTCCAGAGAGGGTTTTCGCCCGTCTTGTTCGTTGGGAGCAAATGCATGAAATAAAGCGCTGAATAAAGCTGGTTCAGCTTCGTGACATTGGTCTCAGTGGTTGTCACTTTTGACAAAACCTGTGTGTTCCAAGCATCTCGAGTTCCCTGGCGCACAGTCGCAAGACTGGCGCCCTTGGGAATCTCTGCGTTCACATTGGCGCATGCTTGGGACTCTGAGATGAATGAAACTCCGACTCTGGAAGTCACAGAGGTTTGCTGAAATGTGAAGAGCGCACCCAGTCTCGCAGTCTGGGAGCTATAGCTGGTCTCCTCGTTTGAAAATGCAGCCAGAGTTGATGTGTTTAGGCTCGTTCCAATAAATGTTTTGAAAGAAGCTGGGGCGTCGAAATATCCACAGAAATAGACTGTCCAAGGACCAGCTCTGTTCCATCCCTAAAATTAATCTTAGTACTCTTCAGATTTCCAAAAAAATGGATAGGCGGGATCATGACTCACATTGTTATAAGTTCCTGATCCAGTATAATAGTAATACCCGGCATCAGTATCTTCTTTGACATTGATACTACCTCCCAAGAAGTGCTGTTCTAGGCCTTGGCCCCGATAAGACGACAAGACGTGAGACACGTCAACAAGGACATTGAGATCTTTGTTGACACTAGGGAATGTGTACTGAAACATGCCCGCTTTGTTGGTGGCGGCCATTTCCAAGACAGTACCAGAACCAAGACTTGCTTTGTAGTAGCCAATCTCGGTATAATCAGGCGCGGCGCGCGTATCGTTGATGGCGTCGCTAAGGGGGTTGTTTACCGTTCCGACCACGGGCATCTGAGAGACGACGCCGTATTTGGGAGCGCCTCCAGTGCCGCTTTCATGAAGCATGGTGAAGCCCGTGAAGTTGCCGTTTGCAAGATACCCAGAGTAGGCGTCTGTGCCAGAGTAAAGATCAGGGCCAAGCTTGACCATGCCCAGTGGTCGAGAAACGCCCGGGAAAGTGTTTCCGCCATTTGTTTCTCCCGTCTAGTCATATAAAGCGTCAGTTTAATGTTCGAAGCGTAGTAGACATGAGTAAACTGATGCTATACAAGACTTGGACAATTCACTTACACTGGTCAAGACATAGCTGGCTAGATCAACGGGAGGAAGCGCAGCCGAGTTGGCTAACGCGATCAAAGGCAATAATATTAATGTAGAGTACATTATGATTATAAATATGCACAGCCCAATAGATACAATGAGCATGCTGGAGGAGAACAGCCGTCGACGCCGTACATTACAGTAGACTTATATGCAATTCTCGAGCCATAGCATCTCTCACCCCCTCCTCTCGCTATTTAGAATGCCAAGGCGGAAAGCAAACGCCGCAATATGCATGCTCCGCACAAAGAGAAAAGCAGCAACAAGAGTTCCTTGCATGCACTGAACACTAGGTACACATAGAATCACGTTCCTGGGAGTTGATCATGAGTGGGCGGCGCCTGAGAGACAACGTGGGATGCGCATGCCACCTGAGTGGCTAAGAGCCCTGCATAATGCCCAAATAGGCAAGACGTCCAAATTGGAGGGTCCGTCGAGATCTGTGAGGGGACGGCCGTTCAAGTGCCGAAGTGGCACAATATCAAGCAGTACTGTTATCATATTAGTAACTCGATCTTGCGATATCGTTCGGACGAGCACAAATCGCGCTTTTTTCTCTTGTTGCAGAAGCGAGGGGGGACAGGCCGGAATAAACAGTGCCGAGTCTTGGGGCCGGCGCTGTCTCTCCGTAATGACATGTCTTACAAGTTGGTGAAAGTCATAATTAAACATGCCCACTTCGGCCGTGTCTCGCGCCTGTTCAGCCGACGAGGATTGTTGAAAGAGCACGCGCCATTTTGGATGAAAGAAGTCAATAAATGAAGACGTGTCGCATGACTTGCAGCCAGAAGCGGCAGGATCACGGACGTGGGCTAGACCTCGTCTTGAGGCGTACGGCACCTAGAGCTAGTAGTCTTGGTTCACAGCAATACAAGAGATGCAACGTCGACTAACAACTTTTTACTGTATAGCATCTGCTTGAGCACCTACCATTTGTGGAGATGCCGTATTAGCCTATAAGTGGTGTAAAGAGGGCCTTCTACATTAAGCTTCTTTCATATAGGCTTATGGAGAAACTATTAAATAGACAACCGACCAAGAACCCTAGTAACTGGCTTGAGTCATAGATTAATCAACTCAAAGTAACCAGACACGGCATGTAATGAACAGGTTTTCAGTCTTCTTGTAGGGTGTATTTGGGCAGACTCTCTTCTCTGCGGGGTCGCAGGCCGGGAGAGGCGTTCTAGGCTCGAGGCACTTGCATCTCGTGGCGCAGACCCAAACAAGTTAGTCCCAGGAACGCAGCATCTCGGGTTATCGAGAGTGGATTCATGTGCAGCTACGGTGTTTACATGTGATGGACACTTATCGTCTACGTATAGGTATAAGGGAAAGTTTGATATGGCATATCTATTGTATCGCCCAGAGCATTCACATGCAAAGATACCTTTGAGGTTGGCATAAGACCATCTTACTAAGGCGAGCTTCCAGAGCGAAACAACATCGGATGAACTAGATCACAATGCGGGGTAGCAACACAGATAGAGCTTCATTGTCATGTTACTGTGCCATCTTATCACTCCAAGCCACGTGCAGGCGAGAACAAAGGAGCAGAGCCAACAGCCATATATGGGTGTGCTGATGTTGCATAGCAAAGTCACAGTATTGCCTTGCCCTGAGCAGCGTGACTTGACATACATGTGGCAGCACTTACAGGGGGTTGAGAATTTGCCGAACTCCGATGCTTACACATTGCGAAATGTTAGGAATCGGAGCTTCGTTTCTAAGCGGTAGAATCTTATACTCCCGTCAGAGTTGCATGTTGACCTCTAGTATCACTCATTCATTATCACAGTCTCTTTGAACATTGGAGATGGTGGGGTTCGTCCAGTGTGTATCTCTGAATCGGGGAATTTGATCTCCCGCGGATTAACATGGCGCCGACAGCTTACCTCAGCAAGCCCGCACAAAAATGGAGGGACACAGAAATATACGCACACTTTCACCGCCTGACATCTGCAGCCACTGTCTGCTCCTGTTGTCCATCTTTGTGTGCATAATCTCCCTGCAGGCCCTCTTTTTTTTTCTGCATACCGCTTTGCCACCGACAGGCGGTCTGGAAATATTTTGTCGATAACGCGGGCAGAATCCACGAGGCCCACGTCAGAACCGCAGCGCTGCTTGTGTTCCGCCTTTTCTGCCACCCGCCGGCAACAGCATCACCACCGACCGCCAAACGGCCGCCATCGAGACGCCCAGGCCCTTCTGCGCCGAGCCGAGCGTCTCCAATTGCATCGAATCGAACCGCCAGCCCTGCGCAATGGGTCGCAAGCCGAACCCCCTCATCCTCGAGTACTTTGTGCGCGGGCCAAAGCTCAACGACAACAGCAACCGCTATCCGCACACCTGCAAGCAGTGCGGCGAGAACTTTCCCAAGGGCCGCATCGACAGCCTGACGACGCACATCACCAAGAAATGCCCGGCCATCTCCGATTCCGACCGCATGCGGGCGTGTCTCGAGCTCCACGGCATCACGGCCCGAGCAGCTGTTGAACGGCAGCCTCACGGCGGGGTCTCCGTCAATGTCAATGGCCAGCCGTCCGCCCAGCTTGCGCCGCCACAGGGAGGATGGAGTGCTCTCGAGACACTGGCCGAGGCATCGCGCCAGGTCGATCTTAACGAGAACAGTCGAGGCCAGAAGGCACCAGACGCTGCCAATCCGGCCAATGGCGGTGGATTCGTGACCGATCGCCTGGAGCTGCAGGAGCAGTTTACGCTGGAGAACCCTCCCCAAGCTTATGAGAGCCGCCCTCAGACAAGCACCAGCGTCAAGAAAGAGAAGAGTAAGCATCAATTGCCTCTCCAGGTTGCTGTTTTTGTTTGTTTCCATTCTATTTTTTTTTTTTTAAAAAAAAAAAAATCGCAGCAGCTTAGCTAACTAATTCTTGTTTTCTGCAGGCACCGTTGCTGTGCAAGTAGCGTCACCGACTTCTGAGCTCTCACCGGAAGAACGCCTCCAGGCTTTGCTCCCCCCTAGCGATGTGCTGCCAGATGCTTCCAACATCTCCGTTGCCGTTGCCGCCACGGCTCGCTTGAACCCTTCGTTTCTCGACCCCCAGCTTGTCCATACTGACATCCCGCCGACCTCGTCTCCTCCAACCGTAGAGCCACAAGCGCCCATCGACCCAATGCCAACCGCCCCTTTACCCGTCTCCCTACCCGATACGAGCGTTTCCCAGCCGTGGGGCGAGATGACATACTTGACCACCACTGCCCCGATCCCGCTCCTCACAGAAAGTTCTCCAGCGCTACCGCTTATGAGTCGTGGCGGTGTCCGAATGGATACGAGTGACGGATTAATCAACGGCAGAGCCCGCCATGCACGGTCGAGATTTACTCCTGCTAGGCGGAAAGAAGTCCAAGAAGTACGTAAGATAGGTGCTTGTATAAGATGCCGGATTTTGAGAAAGAATTGTGGCAAGGGGACTCCATGCGATACCTGCCGCAAAGTCTTGGCACCTCGTGTCTGGAGGACTGGCTGTGTCCGCACTCGACTGCACGAACAGCTCGACCTGTATGCCGCTGGTGTTCAGGTTGTCCTCTCCCAAAACCGCATTAACCTCATCAAGGACCAACTCAAGCTTACCAACGATGGGAGCGTGATTGAAGTATCACACTTTCCTGAAGCGGGAAAGAAGATTGTGTTTGGAGCCCTGGTGTATCCATTGGAGCCAAACGAAACTCAGGCAGAGGCTCGTGGAAACAAAGAGCCCTTTCACCAAGTCATTATGATTGACCAGGACTCGGAAGATATCCCAGCCAAAGCCGAGGCATACATGCGAGATGTGCTGTCCACATTTATTGAGCGCGAGCCGTCGAAATTTATGAAAGTGACGCTCGAAGCTGCATACCACCAGCTCTCAAAGGAAGAAGACGATCTTCTCAAGAAGGCTTTGGAGCTTTGGGGCCTTGTGGAGAGCATTGATCGCGAAAGGCAATGGACTATCCTGGAGAAGCCCAGCGCCGAAGGAGAAGAGCCGAGATGGATCAAAGAAGCGCAAAACGAAAACGACGCCGATATCTACACCATGATTTGCATGCAACTCAATGCTGCGGCCGAACGAAAAGCTAATAGCACTTCCAAGAGCCTGCTGAACCACATGGATAGGCTTCTCACTGATAGCAAAACAAAGGTCGGCTTCAAGATCTATCTGACCGCCTTAATCTTCCTCAACTGTGTGGAAAAGTCAACCTGGGCCTTCAAGGCTTGGGAGCAGGACCATCTCCGCCCAGGCTGGCCCCTTGAGCGCGACCCAAGCGTTTTCACTCAGCAGGGCGGAAACTTGGCCGGGCTGCTGAAAATGCTATTGTCTATTCGCAAAGCATTACCCCAGACAATGCGAAGCGAAGAGGGAAAGTTGACGGTCCAGGATAGAGACCCGGACATTACAGAGTACTTTAAGAACCTTGATCTTGATTGTAAGTTTTCACCCCAACATATCAACTTTCCAAGCCCTTTTGTCTAACCAGATCACAGTCGATAATATCGAAACCCGCCAAAAAGGCTCACAATTCTCTCCCGCCGACTCCCGTTCCCTCGAACTAGCTTTTTGCTCGCACCTTCTCCTCCCTTACCCTTCGGCCTAAAAAAACAATACCCATGAGATATGAGACTACGACATGACGCATAAATTTTTATTTCCTTTTCTTATCTATCAGTCTTACTATCACTGTTCTGTTCTTCTGCGATATAGATGATTAAGACGACTTTGCCTCACTGGCGTGGAGACATATTCTCCTTCATTTTCTCCTATTTCCCCTGACTCAAACTGAAACGAAGCGAGACGATGCATGCAAATATTAGACGGCGGAAAAGTACAAAAGCGAAAAAGTACATATACAATCACAAACCAAAACACATATTCGCGACATAGAAGAGAACTTTGTCAAGGCAAACCCTTCTTAGCCTCAGTTACACTCCAAACGATCTTCGCATAACACCGGCGTTGGTCCTGGGGTATCCATGCTTTTTTTTTTTTTTTTGAGACTCTCCCTATATTTGCGAAAGCAAGGCACACAAAAATGTGATAGAGGAACCCTGCTCGGGCTCCCATCATTATGGAAGAAATTTCCTTTTCTTTCCTTTGTTTTCTCTATATCCTTATTTATATTATATTCATAGAGCGATGGCGCAATTTCTGCGGCGGTATGACACTGTGTAGCACCACGGGAGCTGATTCTCGAGGCTGTCAATGAGCCATAATCTAAGAAAACAGCGAGCTCACACATACGGGGCACGATATATAGTAATAGATGATTAATCACACTCGCAATATAAAAGAACGTTCTTCTCGAAGATCAAATTTCCAATGCTTCTCATTCATGCTTTCTCTATCGTCCTACCAATGAATTAACTAAAACCGCTCCGTTTGCTCTTCTTCAAATGCACCAGTTGCCAACCCTCTAAGTCGGCGACAAGCTTCCACTATCCACACGCGAAGATCCTTGTCCCGCCGCCCGCCTCGGCTTCTTAAAGCAAGCGAATTCGTTCTTGCTCGCGTCCCTAAGCTTCTTTAGCACGTTGCGCATCTCGGGCAGCTCGTTCTGCAGTCTCGCACGGGCGTCATTGTCCGTGCGGCTATCCAGCTCCTGGTAGATTTGGCCCTGCAGCTCCGAAGCTTTATCCGTCGTGTACTGGCTGAGCGTCTGGGCGATAAACTCCACGTCGAGGGTGGCTTGGATAAGAGCGCTGAGGGAGTAGCGCGAGCGCTTGCGGAACGCATCCAGCAGCTGCAGAGAGGTTTGTTCCAGCAAGAAGGAGAGCACCTGGGGCGTCAGAGAAGCAGCCGTGGTAGAAACTTGAGAGTGGACCAGCACAAGAGTCAAAAGCGTTTCGTATACGTATGGCTTTGCCGTCTGAGGTCGCTCGCCAGATGCGGGAGCCCAGTCCGGATCCTCGAGGCCGGCGAGGATGATTTCGCGAAGCTTCTCGGTGGCCTGCTTGGTGTACGACTGGAAGAGACGGGCGTCGATCTGGCCAAGCACGTCTTTGATGGTTTTAGACTCGTCTGTGAGCTTAACCGAAAAGGCGTTCTCAAACTGCGAGTTCAAGTTGGGAACGATTTGAGATCGCAGCGCTTGCAGGTTGCTCAGCGTAAGAAGCATTCGAACATTCTAAATACACATGTAAGTTTTTGAGAGAAGAGAGAAGGGGTATTCTCAAGACTTACTCGGTCTCCAGCGTCAAGCGTGCTCTTCCCTACTGATGATATAGCTACGGTAGAGACACCTCCTTCTTGGCCAATGGACCATTCGTCTTCGGCCTTTCTCACGGATCGCTCTGCATTCTCCACCATACCGCTGAGAGCTTTGTACAAGGTGGTTACGTACTGGCTCCGAACCATCTGGAGCAACTTGGCCGGCGGTGGCAGGACAATGTCACCCGCATTTGGCTTCGACATGGCTTCAGAGATGTAGAGAATCTTCTGCATGCCGGTTAGAAGGCCACCCTCAAATACCGCAAAGCTTGCAGGCATCCGCGTAACGTCGCCCGACTCTGCAGATGGCTGCCAATCTTCAATGAACTTCATATTCTCGGCGTCCTTGTTCCATGCGGCACAGAGGGCCGTCACGCAGCGCTCTCTGGAGACACCAGTCAAGGCCTTTAGTTGTTCGAGAACTTGGCCATTTCCTGACCGGATTGGGTCGATGGTGGCAAGATCGGAGGCACCTGAGCCAACTAATGCCAACATCTTACAGAGATAGTAAACTCCGCTGATGGAATTCGACCAAGGCGGCCAAAAGGCAAGCTTCTCCCAAGGCTCACCTTTTTTGGGAGACGAGGGTGGCGGGTTATTTGGATCAAAGTTGAATCGAGGGTCCCGTGAGGTTGGACTGAGAGACTGCCCGAATCCGTTGGCCGTTGCCGGTGAGTTGGGTGATAGGGGGAGCGGCGAAAAGACCATACTGATATCTTCAGGGGGAAGACCAGCAAAGAAATCATGGACGTGTCCTCGCAGCAGATCTACTAGCTCCACGATGCCCTTTTCGAGAACAATTATGTTATTCTGTGTCAACTGATGGTGCTTTTGAGACTCGTCATTATAGCCAGTAGGCAGTGTCTTTTGAATCCTGCCTTCTATGAAGCCCTGCGCAGTCTGCCAAAACTCGAGAAGGTCTCCGAGAATACCTTGGGGGGATATCAAGCTAGCCAGGAACGCAAGCATCTTCTCCCACAGCTCAATGACATCTGCAGAATCGCTCGAAGTCGGCTTGCTGTCCATGCTCTGTCGACCTAGTGTGCGAAGATGAGAGGCAATAACCCGACTTGAAGGCTTCTCACTGGCCGCCAATCTCCGGCGAAGCACCTCAATTTCCGCTTTGGTGTGATCAGCTGTTGACTGAATCTTGCTTTTGAGGAACTCATATCGGCTGAGAAGCCACACCCATATCGGACTCTCCCCAACGCCAAGCTCCAGTAACAGAGTAATGACATCCATGTGCTGATCCAGGCCTCGGCCACCGTGACTTTCAGATTTCGACAAGGTATGTAAGGAAACCAGCCTCTTCCACACCTCGCGTTTGAAGGTTTGGATTTGACGATCAACGTCATACCACACGCGGGCCGCCACCATGAGCTGGTAGAGCTCATCGTCCTCAGGCGACTGGCGTCCCAGCCTGTTTGATAATACGCGCGCGTCGTCTGCAAACTGCCTGGCGCGGTTATATGCTTCCACCAGGGTCTCGTAGTCTTTCCTTTTAATGCAGTCGGATATTATGGTGCTCAGTTCCAGCGGATCCTTGAATTTATTCACGTATTTTTGAAAGTCCTTCAGATGTTCTTCCTTTTCGCGACCGCCCAGAGCAGGGCCCCACACATCTTCTGCCTTGGCGGAAACGTCGAGTAGGGGGGCTTTGATTCCCAACACGCCATATTCACTCTCTTTGATGAGGGCATTCTTCTTTCGAGAATCCGCTGACATGGCCATTGGGCTGTTTAATCCACCCTTGCCACGTAAGCTCGTCCGGCTGGCGTGGCGGCCGTGAACTGAACTCCTCGCTCCGGGTCCTGATTCGGCGCCGCGGTATTTCATTTCTCGATAAACATTGTCTATAGTCGCCTTCGCCTTGACGAATCGTTCAAAGTTGCTCTCGACAAGGACCTTTAGAGACGCTGACTTCTGATCAATCGACTGGGAGAGGATGTCCAGGCCCTCGAGCAACGTGCGTGTATCGGCCCTGGCGTGAATCTGGGACAGGAATAAGGTGGGAGAGAAGGTAGTCGAGGACAGCATGAATCGATTGCCTATCAAGATGCGATCAGTATGCTGTGTTGTCGGGCCAGCCTCAACGGAGCTCGGCATTAAGTACTAGAGGAGCCATTGGAGACTCACGAAGTCGCACGTCGTCCTGGACCTGGAGGCCATTTTCCCTCAGCGAGCGGACAACGCTGTCGGTGGTGCCCAGCGGGTCAGGCTCGTCCTTCAACACCAAGTTGTTGACCCCTCCTTTCTTGCCCACGGCAGCACCTTTGCCGTCGCCAGAGGACTCGAGGGCCTGGTATCGCGACTTTTGGCGGCCGTGCTTCTTGGGGTCGCCCTCGTCGCCGGAGGAATCATCGTCCTTTTCTGCGGGCCATTCTGACGGATACGAGGTGGGCAGCTGGTAGAAATCGAGGATTGTTCGTTCGTAGTCGGACATGATGGCGGAATCGAGGCAGCCAGCGCTGTTAAGCTACGGAGCTTGAGGATCGTGTGGAGGCCTGCAGAGGACGCTCAAGCATGCCGCAAGAGCAGGGCCGGATTGTGTCGCGGTTCGTGTTCGGGATTCTGGCAAAGGGTGCAGCGACCATTGCTTTGCTCCAGCCAACGTGAAGCAACCCGCAAGCAGCTGCCGCGGTCTGGATGTGGATTGCAACAAGGTCTACGGTATTGGAGCTGATGCAAGACCAGGTACCTTGGATGGTACCTTACCCCGTGCTTCAGCCCACTCTACTACTATGCCACGCTCTCATCCAGCACCAGCCACATCTCGGGGCAACCCTCCATCCCTCAAAGCCACAGCTCCTTACTAAGTAGTCATGCTGCACTTAGTGCCGGTCCCAGTTTAAAAATCACGGAGCACGCCGAGGTTACAAGTGCCAGACGAAGGGGGAGAGAAAAAAAAAAAAAAAAAAAAGAGCTGGCAGCATCGACGTAATTAACGGCCCCGCCTCATTGGGCGTAGCTCGGGGCGTCCAAGCCGCAAACCGAACGGCATCCGAGGCCCCAACCCGACGCGGCAGAGCGGAAGAGAGGAAAAAAAGCTCGAATGAGGGAAATTCCACGCGCGAGCCACAGCGCATGTGGCTGGTTTCTACCCACTCAGCTTGCGTTTGAGCCACTCGCAGCGCAGCAACCAAGGCTGAGGCGTGCATATCGCCGGCTCTCAGGTTTCGGCCAAAAAACTTTCCAGATGGAGTTTGTTTATTAGCGACTCTCCCTTTTACTTCTCTCTTCCTTTCTCTTATTCCACGCAGATATTCGCCAGCCTCCCTCTCCTCTCCTCTCCTTGACGTCTCATCTTTTATATACTTGTTTCACTCTTCACCATGCTGGCCATCCGCTCTCTCTCCAGCCCTGCCAGGCACTGCGTGCGAGCAGCTCCCCGCGCTGCCGCCACCTGGTCGATTTCGGTATGAAACACCAAACTGCGGCTTAGCTGGAGAACAAGGAAAATGATGATTGTCTAACATGCACGGCTTAGAACCAACGATTCTACTCCCAGGAGCGTGTTGCCAAGTACGACGGAACCAAGGACTCCAATGTACGTTGCCGACACCTAATTTGCGCAAGCCCCGGGCCATCTGCGACTTGCTTTGTCTCTATGTCACCGGATCCGAGGAGGCAAAAAAATTCACTCACGTCGCAGAGCTTGGCGCTTGCGCAACTTTAGACAAAATACTTACAATATGAACAGGGCAACTTCCTCGTCAGCTTGATCGAGGGTGACGGTATCGGCCCCGAGATTGCTCAGTCCGTCAAGGACATCTTTGCCGCCGCCAAGGTACGACTTATATCTTATCTCTCGAAGCAAGAAGGAAAAGAAGAAGAAGAAGAAGAAACCAAAATGGCTAACAATGGAAGTAGACCCCAATTGCTTGGGAGCCCATCGACGTCAACCCCATCATCAAGGACGGCAGGACCGCCATTCCCGACGCTGCGATTGAGAACATCAACAAGAACAAGATTGCCCTCAAGGGTCCTCTGGCTGTGCGTAAAATAAGAGCTCGTGTCCAGATCATTCACAGCTGGACCGGATGGCATGACAAGAATCGATTGTGCTGATGCGTTTGCTTTACAGACCCCCGTTGGCAAGGGCCACGTCTCCCTCAACCTGACCCTGCGACGAACCTTCAACCTGTTCGCCAACCTGCGACCTTGCCGATCCGTCGCCGGCTTCAAGACCCCCTACGACGGCGTTGACACCGTCCTGATCCGAGAGAACACCGAGGGCGAGTACTCCGGCATCGAGCACGTCGTCGTCGACGGAGTTGTCCAGAGCATCAAGCTCATCACCAAGGAGGCCAGCGAGCGTGTCCTGCGATTCGCCTTCCAGCACGCCGAGTCCATTGGCCGCAAGAAGGTCCGCGTCGTCCACAAGGCCACCATCATGAAGATGTCCGACGGTCTCTTCCTCAAGACCGCCGAGCAGGTTGCCAAGGACTTCCCCAACATCGAGTTCGACGCCGAGCTGCTCGACAACACCTGCCTGAAGATGGTCACCGACCCCAACCCCTACAACGACAAGGTCCTCGTCATGCCCAACCTGTACGGTGACATTCTGTCCGACATGTGCGCCGGTCTCATCGGCGGTCTCGGCCTGACCCCCTCCGGCAACATCGGTGACGAGTGCTCCATCTTCGAGGCCGTCCACGGTTCCGCCCCCGACATTGCCGGCAAGGGCCTCGCCAACCCCACCGCCCTGCTGCTCAGCTCCATCATGATGCTGCGCCACATGCGCCTCAACGACCACGCCAACAAGATCGAAAAGGCCATCTTTGACACTCTGGCCGAGGGCAAGTCCCTGACCGGTGATCTCGGCGGCAAGGCCAAGACCCACGAGTATGCTGGTGCCATCATTGAGAAGCTGTAAATTTGATGAAAAGTAGTCTTTCTGTTTCTTTTCATCAAGTTCGATTCGATACCTCAGCATCTCTCTTCCGCGGCTCTTATACCATCCATCAAAGAAAGCATCATCATACCAACCACATACGCCCCGTCATCGCCGCAAAGTCATACCATCAATGTAACTCGAGCTACTTATGCCTATTTCTTCAGTGGGCACCCTTCAAGTTGCTCCCGCCATACATAACCTTTTTATTTCTTTCATACTTGTACAAAAAAAAATCCACCAGAAGAGGCAATTTCATTATTTTTCATTGCGGTTATTCCAAAAAGTGTATTGACACAATTAGTAGCAAGCATCAGTACATTTACAGATTTTCCACAAAAAAAAAAAAAGATGAGAGGGAGGGAGGAGGGAAGGCAAGGCAAAGGAAAGGGGGGGGCAAAAAATGGGACGAGCGGTTTAGAACATGTATGCATGGACAAAATACTAGACGGTGTGTCAGTGCAGTCGTCCATTTGGACTTCGGCCACGGCGCAGCAAAATAATCCAAAAACAAGTTCAAAAATCATCAATATCGTATTAAACAGTGGCTCTTCTCTGCTGTGTCCTGTTTCTTAACTTGATGTAGTATGAAACAGTACTACTACATACTGCATACTAAGCATGCCCGTATAAGCACCGCAGAATCTTCATGCAACAGCAAAAGAGAATCTTCCGTCGGCACGGCTTCCGTGACACGAGGAAGAGACTCGGCCATACGGAGCACGATTCGGTATTCCGTATGTTTGTGCCACGCTATAGTGCAAGCATAAGGGGGGAACAAACTCAACCGTACAAAATCCCATGATTCAGCTACCTGGCTTTCATGTCGTTACGCGTATCCGTACATCGGAAAATGACGTGGTTTTCGGGTTGCTCAGCAGTATTTATTTGCTACCTATTCATGCACACCATGCATGCATGAGCACACCAGGGTAGTAGCACCAAAATATTTGAAATTGCTAGTTTGAATTTGAAAATCTTCATTTCGTTGAAAAGAGGTTTGATTTTTATTGCAATTGATGAAAACAAACAGAAATATCGCTAGCTGTTCAATGCCAAATTCCACGGAAAGGGGGATGGCAGGTTGTTCATACAAATGGTAGTACATGAGAAAGTAGATGGCCCAATCCGGCAACCAAAACAACAACGCCAGTACCCAGCCTTGCAAAAAGAAACCATAAATGAATACACAAATAGCAGTGATGATGAAATGCACCCCTAACGCAACGCAGATACGTAGTAATAACAAGGTCGTAAATCATGCCAGTTCAACTTCCAAATCCCGAATACAAGACGCCCAATTCCATAACATACTAGCGAGTAAAAGGATCGATAACGCGCCAAGGCCGTAGAAGAGTGGAATAAGTAGGCGAAAGTAATCCCATGTCCGGATGAGGATGTCAATTTTTGGCCGGAAAAGGATAGACTTCATATCGCTCCGTACGAAAGATGCTACCCGAGAATCCGACGCCACTCCCACACTGAAGCACCGAGATAAGAAAGAGAAGAAAAGGTAAGTGGAAAATCTATTGTCGGCATTTGTAGTCGTAGGATTGCGTGTGTCGTGGTCGCATGATTTGAAGTTTGTACATGAATGTGCTCGCTGAGCCCCAGAGCTGCGGTAACACCGAGTGTCTTTTGTGTAATCGTTGCATCCGCACGTGTTTCATGCCTGGCAACGTGCGCAGCATTCCGACAAAGCGAAACCAGCCAAGGTTACTTCTTTGTCGTACACGGCCGCCTAGCTGAAGAAAGATAGGCCAAACAAGCCCCTATTGGACTCTGGTCCGTCCAGCACCGCACAGGCCTCCATCTCGTCGTCGGTCCATCGCTTCTGGACCATGCCAGGACTGTAAGTCGACCCGCGACGATTAGGTCGATTCGGGAAGAAGAGATGCGGTCGGCGAGCTTCAGTGAATCGTGCCCATTTCCAGTCTTCAGGAGAACGGCAATCGCCGAGCTGGTGGGTGGCTCTGATGACAATTTTCCACGACTTGATGCTGCTATCCGCAAATATGCAAGGCTCGATTGTGATGTCATAGTCCATCAGGCACAAGCCACAGGATCCCGGAGCCTCGCGGCAGGGCACCAGGTTGTAGCCGCCAGTAAGTGGCCTCCTCTGCAGCTCTGGAATGTACTGTTGAAAGGCCGAAGAGCCGGAAAAGAACGAAGTGTGCTCGCACAGCTTGAAGTCGCGCGCGCCAGTACCCTTGCGGAAAGCGGCCACATCAGTCTCAGCCACAGCGAAGACGTAAGTGCGCCGCAAGAACAGCTCTCCATCCATCATTTTGGCCGAGGTTGAGCATTTGATGGTGGTCTTGTCTCGCTGTTCGCTGTGCTCGATACACAAATTGGCCAGCGGGATGCCGTGTTCGGCGCCGTACAAGTGACGATTCACAGCCAGCCTAGCATGAGCGTAACTGAGGCCAAAGGGATTGTTGAGGGGAGAGAATCGATCTCGACGGGAACATTTGCCGTGCTTGGGTCTCTCTCCAGTGTCTGCTAATGTTGCCTGAGGTCCAGTAGTTGGCTGAAAAGCGTGTAATTTATTGCAGTGGGCACAGTAAAAGGTCCCTCTGCCCAGATGATCCTTTTCGATGAGGGGGAGGACTGCTTTCTTTTGGCCAGGGAGCATTGTCTTGAGAGTTTGCGGGAACAGCGCATAAGTGCTTCGACAAGCAAGCTTTAGACAGAGGATATCCGAAGCATCCAAGTAGTCTCCGATTAGGAGCAGGACATCTGATGAGATGTTGAGGATGGGAGTTCCTTTGGGCGGCTCATTTTGGACAGAGGCGATACTACTAGTATCGTTGACGGCAGAGGAAGGTGGTGTAAAGGCGCGAAACCAACCGCCTCTTGTCCAGAGACTGGTGAGAAGCTGATCCATATTGACGGTTGAGTGAGAATAATGACGTCGAATTGGGAGAAGGCCGCTGTGGGGCTCGTTGTAACGCTTCAAGTGTGAATGCGTCTGGATGTGTAGCAGAAGACAAGAGCAGTGGTTGAGGTTCAAAGTCAAGCGACACTAAAAGACAGAGTCCAGGGATGAAGATGGCTGCTAGGAGAAAAGAATGAGAGAGGGACGAAGAGAGATAAAGCGAAGAGCCAAAACGCAATCTAATGAACAAAGCGGGCATCCGCGTAGCCTAAAAAAAGAAATATAGGTGAACGGCAAGGACCTTGGAAGGCTCCTTCTCAACGGACAGACAGCACAAGGTTAGAGCGAAGCCCTGAGCGTTGGGTATTGCCTTATTGGGAGGGGGTGCAAAATGCTGCCGAAGCCCCTGTACAAAGTAGGTACATACTCAACCCTGTTGAAATGACAGCAATGGCGGCGCGTTTGGCGCATTTGGCTGTGGCTCACGTGTGGCATCTTCGTATACAATTACATTCAGTGCTGTAGATTTCCAGAAGCGGCCCGTCCATTGCTTGCGCGGGAACCGTGGCGGCGGTATCTGTGCCACCGGGCATGGAGCAGTCTGGCGCGGTGCCATTGATGGCGTTGCGGGTGCATTTCTGGTCACATGGAAGCCTCCATGGGGAGTGTATATGCGATGATAGAGACCTACTAGCAGTTACAGATTGATATGGCGTACATAGATGCATACGACTGGAGTGCATGCAGTGATGCCATCCCAACCAACATACAGCAGCATATATCGAGTGACAAATCCTGTCCACACAGACAGAGTGTGCGCAGCATCAGGTCATGGATGTATGACCTCAATGCACATAAGGGTCTTCCACTAGGCTTCAAGAGAGTCATGGCCACGCGAGACACGCGGCAGTCCGTGTTGTCTCGGCATTACCAGATATACAAACCAGTCCACTAGTATCTACCAAACACCGGGTCCTACGCTTCCCATTGTCGCCGTGAGTATCTAGCAGTTTGAAGAGAATAAAGTGGAATGGAATGCAGTGCCATGCTGAGCTCAAAAATAGAAACCCATCGCCAAGCTGGCCCGTGTCACCAAAGCTGAGGCCTAATGTACACTCCAAAGGCAGGGCCATGTAAGTGCGGAGTAAACCGAATGTCTAGAATTACAATCAAAGAACCACCATCTGCTGCTGTTTCGTACTACTGCCGGCATCAAGTCATGCGCAGGTTCTAGTCTACTTACTCACCCACGGTACAAGCTTATCAGGGCCAATTACCGCCGCCACCTTCATCCTTATGAGATGGTTGAAACGGATCTCGGCTGGCTGCGCCACCAAATCCTCCTGCCAATACTCTTCCGCATCCAGCGGCAGGGTTACCACGCAGCAAATAAAAAAAAAGAAAAGAAACCATGGCTCCGGTGCAGTGTCTCATCCGTTCTTCTTCTTCGTCTTCTTCCCGAAAGCGGGGCGGCCAATTCTATACGTCACAACCTGCAAGCCAAACCTGATCTGGGCCTTTTTCCTTCTTCGAACTGTTGGAGTCTCGACTCTCGATATTCGACGCCACAGCAGGCTAGTTCTTTCAGCTTTCCAGGTCTTGGGGTAGATAAGTGCTTCAGCTTCTTTTATTACATGTGAGAGCATGGTAGTAGATCCCTATCTACGCACGCTTATAGAAATGTGGAACTCAAGGGATGAGAATCCGGAACATCAACCAATTCAGCCTCGATTTATAAATAGCTCTACTACTCTTACACGGAACTAATGTATTATCTTCGTTCGGCTTGGGACTATTACCTCATGACACGGCAGAGATCCTTCAACTCAAGGCCTATGCAAGGCATCATCTGATCAGAGAGAAGAAAGCTGACACAATTGCCGCACAGCTCGTCCGTTCTAATGCATGTATAATCATTACTTGGCGATATAAGTGACAAATTCAATAAAATATACATGTTCAATGGATAAGCTACATCATTCTTCTCCTACCTAGCATCTATAGTGCTTATGCCAAGTGATTTAGATGCCATTAACCTACAGATGATAGGCTGGATCTTGAACATAGTATAGCTTTAGATGGCCTTAATTCAACTACCCTACAAATTTATCCAACCGCATAACTTCAGCAGGTTCCAAGTTGACAAAAGAAAATATTGGTCTATTGCTAGCTAACTCTCATATGCGTATTATCCATGCTGAAAAAAAAGGAAAATAGATCAGAATCAAAAAGAAAACAAGATAGCCAGATGAAAAAGCGATGAGCGGTCCACGACGACATTGTTAATATCTCTCGTCCTCAGAAGCCTCCCCCTCCATCTTCTTGCGCTGCTCCTCCATACGCTCATAAAGCTCATCCTGTCGATTTTTAACCTCCTCTACTTCAGCCATAAACTTGTGCTGTCTGATTTCCTGATCCAGCATATCAGCCGCCAATCGCTCACGCAGCTTGTTTGCTCGATCCTCCTGCTGTGTAGATCCATCCTTCTGCTGCACTTTCTTCTGCTCTTCTGGCTCAGGCGTGCTCGGAGGAGAAGGAGGAGCCTTTGATGCCGTGGCCTTTCGCTCCGTCTTGCGCTCTCCGCCGAGAAACTGCTCTTCCCATGACTTTCGCTCGGCAAGTTCTCTATTGAACTGATCGCGGAATTCTTTGCGCTCAATGTCCCGGTCTTCAATGTGAGGGCACAAGCGCTGGCGGGTGCTCTTGGCTTCCATTTTGTGGTGTGTGATGTAATCTCTGAGCTTGTAAATAGATAGGAGGTTTGACACAATCGGATTGTTCTCAGAATCTGATGTTCTATCTGAAAGGCAAAAACTGTTGTCGTTATTCAAGCACCAGGACGATATCTGGCTGATCTTGTGGCAGCTTATATACCCAAAAAGATGGCCTAGTCTAATAGATGTTCGCGTTATCTCGTGACGCTGCATCTTCTAGCAAAGAAAGTATTCTTTCTTCCAATTCTGTTTGTTGGCGACAAAGATGATGTCAAGACACTAAATCAAGTAACAGTCTTAATCAAGGCCATGGTTCTCGTTCAGCTGTTGGTGAGAAAAGTATTCCTTGATCCAACTTTGTTTGTTAGCGACAAAGGATGATGAATAGACACTGCCACATGCCTCGCATCATAGACTATTATACAAAGGTGTGAAAGGTCTTTGACGACGCTAGTATTTGAATTGCTACCACTGGTTACTATTAATATAACAAAAGAAAGCAATTCAAAACCCATTATAATCTCCCGCTTTGTATCTCCTTTTCAAAAATCTTTATTCCCCAGACGTCGTAATATCGCAAAGGTCCAATTGTCTTGAACCGCAGATGGGTTCCCACGTTGATATCTGCATCTTCGCTATCACTTTCTGAGGACAGGTCGATGGGGAAAGGATTGTGCAGATCAGAACCGGAACCAGAACCTAAACCATTCATCGGAGCCGTTCCTTTGCCCTTCGCTCGCTTGCTGTTGCTTTGTTCATTCGGGGCGTCATCAGCTTCTTGATTTGGCCTGACCACTCGGTACACGCGATCACCTTCCATTGCGATCCATTCCAGCTTGAGCCCGGGGTGGTGTGATAGGTTATCTACAGTGAACCTTAGGATTTCTCGCATAACCGACATGCAAGCATCGTGGCTGCGAAAGTGTATGATATTAATGGCCAGCAGATTGACAAGTCCGGAGACGTATTGCATGAAAACATGCTGTAAAAGTTAGCTTTCGTTTTTTTGTGTCCTTTTTCTTCTTCCTATCTGTACTTACCAGAGCGTGGATGTTCATACTCAGCGCCAACTCCTTGAGATTCCGCCCTTGAGTGCAAATAAGGACCATAGTCTTCTCATTACAGTCCCAATTGGGTCCAGTAGATTCATCCCTGATCATCAGTCGCCTAAGTTTGCGAATGTGCTTCTTGAGGACAAGCCGGCGGATCTGATCCATAATCGTTGACCCTCGCGGTGCAAAACTTTCAGGTTTACTCTTGACGTCGCGTTCCAGTAGAAAGAGCTCGTGTATCTCTTCGAGCTGAGACGCAAATGTGAGAAACGCCTCGCTTACATGATCAGTGAAGATGCTTCTCAACCCAAGAGGCCGCTGTCTGTTCTCTTTGGCGAGAAGACCCCAGATAGGCACTTGGTTGCCAACGTTGAGAAGCGTTAGCTGCTTGAGACAGGACAAATTAAGTGACCGTGATAGAACTGATGCCTTGACGGGCACGAGATAGATGCTTAGAGAGGAAAGCGTCAATCCTCTTGTTCTGCGGATATAATCTCTCGCGCTCGTACGGTTGATAGCCGTTACTTGGGCCTCCACCTTGTCTAGCTCCTCCTCGACTATCCGGAACTCATTGTTAATGTCGGTAACCATGGCACTAAAGCTTGTAGACTGTTCGTCGACGTCTTTGATCAGCACCTGGTCCATCACTGAACCCTGGGCGCGCATATCATCGATTCGTTTTCCTATGGCTTTTGATCGGTCTCGAAATGAGCCGAGTTTGTCCATTAGACTCTCGAGATTGACCTTTGCCGTCGTCGCAGAAGCAAGCTTTTTGACCTTTTCAGTTGTCTTAGGGTGAGTTTCAGCCTGTGATTCAATTGCCTTGCTTGATGTTGCAGCAGCATCGATTCCGACAGCGTCAATTGCGACAGCGTCAATTGCAACAGCGTCAACTGCGGGCATAGGAACCGCCGAACCAATGGAAGAATTGCGTTGCTGAGGTTCTTTTCCGGATGTAGATTCGTCCGCGGGGCTGTCCTCCACCGCAGTTGAAGGGTTTGAGTCTTCTGCCTCTTCAAACGCATCGCCAATGTCATCTACATACGCAATATCAATATCTTCCGGGGAAAAGTCGCCGCTTCGCTTTTTGGCCATTTTCGAGGACGAAGTTTGTTCGGATTTTACCACGTCATCTGCCGTGGTAGCGAGAACTTGCCCAGCTTCCTCAGCAGAAGGAGCCTCAACAGGGGCCTCAACGGGTGTTTTCGCGCCTGAGCCCGAGCCTGAGCCCGAGCCTGAGCCCGAGCCTGAGCCCGAGCCTGAGCCTGAGCCTGAAGATTCGCCTTTGTATACACCCCCCCCTGTGATGGCTGGCGCATCTCCGTTAGAGACATTTAGCGCTTCTATAATCTGCCCGGACGGGTCAATGTTATCTACATAATCCCTCGCAGCTTCTGCCATAGTGTCAAGGATCTCTTGCCGATCTGAGAATCGAGATGGCCCACCAATATATCGGGATTCAAGGTTCTTTATGGCTTCGATGAGGGCCTCTCTAGCAGCCTCTTTAGCGGTCAATGGTGGTTTTTGTGCGTCTTTTTTAACGGCTTTTTGACTGGCTTGATCATTCTCTGCTTTGGGCCGTGCGTTAGGTGGTTGGGGGTACAGCTCGAGTATTCTACCAAGCATAGACTCCTGAAGCTTTCGCTCCTCTTGGGCTCGAAATGCTCTGACAGGGCCGATAGTGTCATAGTCAATGTCGTTCATACTGCTGTTCTGGATTGTGGGATCAATTTGAAATTCACCCTCAACGTCTGAATCGTCTGCGTCGGAACCGGGTGAAGGCTTACGCGCCTGGTTAGCCAAAGTATCGGATAATGATAGTTGAAGCTCAGTGAGCGTCCAGCTTGAGTTCTTGATACAGGTACTGAGCTCGCTCACGATATCGAGGTTGTCGATATCCAAGACGCTTAGACTTTTAAGATTTTTGAAGCCTGAAAAAGTGGAGGGCTCTTTCGCACCGTCTGTGAACTTTCCGACGTTGTTCTTAAGCGTTGATTTGTATGACGGTGGCATCAGAGCAGGCGGGGGTCCGCCCAGCACAGGCATGGTATGTCCCGGATGCGGCGGCGGCGGAGGCAGCAGAGAAAGGGGAGCAAGCGGCGGGATGCTTCCCCAAGGATTTGTCGCACTTGGCTGAGGGTGGATGTCGGAAGAGACTGGCAGTGGTGGTGGTTGCATGTAGTAAGATTCTCCTGCCTGCATTCGAATGTGTAGCTTCTTGAGCGAAGCTATTCGATGAAGCTCGCGGTAGACGGGCCGGCTCAATTCCACGCGAATGTTCCATCTGCAAAAAGGGAAACCCATAAAGATTAGTATGTCTCACTCTCACGCCTTGCTCAGACAAACATCCTGGGATACTCGAATGTAGGGCGGAGATGCGCAAACTCACCGAAAAACTTCCAGAGATCTGGCTCGTCTGAGAGTAAGATGTAAAAGCGTGTTTAGAAATTTTCCACAACTAGCGGAATACAAATACGACTGATAAGAGGCTTCTCCCTTAAGGCCAGCACTAAGAGTGTCCATGGACAAGTCTCTTAGGTGTTTCGCATAGTCATAATTGCTCGTGGTGAACGTATTAAGACCGCTGGCGAGACCGTCGATAGAAGAATCAAAGCTGAGGTCGTCATCGTCGGGAAAGATGATGTGGAAGTTTTTGTAGAGCTGGGCCGAGGCGAGTTCATGAAAGTGTCGAGAGACGAGCGCGAGGCATATCAGATCGCTTTGTGAGCACTAGATGGGAGGACGAATAAGTAAGTATGGGGTGCACGGATGGCTTTAGCTTCGTCACAGGGCAACAAGGGAACCATACATGTGAGATGATCTCTCGCTGAGCTTCCGGCGGCAAATCGACGAACAGGAGCCGCTGCTTCTTGGGCGCGGCTGCCACCATCTCGTCGCCGGCAGTGCTCGAGGCCATGATGGATCGCTGGTCGAGCAGCAGCAGGCGGGCGAGAAGGTGACGAAGACGAGACGGAGAGAAGCGCACTCGTCAGCGCCGCAGACGACGATGGGGAAGAGGGATAGTCACGGAAGCCGTTTGTAGATGGTTGATGGGATCTGTCAGCGAAGAGCACGCAAAGTCCGTTTGCTCAGCTGCTGACTGGGCCGTAAAGCGACTCGGGCTAAGAGGGATTCGTGCCGCGGAGGACGCTGGTGACGATATTGATAGTACCTAACACTGGCTGATAACCCGATGTTTTTCGATATGATGTGATGTAGAGGTTGCGACAGGAGGTAAAGTCAAACTTCAGCCAGACCGAGGCCAGCGCCACGTTGCGAGCACGACGAGCACGACGAGCGAGGCGGCCTGAGCGGATTTCGGCCTTGCGCTCAGGGTTTATTGCCTTTCCTTTTCCCGTCTGGCACCAGCGCCGAAGCTTCTGGGGCTGGGGCTGGTTGGCTGGATTGGATTGACGGATTGATTGATTGATTGATTGACTGACTTGAGTCGGGAGCGGCAGGTGGACGGAAGCAAAGTGGGGAGAGGATGAAGAAACACGCCCATGATGGGCCACACTTGGGCGGGTAGAGGGGCCGGCTCAGCGGGGTGGAGGAGCCCATTTAGGCGGCGCTGGCTGCTGGTTGGCGCTAAGGCGTGCAGAGTTTGGCCCCTCTCGGTCCTCAGGGCCCTGTAATTATGGGGTGTGGGTGCTGGAACCGCTTGGCTGTTCGCTAGCTTGGGCGTTTCTGAGGGGAAACACGCACGAGCACAAGCCGGACACATGCGCGGCCGAAGCCAATAATATGGGCGCCATGTTACTAGCAGTAGCACCAATTGATCAGCTTATGCTGCCAATATTGTTATGGTTACACCTACTCATGAGGGTTATTACACATTGCCAGCACTGAGATATACAGCTGCAAAATGAGTCGCCAAGTAAATTTTCATTCATTGTCCTTGAAGATGCCGAGCCTCATTGAGAGCTAGGAGGCGCTGAGGGAACAAGACTGTCGTACAAAATAGCAGGCTTTTGGTCTCTAGTAAGTAGCTCGCACAATATTGGCCGATACATTCCGTCACAACTCTAGCCATCTAGCGAGACATCCGGATGATACGTATTAGTAACAAGACGAGATGCATGCTCAAGTAGCGTGTTGCCTGTGTGCCTGGGCATCAATGCCGCTCGAAAACAAGAGGATCGATAAGCCTTTATCAGTCAAGTTAGGATTGGCCAAATACTCCTGGTATCGTTCTAGTAATCTATTTGCATTCAGTAATCCTACCAAGGAGGGCTCCTGGACTACTAAATGTACTATATGAGTCCATGCAGATGAGGTAATATGGATACTCTTGTTGCATAAATCCTCAACCGATCAGAGGTTGGATATCTGATTAAGTTTATTTGGGTCACTTTGCATGTATCTCATCCATGGCATGCTCATTAAACATCTCCCTACCTGCATGTAGTAAATGGTGACAAAAATCACCAGGCAATAAGCTCCTCACGTGTGACTCTCTGGATATTGACGTTGGAATAAAAGGCGTTGACCTAGGTAGGTAGCTCTGTTCTAGGCCTAACTTTTTCTTTTTCTGGCGAGCACCTCTTAGAGGTACATTGAGCTTCCGCTATCATTGTTTTTTTCTTCCTGTTTCAATCAGACATCCTTCCGTATCGTCTGGGTGCTTGATATGATTAACGCTTGCTTGTCACATTGCCATTGTCATCACGTAATCACACATGACTCTCTGACCGAGCTTCTTGCCAAAGTAACGACGTGCAACTCTAACACAGCAGATCACGTTCATCCCGCAGCAACAAACCTCACGGTATCCAAAAGTATCTCAGAAATTTACATCACTGCAACTAGAGATAGTGCTTCACCGAATAAAAAACACAATGGCGAAACCTAGATTCATTGGCGAAACGCCCTTGCCGGGTGAAAAGGCCAGGCTGCATCATCAAATTAATCCCGACGGGCAGATTTCCAACGCTTATACTCTTGACACTTTGCCTTTAAGGCTAGCAAATTTCCAACCTCGCGAGAAACGCAAGAGAGCAATGGATCTTCAGTCCGGCACTCTCGACGAAGTTGAAACAAAAACGGGCTCGCAAACATTCGAGCAAACCGCCAGATTCAGACTCGGAGTCGAACCCAGACTCGAAACTGTGGCCAAGAATCGGATAGGATCTAAGCAAAGAAGGACTAACTTGGATTGATGAGAGGTCCTCGTGGTCATACTAGCAATTCTATTTGTTATTCAAGAAAGCATTATTCGAGGAAGCATACAAGGAGAGCTACAACGAGGACAACATGCCGGCAGATCAACCGAACCAATCACTAAGCCCAGAACCATCCGATAGAGACATGAATGAAAGCGGCGTATGGGACTTCCTAGCTGTCAGCCCTGACCAAGTAGGGCACTCTAGAATCGAGCCGTACGGATTATACTGTCCTAGACTCCTCCGAAAACGTGACACAATGCCACTTTAAAGAAAACGACGCCATAGGGTTTAACGAAGAGCATAGATAAAACACAGAAGAGTAAGCCACAAGATGAAGCTTTTTCACCTGATACTAGGCATTTTGCGTCTAAAACGACCACCCAGACGGGAGTCTGATCTCAAGTTGTGGAATTCAGGCGATGATGGTATGACATGCACAGTACCGAGGGTTGAGATGATTCAATCAAGGGATCTGTGACTTAGTGTGAGTTGACTGGAAGATCTACCCGCTAAACTGGCAGGACTACGGGCAACGGGCAGTCTTTGAATCACTGCTTGCGTCTCGTGAATCGAGCTCATCTTGCAGCATGGCCCTTGTCCTGGCAGGGCTGGGTGCAGCGGCAATCTCTCTGGATGCTCTCACGAACAAATTTCCGGTTGGCAGTCTTACTACTTGTTGGTCGTTTTTGTTACATGATACCATACGACTAGTTTGAATGATACTCCATGTGTGAATATCCTTGAGAAGATGGACCTGCCGCTGATAAGTGGTGATATGAAGTTCATCAATATGGGTAATGTCACTAATGTGAAATCTTATTTCATCTCGCAGATCACAATTGTAAAATAACATAAGAAAACTTGAATAAGAAATTATAAATCAATAAACACTTCTTCATAAACTGTCACGGGCATCAGAATCAGTGAGTCATTCACAATCCACTCGGTTGCCTGGACCCCATCAACTACTCCTCCTCCAAAATCTGTATATCATCAGCTAATGCACGTCGAGCCAACAAACAATGCGGGTCCAATCAACAGCACGCAGACCACAGACCCATCCAGTGCTGCCACCACTTGGCCGGTCCCAAAACTCCTCATTCACTTACAAACCCTGCCTGAGGTACCACCCAAGACAACCCCGGAATCCTCCCACAGCGCCCATATCGATTACATGCCGCTCGGCAATTGCCTAACCTGGCCGTGAGGCTGCGGGCCCGGCCATATCGCGCCACATCTCCTGCTTTAGCCGCCCCCCATAGCTTAGACCCAGCTGGTTTGCCAGCCAAAAGAGCGCGTTTTGAGCCGTGGCCTTGCCGGGTCCTGCCTGTCTGCTCTCTTTATATGGCCTGCTAAACAGTCAATTCGCATTGATACTAGCATTTCTCTCATTTTCTTTACAAATTCTGCATGCTGTGGAGCCGCATCTGCCTAAAAACGGCACCTCTGCAGCAGCTGGAATTGGACAGCGCCGTGCACGGCACCCAAAAGCCGGACGAGTAGCCAGTACCTCGCACGGTGGCTATTAATACCACCGCCCAGCTGGTACTGACGACATGCGAGCGGCCAAGTGGGCTGTGCAGAGCAAGCAAACACCTGGTTCCGTCCCTAGTCGGCATTTCAAACCAGCTAATGCACGCACTTTTTGCTTGGCCACCTTTTCGTTATAAAACATCGACAATCCTTCTGACAATCGCCCCTCTTCTCTTCCTGCGTGTGCTCTTTGTCTCGTCGCTCATTTGAATTAGCTGAAGAAGGGCAGCAGCGAATCTCATTTCTATTTCTTCTCTCGTTTCTGCATGCAGCTCGAAAACGCATCCGTTCGTTTTGTCCTGCCAAGAGCTACTGCAGCTTGACCAGAGCTCGATTCGCCACCTTGTCCCACGGTTGTCGGTCTGAGCACTCTGGATAATTAGAGTCCATGAGAGACTGAGCCAGGATAAAAAGAAAAAAAAGACAAAATTATTTCTATTAGAGGGGAGAGTCGAAAACATGGCAGACACCGAAGAGCCCCAGTTTAACACGCTGGCAGAGCGGATAGCCGCGTTGAACAAGCAGAAGAACTTCAGCAGCGTTGGAACCCCCGAGGCTGCTTGCAAGAAGCCGCCGCCGCCTCCTCCTCCCGGACGCCCTTCTGCTGAAGCCCAGGGACGAAGCCACACGGCCCCCGTCGTGACCATCAGCTCGGCACATGAGGTTGCACCTCGAATGCCTCCGAGACCCAAGCCAAATGCCGATGCACCGCCCCCTCTCCCTCGTCGGAACACCCAGAATGCTGCAGATGCTTCTGGACCTCCTCCTTTGCCGTCAAGGACCGGATCGTTTCAGGCGTCACCTGCACTGCCGCCGCGGCGAACGTCAACAATTACGGTTCCCAAGCCCTCAGGGCGACGCAACTCTGCATCGTCTGAAGCTTCGATGCAGTCCACCATGTCGTCTCTGTCACTGACAAAGACAATTTCCTCGACCACGAGCAATGGGTCCAACGGCACCATCGTGCATAAGCTGCCACCCGTGACGGACATGGCTGACTTGCCTCCTTTGCCGCCTACCAGGCGAGAATTGGAAGCAAAGGCCAAGGAGGAAGCTACAGCGAGGCAGGCCGCCGCCAAAGAGGCCAGGCCTGGTCTTCCCCCTAGACAGCCATCGAGACCAGTCAGGCCCCAGGTATCTGCAATTACTGAATCCATACCGAGACCGACACCGAGGCCGACACAAAAGTCCGCCCCTGTGACTGTTCAAATCCGGGGCTTTGGATCTGCAACTCAACCAGAGCAGCCCCCACGAATGCCACCGAGACCCAAGATTGCTGCCGCTGCTGATGACACTCCACCTCCTGTTCCAATGGCCTCTCGACCATCCGTCGCCCAGATCCATGCCATGTCAGCTCGGGCATCACCAGCTCCTCCCGCCGCGACCAACGATTGTTGGGTATGCAGAGATTGGAGCGGACCTGACGATGTCGCCGCCCAGTATCCCAGAGAGGGACTGCCCCGGAATGACCCTGTAGGATATCTTGCCCGCGCACTATGTGATCCGTTCCCTTCGTATAATGACAAGGCAAGGGCCATCTTCACATGGTTCCACCACAACATCGCATATGATACACAAGCCTTCTTCAGCGGAAACATCAGGGGCCAAACACCTGAAAATACCATTTTATACGGTGCAGCCGTTTGTCAGGGTTATGCGGAGACTTACAAGGCAATCGCCAACAAGGCAGGCTTGGAGTGCATTGTTGTCGGTGGCCATGGCAAAGGCTACGGGTACACTGCCTTGAAAAAGGGAGAAAGACCGCCGCCAGCTGACCCTAGTGGCCACGCATGGAACGCTGTCAGAGTTGACGGCGGTGTTTGGAGGCTGCTTGACGCCTGCTGGGGAGCTGGCCACATTTGTGGAAATAACAATTTGTTCAAGAAAGAATTCAGTCCCGTGCAGTTTACAAACAGCGGCCACCGGTTCGGCAATACCCATTTCCCCTCTGATGGTAGGCACCAATTCCGAGAGGATGGCCGGACCATTACTTGGGATGAATACATCATTGGCCGTTCACAGGGCCCGCCGGTAGAAGTGTTTGGCAACGCCGGCCAGGAGGGCATTGCTGAAGATTCAATCGAGCCTGCGTCAAAGGAAATATCTGTATACAGTGGCGAGGTTGTTCGCTTCCAGTTTTCAAAAATCTGCGAGCACTGGAAATCAGAAAAGAATGGCGGTGGAAAGCCTCCTTTGTTCCTGTTACAATTCCACGGTGTCGATGGCCGCAAAGACGACATTATTCCGATTGAGACGGATGGCTACTGGCACTGGGCTGATGTCAATGCTCGCGATCTTGGCGCTCCGGGCCAATCGGTGATGGTGCTGCAATTGACGTCTATGGATGGTCAAGACGCCAGGGGCGTGACCGCTCAGCAGTTTCTCTCCAAGAAGGGTAAGGTTGGAATGGCTTGGGCGTATGTCGCCAAGTGGGAACTGGTTTAGAAAGAGTTGGATTTTTCAAGGATTGCTATTGCAAAAGATTTGAGCGGCCAAACAAACAAACAATACAATTACGACGATATGCTTAGACGGGGGACGTGTGTGCACACGGCGATGGCCGTTGATACCCTGGTTTTTTAACACGCAAAGAATTGCGCTTTGGCAGAGGGCAGTGCTATTTTAGCTTGAGTCTTTTTGCGCTTGCAGTTGATCCAGGTGAAGACGAACAATGTCTTTGGTAATGGTATTCTATATACAGAGGGATATGTATGGCGCATGAGAAGGCTTGAGCCGCTCACACATCGCCAGGGTTAATATATGAAACTTAACGATATTAGTTTATGACTGAGAAAATGATCAAATTGAATAGCTGCCAATCATATACAGACATTGAGTATACATAGCTGATCTTGTTGATCGATCAATGTTTCATCCCATCTTACAAGTCTAAGCATTCTTACTCTGCACACCCCCCAGCAATTGGCGGCCCTTGCACGTGCACACCCCTCCCCTGCCAGTGACGAAACGCCACTTTCGGCTTTGCGACATGCTGGCTTCAACTCGTTTGTTGAGCCATCAACGTGGCAGATAATCGAGAGCATCAGCATCAGCATCGGCATTGTGTTTTTGTTTGTTTCGCCTTGCTCCCAATTCTTCTTCTCCCCATTTTTCATACCCGCTCCTTCATTTACCATCACTTCATAATCTCATCTAACGCGACTTATCTCGATGCGACGCATTTGACGATTAGATTTCTCTTCCAAATTTTCTATGCGACGGCTGGGCTGATTAGGGACGCAATACATACGCCAAAACCTCTACGCACACAACAATCCTCGTCAAGCCGAACCATGCCAATAATCCAATCAACCTCTATATAACCTCTCCGAAAAAAAAAAATCCGTTTCTTCTCCAACCATGACCGTCGCCGGCTCGCCCAGCTCCTCCGCGACAGAGCTCTCCCGCACCGAAACGCTCAGCCTCGTCTCCCTCTCCGGCGCCTCGCTCGCCATCCTCGCAAACACCTTCCACGGCGATGGCGAGCCCCTCATCGCGTCGCTGGCGCTCTCTCTCGTCGCCTTTTCGCTCTGCTACGCCATGATCCGCTGGCTCGGCCCGACGTTTATCAAGGCCGGCTTCCGGGGGCGCGACCTGAGTAAAGTCAATGGCGGCGAGATCCCGGAGTGCATGGGCGCGGTGTGCGCTGCGGTGTATCTCATCACCGTCATCATCTTTATACCGTTTCCTTTTTACAAGGATATTGTTGCGGCGACGAGTGGAGGGGGGAATCGAGATGTCGTGGTTGAGATCCAGATCCAGCACGCCAACGAGGGGCGCTTCTTACATCGCTTCCCCCATAACAAGGTGACTTTCTTCCCTCATTTCCGACTTCACCACACACACACACACATATATATATATACTCACCATTCACGACTTCTAGCTCGCGTCCTACCTCGGCGCCATCATCTCCCTCCAGACCATTGCCCTACTCGGCATCGGCGACGACCTCTTCGACATCCGCTGGCGACACAAGTGGTGGATCCCCGGCCTGGCCTCCATCCCCCTCCTCGTCGTCTACTTTGTCGACTTCGACGTCACCTCCATCGTCATCCCCGTCCAGCTGCAGCCCTACCTCGGCGAGCTCTTCGACCTCGGCTTCCTCTACTACGTCTACATGGCCTGCGTCGCCATGTTCTGCCCGCAGAGCATCAACATGTTCGCCGGCATCAACGGCATCGAGGTCTCGCAGTGTATCGTCGTCTCCCTCCTCATCGCCTTCAACGACTGCCTCTACCTCTTCACGCCCTACCCGCACCCGGCCACAGACTCGCACCTCTTCTCGCTCTACCTCCTGCTCCCCTGGATCGGCGTCTCCTGCGCGCTGCTCTACCACAACTGGTACCCGGCCAAAGTCTTCGTCGGCGACACCTACTGCTACTTCTCGGGAATGGTCTTCGCAGTCGTCGGCATCCTCGGCCACTTCTCCAAGACGCTCGGCCTGCTCCTCATCCCGCAGCTCTTCAACTTCCTCTACTCGTGCCCCCAAATCTTCGGCCTCATCCCCTGCCCGCGCCACCGCCTCCCGAAATTCAACGCCCGCACGGGTCTCATGGAACCATCCGTCACGCCCTGGAGCCCTGATCGCCAACCCCATCCTCTAGTCGGCCAGGTATTACTCTTCTTACACCGCCTGCGCCTCCTAAAGGCCACGACAGACGAAAAGGGCCTCTTTGTCGAAACGAGCAACCTCACTCTCCTCAATTTATGGCTCGTCTGGCGCGGACCCTTAAAGGAAAACCGCCTCGCCTTTGAAGTGACAATGCTGCAGCTCAGCGTTGGCCTGTTTGGCTTGTTTGTCAGGCACAAACTTGCACTGTTAATCTTTAAGGAAGATAACTGGGGCAGCACAGGACAGCATTAAAAGAGATTTCAAGTCTTCTTCCTTTTTAGTGTCATATATACTATTTATTTTTGCTTCTTTCCATTTCTAATACCAGGTTTGTATGTGTAAGATACCCAGCCGGAACAAAATAAAATCAGATAGACACAGGTTTCCTTCTACGTAACGGTTCGCAAGTTGGTAACAAACCAAAAGATAGAAATTTACAACTAGGTAACCATAAAAAAAAATGAGTTATCTCGCAAGTGCCTAAAATGTGTCGTGATTTTATATGAAGGGAGAAGAGCGCAATATTCGAAGTGTCGTGCATACATATCTGTTCTGTAGGTACCTAGAAAGTGCACAACAAGGGGAAATGAAGAAATATCTCGTCCAACAGACTCGTGTGGTTTTTTGATCAAATACTTCTATCTGACTACCTTGTACCTTGAACTTGATTTCGTGGAGGAAAAAAAAAATACCTGTTGTAACCGTCTGTCACAGGACCAAGCCTTGTTCAAAAACCCAAGCGTGAAAAAAAAAGCGAAACATCTGCATCAATTATTTCACATGTCGTCATCTCAGTCCAGAAACCACCCAAGAAACCAAAAGGCCATTCGGCCGTCAATCCTATCAGGCCTAAACCCTTTCCCTCCCATCCTTCCACTCATCCAGTTAAAAATCATAAAGGTGTTAAAAGTACACAGGACCCCAAAATAAGTCCTAAATTTTAAAAAAAAATGCGGTGGGATAAAATCAGTTATGTCCTGAAGTGGTCCGCCCCTCCTTTTGAAAAGGGTTAATAAAGAAAAAAAGAAAATATATAAAAAAAAAAAGAGCAGGAAAATATTCCCCGGGCCCTAATGTCCAGCAGACTCCATTTTGTGTATATCCGGAGCATTGCATTTCGAAAGATGCCTTTGGACTCGCTCCCTTGACCAGTGTAACCTCCAAAAGCCAGGCCGGATCAAGGATTCAAGATAACGGGTGAACTCCTTGCGTCGGCCTTGCGGCTTTGGATCTTCCTAGGCGCCAAACCTCAATTCCAATCTTCCCTTTCCCCCCTTAAACGCCTATAAATTGAACCGAGAAAAGAAAAAAATAGAACAAGAGAGAAGTAGCAGTGAGCAACATCCGAGAAGCCCATTTGCCTTGTATAAAAAATTGCACAAACTCCAGCCCTTTTTGAGGCTTGCCACAGTAATTCTTTTTCATCTTGTTTGAACCAAGTACGCGTTCAGTCGCATATTCTGGGTTGTAACAGCATTGAATAGTACATATAACACTTTGTCTTTCATGGTTTATGCGTGCCCGTTAGTGGTGGCCGCAGGGGCGGAGGGGGTCACCGCGCTCTCAACCTTTTCAATAGCTGCTGGCTCTATGGGATTCTCCAGCTTTATCTCGTCTGCCTCGGCAAGACTGGACTTTGTAGAGATGAGGCTGAGTGAAGGCTTTGCAGCGGCCTTATTCATCCTGCTCTTGTAGTCACTAAGGCTCAATTTTTTCTTGATTGGACTGGGAGTGGCCACTGCCCCGTTGACAGCTGAGCCGAATGGACTCGGCAGGCTGTTAGAGAGAATTGCCGATTGCACAACAGAGCTGGTTGCAGATGAAGGTGTGGTGGTCGTTGGAGGAGCTGTTGAAGAATCCAGCGCGGATGTGGTAGGCATTTGGACTCTCAGCTCTGAGGCCTTGATCTTCATGGGCATAGTCTGAGCCTCTTTGATAAGCTCCTTGGTAGGAAGCTCCTTGGTAGATTCTGCTTTGGTAGGCTCCTTGGTAAGCTCTTCTTTGGCAGGTTCCCCTTTAGCAGGCTGCTCCTTAGCAGGTGGTTCTTCTGTCGCAGGCGGCTCCTCCTTTACGGATTCTTGTACAGGTTCCTCGATAGGCTCCGTTACAGGCTCTTTTTCTGCCATCTTTTCTGATTCCACAGCAGGTGCCTTGATGGGGGTTTCTGGAGACTCCTTCAGAGATTCTTTCAAGGGCTCTTTCAGAGACTCTATTAAAGCCTCTTCTGTAGCTTCTTTTAAAGGTTCATTTACCGGCTCCTTTACCGGCTCCTCTGCAGGTTCCTTTGCGGGCTCCTTTGCGGGCTCCTCTGCAGGCTCTTCCGTATGCTCTTTGTCAATGACTGGCGTCTCTTGAGCTAGAGGTGGCGCGTCAGGCAGTTCTGTATCAACATCCTTGGTAGCAGCTGGAGAAGGCGGAGCGTGTTGTATTTCGGGTTGCATTTCGACTTCCAAGGTTGAAACTTTTAGCTCCTGCTCAGCTGCAGTGGCATCAACGTCCATTGCATCGACGCTCGAAGGCCGCGAGGGTGTTGACCGCTTTCGTTCCTCTTCAGCACGTGCTTTGTACCGGCTGTTGAGAAGTCGCCTGGAAAGCGGAATGATTTTCTTCTTGCGGCATGGGATATTTTGTAATGCGCTGAACCACTCATCTTCTACTGGGTCGGTCTGGATACCCATATCGCAGTAGAGGGGGCGGGGCGATGCCGAGGATTGCCTGTGTGCTGCTTCTGACGGCTCCCGGTGTGATGCCGACGGTTTGGTTTGGGTCCCAAGATTCGGCGATCTGGAGCTGGCAGGCGAGCCGGATTTGCTCCTAGCAGTGGTACCGGCGTCGGCATAGCTTCCAATATGGGGGGTAGAGCCGGTTCTCGATTTCGCCTTGGATGATGTCGATACAGTGGTTCCGTCTGATAGTCTCTTCTTCTTCCTCGCAGGTTGTTGCTGTTCCTGCTCCATACGCCGGAAGGTGTCTTCTACCATTGCTACCTTGCGCTTATCGCGGTCTGTAGGCTCCGTTAATATTCCCAGTTGATCAAAGGAGCCTTGGCGCAGCGGAGTCCTGTCTCTACTAGAGGGCTTACTCCGCGCTGCAACGGATCCGTCCCGACCTTCGCGGTCGGCCTGGTCGTCGAGGTGACCTTCACTAGCGGCACGACTATTCGTGGCATGACCTGTGCTGGTGGGAGAGATGGTATGAGCCTTGGGTTTACGCCTTTTCCTGCGAGATTGGCTCTTGCCGTATAGATAGTGTCGATGGAAGCGGGCGAAGGCACAGTTATTATCCTGATCACACGCGCAGCCTCCATATTCTGACAGTATCCGGTCGATCCAGTTAGAGATGGCCGTGTACTCAGATTCGTCTAGCTCAAACTCGTCTTGCACGGCGCTATCGTCATCGCTGAGGCCCAACAGATGTAGCCAGCGCTGGCAGACGCTTTTCTCCAGGCGAAAGTCCCACGGCAGAGTAATCTGCTCATTGGGGGGTATGTACCGGTCGCTGACCAGCCAGAAGTGGTACTCTGATCCGCCGGTGAGGAAAGTGTCCAGTTGAGCGTTGGGCTTGCAGCTCCGTCGGGCGAAGCGGGCTATAGAGCCCTCTTTCCTCGTGTCGATATAGAGCGGTAGGATGGGATGGAAGAAGACAAAGGGAAGAGGGGATGAGATATCGCCCCAGAGATTATCGCCTTCGGCGCAGTAATCTTTTTGAAAACCAATCTCGCCATTTAATTCGATGAGAGGTACATCCTTTTCGATCGAGGATGTCGATTTGAGAGACCGCCATCGAAGGGTAGTACCATTATCGAGTGACTGAGTGGCATCCTTGACCTCGAGCTTTGGACGTTTTCTTTCGAGGGCGGGCAGGGCGTCTTGGAAGATTTCGGAGCGTCTTCGGCCGACTTCCTTTTCCAGCGCAGAAGATGAATCCAGCCATCGCATCAAGGCGGTAGGAATGGCGAGACTGGCAAAGCCATTATTTTGTCTGTCGGGTACATCGTTGTAGAGAGAGCAGAAGCCCTCGGAGTAGTGGTGAATTGTAAAGTCGTCAGGGAGGTCGGGAGGAGTAGTAGCAGGACTCGGTGGATGTGTCGGGTTCGTCCGGTTGTTTCCATAAGAAGGGCTTCGCTTGGAAGGCTGGGAGCTCACGGACAAGGAGGGTCGATGAGAGGTTTTTGGCTTCTTGGCAGGAGTAGGGTGGTGGTCGCCATTGTGGCCATGCTTGCCTCCTTCTAAGGGCCCATGAATCCCATTGAAATGAGCATCGCTGGGCTTCTTCTTCTTGTGGCTCTTGGAAGGAAGTCGCTTCGGTTTCTTGTCGATGCTTTCCGGCTCCACGATTGAAGTCCTCAGCCGCAGTGTGCGTTCAATGGCTTTTTGACGGTTCAGTGGTCGGGGCTGGCAGTCGGCACAAGAATGAGAAAAGTCCTCTCGAATGGCTTCTTCCCTGTTCTCGGGGTAGAAGCAATCGATGTGCTGCCATGTGTCGCACGTCTCGCAGTATATTGTGTTTCCGTCATCGTCGGAGAAGTTGCAGATACACTTGATGGTGTACGGCTCTTCCTCCAGCGCCTCGATCTTGTGAGCGATATGATCGAAGGCGGTTGGGCCCACGGGCGCGAGGTGGTTGGCCTGACTGGGGACTGCGGCTTGCGTCGACAGCGGAGCTGGCTTGTCCGTCATAGTCCAAAGGAGGACCACGCAGGGTAACGGATGTCGCAAGAGATGCGTGGATTGATTATTGTCGCGGTCTTGGGAGCATGACGGCGCCGGGCAGGACGCGCGCCAAACGGGACGGTTGGAGCGTAGAGCGGCTGGAGATCGCGACCGGCCGCGTCATACGCCGGTGCGGGAGGGATATCGCAGTCGAGGCCTGGACAGGCGGCAGGCGGCGTCTGTGCAGTCTGAGGCTCGTGTCGTGAGGATTGGCTCGAGGAGGAGACAGAGGCCTGGGCGTCGAGGCGTTAGTGGGAAAAAAAGGCGAGGACGGGATTGAAGAGAAGGCGAGATTCACGAGCACGGCGGTGGGTGTCTTTCATACGCGTCGAGGGGAATGGCTGGACACTGAAGGGCGTGAAATGTTTCTGGGCTCGGCCGTGGAGAAAATTCGAACACGAGCGGACGGGAGGCGACTGGATTGCTGGCGGAGGGCGTCGTGAGCAGGCCGGCGGACGAGCGAAGAGTGGGATGAACGGGGGAAAAAGGCAGCGAAGGCAAAGAAAAGGAGAACGGCGGCGGCAGAGGGCGCAGATGGCGGCGGCAGCGGTCCAGGCAGGTCTTGGGATTGATCGGACGGCGAGGGCAAATCGTCGAGAGCTGGCACCGGCAACGGGGATGGAGGAGGAGAGGAGGATGGGGAGGAGCGACAGAACCTGAGCGGGTGTCTTTGCTTGCAGCGCGAGCGACGAGTGCGGCGGCACCCTTTGGCAGTACGTACCGGCCAGGGTGTCCAATCATGCAGCGTCGCCAGCGTCCAAGCCCAGCAGCCGCAGCGGCGCAGGCCAATCCGGCGTCGAGGATTCCGGGGCCAGCGGCCAAGTGCTCTGGACGCTCTGAGGGGGCTCCAGTCCGGCACTAGGACGCTGGTGTTAGTGCGCTCGCCGTGCTGTGCGTGCGCTGTGCTGCGTCTCTGCTGAGGGCGGCACGCATCATCTCAGCAGGCGACAGCGGCCAGCGGCGCTAGGCCCAACGGCGAATGGGCGGTGGGATAGCGACCTTTAGTGTGCGTCCAAGGCCCATCCATGCACTGGGGCCGTGGGTGTACGAGTACCCGGCCGGTACCTGTGCCGATGCTCGTATGGGCTGCGCTTCTGGTGGGCGTCGAAAGGGCAAAAAGGCGAAACAGCAGCGCGCGACGGGGGGTGCGAATGTAGTGGTGGCCTGTCCCGAATTGACATGCCAGGTCGGGCAAGGTGTCGGGCAGCTAGCAGCATCTGCGCCGGTCGCTGCGCCGTCGGTGCCTGAGGCGACGGCCGTGTTGCAGTGCGCGCATCCTCATGCTCGGTGACCAACGGGCGGGCAAGGCTCGTCTGTTTGCTGTGCGGAGGATTCGATGCGATGCAGGCGAGCAGAAGCAGGCCGAGGGGGGCAGATGAACGGCGGCGGAGGGCAGCTGACGACGGGTGCGAGAGAGAGGGGAAGAGGCAGCACATGCAAATAGAGCGAGGGCGAGAGTGCGAGAGTGCGAGAGAGAAGAAGAGTGTGCAGGCATGTTAGTTTGTATGCGTGCGCAGATGCAGGCCGGTTTGCGGGTGGGTAAAGTGGTGGATGTGGGTAGCTGATGCAATGCATGCGAGCGCCTCTGCCATGGTACGGTATCGCTATCGATGGATATGGATAGGATACAACGGGAAATAGAGGAGCGGTCGCATCAGCATCAGCATCAGCGGTGCGTGTAATGCGGACGATGCGTGTATCTGCGTATGCGTGCGCTGTACGAGGTTAATCGGCATGTGAGATCCCAAAGGGGGTTTGGGGGCCTTGGCCGATACCACACATCACTCCATGCTCTGCTGAGGCGAGACAAGGCGGATGGATGATGTTGCGAGGTTCAAAACTTGAGAGAAAAAAATGCAACTCACGGCTGACTGGTGGCGGACATTTTGAACGAGATCCATGGGCTGTCTCTGATGCAGCGGTGCATGGCGTGGTGAAGGAGAGGGTGATAGATGCTTGTCGAAGTATTGTCGATGCAAAAGGCGGCCGCGGAAGCAGGATGGACTCAGCCGCAGCGATTCGAAAGAGGCAGCCTGATGCTGAGACTGCTGGCAGAGGTAGAGGGAGATGCCATTGTGCCCGAGGCTGGCAAGGCAGCAGTCAACCACATGTTGGAAAAACGAGACGTAGCAGGGTTGTGGAAAGAATAACAAGGCAGAGAGTGCATGGAGGATGGGAGGTTGTTTCGTTTGTTTGCTAAACTGCGAGTTGTTTACCTTTTCTCTCTCTTTGATAGATGAATCCGTAGGGAGTGTAAACTGAGTTCCGCCTTGCCAGCACTAGGCTTTTTAGGAGGACCCATTCGACGCCTTGTAGCTCGGAAGTTTTAGCGCCCACTCACTGTCCCCAGGCGCCAAAAGACTCGACCAGACTCCAGTCGGCGTCGCAGATGGTGCTGGAGCGTTGACTCACGTTCTGAAACTTCTGGCGTGCGCTTCACAAGCGGGGGGTGACAGATGCAGGTGGTGCGGATAATGTTGGTTACAACTGATTGTAGGGAGCAGACGGGTGCGAATTCAGCCATTGCCCGTTACCTACCTACCCAGTTAGTGCCCTTGATAATACAATATGACTGGGATGGTTGGTTTTTGTAAATTGATTAATTAAAGATGAGCGAAACGGGGAACGGGCTATGGGCACGCCAGCAGATTGAGCTGCTCAGTACGGTGCAGCATTACTCTATTTGGATGTATTTTCCATGTTGGCCATTTACGAGAAAAACTGCTTGGAGGCTTGCAGCGAGCGCATGGACTACGGATAAACCTCAAGTTTGATAGGGCTGCTGGCTCCGGATCCCGAACTAGCATCAAGGCCCTGAGCGATGTCTCAGCGGGCCCCTATTCGCTGCAGCTCTCCCTAGCACTTTCGAGATTAGAATGGACGGGTCAAGGAGTCGAGTCTCCCTCACTCTCGGAGCAAAATCTACAATGTAGTACGAGTACTCGTGTCGTGTTCGTACTGGTCTGCCAGGTAGCAGCAGTATTGGAGCCTCTCATCACAGCATCCTACATCAGCAGAGTAGAAGAAATTCGTGCCATGCCAAAAACAACAAATTGGACAAGACGCAATCCAAAGCTCTCCATCCTCAACCCCAAGCGGGGGCCATGCCTGCTGCAGCTGCCACAGCAGGGATTCCCTTCACAAAATGCCACCCGCTTTCTCGTCTCTCGACACACAGTCAAGCCTTGCGCCGCGACATCATCCCAGGGCGATTTTTAGCCCGTCCATGACCGGCTGCTGATTGGCCAGTTGCTCAAAAGCCGAGCGCAGAAGCGGACCTGTGCTCTGCACCGGCGCGCGAATCGCGTGGCTTCATTTATGAACTGGGGGGGTCGGAAGCTGCCTGTGGCCAATGAGGCTGTCGGCGCGAGCCCGTTTGATAAGTGGGATAAAACCTTAGCTGCCAGCTAAACCTTGGCATGCTGTCGTAGGCGTGTTTTTGTTTTGTCCCAGAAACTGACTTTTGTTGTTTTATCATTTGTTATTGTTGGTTAATTTGGGCTGACGGATTCAACAATTTTGTGATGACGCCGCGCTACGGGGAGGATTCCGATGGCCTAGAGTATCACTACAAGCGTAAATTACAAGAGTACGGAGGTACAAACGACCAGGATAGCGGAAAGCGACCGCATCATCCCAAAAAGTGCTTGATTATGAACCTCGTCACATGTGTCCATGAATCTTCCCACGAGTCGCACAATATGCTACGAAATTTCATGACTTCTTGCTCGAAATCACACCTCGTTGTGCTTTACCCAATTACGCCGGTGCCACTCTTCCTAGCCCGGCTCTTTAGTGCCACTGATCCCAATGCTCGGCCTATAGGTCCCATCCAAAGCCTTCTTCGTGCCACAGTCCAAGCCTGCGCCCACAATGAAAGCACATAGAAATAGATCAAAAATTCCGCCTCCAATGGCCCCGAAGGACAATTGAGCACAGGATGACTCCGCGATGTGCAATGCAGGCCTCCTACACTAGTACTCCGAATTCTTGATCTCGGAGTACTGAAACAAGGTAAGTATGAAGAAAAGAAAAGAGGAAAAAGAATTCTGAAAACGCAGACCGTCTGGCGCTGCATTTATAGAGCGGTGTCTGGTCCGTGCGCCACTCGCCCCACCGCCTTGGCTGCCTAGAAAGTTGATGCCTGAGGAATAAGCGCCTAAAAGAAGAAGAAAAGTTGGTAGAGGCCAAGATCAGCCAGTGCAGGCGCGCGCCCTCGCTTGCCAAACGCCCTCATGCAGAGAAGCGAAGGGGGCGGAAAAGCAAATCAAAGAGCGGTAAAGACACGTTGAAACAGGAAAACAAAGAATGCAGTCGCATCTCTTCAAAGACGGAGGAGAAAGCATAGAAGAGCCCATGTAATCGTTTTATTTCGCTTATAAACTAAGGTATCTTGTACGATAGAAAAGGCAGACGCCAAGTGCCTGGGAGAGGCTACGATTGAATCATCGCCGGCTTGTACGAGTACGAGCAGCAGCGGCTTTGGCAATAGCGCGGCGCCACACTCGCCTTCTGTGCAAGCAACGGGCTCCTCCGTCTTTCACCTCTCTATGTACCGGTACCTGCACCGGGCAGAGCGCATGCAAGGAGAATCAGCGCTACCCCAGCGTTATCTCTGGCCATGGCAAGTGGGTATTTTCTCATGGCCAGGCCAATAGCAGCCCCGGAATGGTCTCATGACGCACCAACCACCGCAGAGGCGTAGCACGGCTAAGGCGTCCCGTGACATTCTTGATTCGCCGTTGCAGTCGTCACTGTACATGGGGCTCCATCCAGCGGCAGCAGCGCAAGCCTCATCTTTGCCCTTTATTACTGTCTGCTTCTAACGCCTCTACTAATATTGTCTCAGCCTGCTGTTGCATCTGTGCTTGATTATAGAACAGTCGCATCTCGTCTTTTCTGTTCTTCATTCTTCCTGCACCCTTCTCCGTTCAATCCTACTCCTATCCTATCGACCATCGTTACGATGCGTTTCTCCACTGCCGTCGCCTGCTTGTCTGCCTGCCTCGCCGCTCCGGCGACGGCCCTCGCCATCTGGGGCGATTCCGCGTACGCATTCGACAGCAATCTCAAGGTGCCTGGAGAGAACCCCATCGAGTTCTGCTCCGCCAGCCGTGACGGCAATCTCATCGACATCAAGAAAGTCGACCTGGCTCCCAACCCTCCCAAGGCGTAAGATTTCTCCCAATAAATGTCCATACTAAGTTTGTTTGCTAATGGCTCTTGGTTCTAGTGGCAAACCTCTCGACATCACAGCCTCAGGCGAGGTCAAGACTACTATCGAGTCAGGCGCCTACGTCAAACTGGTTGTCAAGTACGGCCTTATTCAACTGCTGTCTACCACTGCAGACCTGTGTGAGCAGCTCGGCAATGTCGATCTTTCTTGCCCTCTCGAGCCTGGCAACTTGAACCTCACCAAGAGCGTTGACATGCCTTCCGCCATTCCTCCGGTATGATATGACGCCCATCTAATGTTTAACGCGTGGACATGTGCTTACATATAGAAACAGGGAACCTACAGTGTCATTGCTGACGTTTACTCTGCTGATGACAAACCAATCACCTGCCTCAAGGCTACCGTCAACTTCCCCCGACCAGGCCTTTCTTCGTCCGAAGATTCGGAGGAATTGTAATTTCTGCTCGCTGTTAGGAGACTGATTGCGGACGAATTGGCGATGATGGGCATAATCCGGACCTTTGTTTTGTTGTGTGGTTTTTAATGGCATTGTTTAAGGTTGTCTTTGTCTTTCCCCTGCTCTGGGCGATTTTGCTATACTCTCAGGGTGATATTCGATCAGGTTCATAGGCACATGGCTGTAGCGCTCTTACTGCTACTAGAGAATGCATTCGTAATATCTCTAATAAACCAAGTATACACCTTTACTCTTGACAATTATGCTATTATGTACTCGCCTTGTAGCGTGGAAAACCATAGAAGACCGCAGCAGTTCATAAATATCTCTTCTTCTCCCAAATGGAATAACTTTGCATGCATCCCCAAATATTTACTCGCCAAACAGACGACGCACTCGTCTCAACACACTGTCTTTCTCTGGGTCGTATGGGTGATCTTTGCTTGGGATTTCGAGGACCGTGGGAAAGGCAGCGGTGTAGGTATCGACTCGGTGTCGTATTCTGTCGGCAATCTGTACCTCTGGTCGTCAGTATGTACGTCGTAAAGAAGTGTTGGGAGGGCCGCCCTAAAAGAAACTGACATGCTGGTTGATCAAGACGATTCCAATATCTTTCCGGCTTGTAAAGCTCTCAAACGCAGACTCGATGGCTGCAGTTTCCGTCTTATTGTCGACGACGAGAAAGTTCTTTTGCGCTTCGGCGCCGGTAGTGATATGCTATGCACAAGCGTAAGACAAGCTGGATATTTCTTTCGGCAGTGATTTTTTCGTCAAGTTTTCGAGAGAGAAAAAGAACCACAGTCTTCTTCCATCTGCTGGGTCTTACTTACACCGATGCCTGCGAGCAAGAGGCCCGTTACAGAGTCCTATGCGTATATACCCGTGTTAGAACGAATGCGATCTCCTCCCATTTGGGGGGCCTGGGAGTGCGGTTTGTGCCTGGGAGAGCGACTTGCCTCGTCGCCGATTACGGCAAGGAACTGCCGGTCCTTGAAGTCGGCGTGCGATGACATCGTGACAGCGGACAATGGGCGTTGCTGGGTTTTGATGTAGGATGGAGAGATTGGTGGATGATGCGAAGCTTCCAGTTTAGCTGCCTTCAGGCCATCTGGGTGGCCCCGCGCACAAGCGGCTGAGCGATGCGGCGGTACTTTTGAGGGAGGTACTGCCGGAGGTACAAGTAGAGCCGATAGATGCGCTGCTGTGTTATTGGAGCAGCGTACAAAGCGCAGCCAATCTCTTGAATACTAACTAAATATTCCTTAAGAACATGAGCGATAATTCACAGTATTATAAGAGCCATATGTACACAAGTTTCATAACTATGACTCTCAATAGATGACCCAGAGGAGTCTGCTGTCCCCAACGGCCAGTCTGGATTGAAGGACGCCATTAGTAAGAGCAAAGACTTGGCGGCCATGTACCTCTACAGATGTCACTGGGGCCACCCTTGCTATGGAACTGCGCGCTAGACTACAGCTGGAGATTTGCCTGCAGTGGAAGCTCCTCCAAAGTAAACAATTCGCTGCCAGTCCGACACTGCTTTTTTCTTACTTTTTGCCTTTAACCACCAATCAATCTGTGGCTTTAACTAATTTTTTTCTACGGCACGAGCAATCTTCGTCGCCTACAATTCAACCCAGTGTGCGACTCCTTCTTCAATCGCCCTCCGCGTACAAGATGCCGAGACTCGTGCGGCGGAGACCGCTCTGGGAGCGCATCACGTCGAATCTGAACCCCATGGACTTCCTCCTCTGGCTGTCGGAAGAGCTGGAGACGAGAGATTGGGACTCGAAGCTGGTGGGCACGCAGCTGGGCCTCGCCATGAATCTTGTCTTTTTGCTGGCGCGGGCAAACGCTGGAGCGACGTCTTCGTCGTCGGACAACGACATCTTTGGTGACGAGACCAAGATTGGGTGGTTTTCATATGTGGTGAGTATCTCTTCTACTTGACGGCATCGCAACTTGTCGCGCGATCTCAACTAACCGCTTCGACCAAAGGCCTATCTCATTGTATGGGGTCTCGCACTCTTCTCTTGCATCAACGCAGCCTACACCTACACGCGAACGCGAAGATACCGAATGTTCCAAGCCAACATCGAAGAGCCTCTATCCACGCCTTCTGCGCGACGAGTCCAGGTTCAGTCGTCCCCCGTGACGTCTGCCTCACCGCTTCGATACTTCGCCGACAAGATCGCACCGGGCTCGGCTGAATCGCGTTCGCATCCGGATAAGAAACGAGATGTGTGGGAACTCGCCGTCTGGGATCCTCTGCCTATTTCCCTAAGACTTGTTTGTTTGTTCAGCCCGGGACACGTGCTGGCCTACCTCCTCGCCCTCCCATTGGCGCCGCTGGATCCCCAACCGAGTGTGACTGTATTCAACGCCATCGTGATGCAAGTGGTTCTTTCCGGACAGATGCTGTTCCTCTCTTCGCGATTCGCGCAGCAAGCCAAGGACAACGCCATCATCCAGAAGGAGGTCATGAACGAGTACAACACAAAGTTTGTCCATCCTCGGCTACATCCCGTCGTCAGAGACGTCGGTACTCAGGTTGCAGCGGAGCACTCTCCCAAGGGCCGTGGATTTGTGCAAGTCGGAACGCCGACAACGCTCATCAGGAAATCTTTTGTTACACGATCTACATCTCAAGCTGGGCACGAAAACGCCTTGTCCTCTGGTTACAGGCAGATGTCTCAGCCTGTTGTCCCAAGGCACTCAGAAGGCATTCCTACCAACGGAGATCAACCTCGCTCGACGTTTCAACAATACATGATGGCTGACCAGGCCACTGGCACAACATCGTCACCTATGCCGCTCTCAGCTACATCTGCAAACACTGCCCATTATGGAGGCAATATGGGCATTCACAGCCATAACAAGTCGCCTCTGAAGAAAGTTATGGATCGAGGCAGCTTTGAGCAAGCGTCACCTCGAAACTCACGAGAGATGGCGGCACTGGAGCAACAGGGCAGAAGCGCGTCCACCCCATATTCAGGAGTTTCCAGAAGCAGACCACAGCAAGACAGATCCATTAGATGGTGATTTGGCTCTGTTTTCTGCTCTTCCCAACACTTGATTAAAAACATGGCACTATTACCACAACAGATTGCCATATTTGTTTTGTGCAACCCAATGTATTACTATTTGGGAACTGAGTGGATGTCATTTATTTGTTTGGATTCAGTATAGCATAGCATGGTCGGCGTTGGGGTTGTGTTTTGTGTGTATCACTGTGTTTTTTCTATGCCGACTAATGGAGATATGTGTATATGAACAATGCGGTTTGGAATTTGGCTGAGTGGGCACCTGGCCTCTATGTGATATGAATGTTCTTTTCTTTTTTCCTCTTCTGCAACTCGAAGTGGAAGCTGCTCACTTTCATTTAAGCTTCAATTATCAAGTACCGAAAAAAAGTTGAGTTCGGGTCATGATTTCAGTGGGTTATTCCTGTTGCCCGGGTGCTGTACAGAGTGCAAGCACGAGTGGCAGTGTTATGATGCCGTCTTCTTGCCTGGGCAGCTGGCCATCTGCCCCTCACCATCTGCCTTGAAACTACTTTAAAGGTGCTTCGATTTTCCCAAGCAAAGACTCAGACTACACATTATGACGCTTTCGCGTTACATATTTACCACCCTCATCCTTCTTCAGCCCTGGCCGAGGAACGATGAGACTCTCGCAGCATTCTCACGTCGACGTATCCTCAGCCCTTGGATCCAGAGAGGTCTGGCTCCTTTTGTTTCTTTAACTGTACTTGCTACACTCACTTTCTATCTCGTTGAGATGTCATATTTTCTGCCTCCTCAGGTTTCAGACGTGGCTCCCCGACAGACAACATCTCTAGCACTGCCCAAGAAGAATCAGCCCCTCAGAAGGACGCAGACGGAGAGCCCGCAGCCTGCCTCTCCAGCAGGATGGATGAGGAAAATCATGCTTCCTAGTCGGCGCCCAGAACGCGGCGGGACGAGCAGAGAGCAGGGCTATTGGGAGCAGATGGAGGTTGAAGGAAAAGTCCGGCCACGACGTCGTATGACAGATAGCCAGTACAGCATGGGTGATGTATCGGTGGATTCGAACCATATAGCCCGCTGGAATGTGCCAAAGGATATCCCGAAAGAGCAGCCAAGTGAATTGCCACGGGGGCAGCGCGTTGCATCGACCAAGCCAGGATCTTCTTTATCTCCGAATGCCAAACAAAAGAACTGCAGCCGGAGCTGGAGTCCGCTAAAGGGCTCTGAAGATCCAATTTCTGTGACGAAGCTGGAGGGTGCGTTGCCGAGCGATGACTGGAATGGAAACAACAATAAGACGGGGAACATCAAAACAACCGAGACTGGCAGTCTAAGCATGGATTCTGAGACTGCGACACACAAGAAACAGCTTCAGAGGCGCGATGCACTCAGAGCGAGAAAGGCCCGGCGCCGCCAGCGTCAGAGCTTGAGGGAAAGTGGCGACTTTCTGGGCGTGCAGGGGGTCAACCCTCATACTGGAGAGCTGGATGTTATGTCTCCTACCGATGACAGCAGTCCCCTGAGTACGAGAAGCCACCAAGAGACTGTACACAGCGTTATGCATACTCTGCGAGACAAGTGGAGAAACAGCAGGCATCACAGGGTGAGAGACTCTCCGAGCAAAGACAAGCATATCGAAGGCAGCGACACCAAGCTTTCTGGGCTGCAGAAAGAGAAGAGGGTGAGAGGCTTCGGAAAGGCCGTTAGATGGAAAAGACGTGTGGGCGAGTGGTCGTCGCTGCAGGAACCTGATTTGAGCCCCATCAGCGCATCACCAAACTCTCGTAAGTTCTTCTCATGGCCTAGTTTGAGGTGTATTGCATCTCTCATCTCTGGTTACACCAGAACAGTTTCTGACACTACTTGGTTAATAGGAAGGCCCTCTCACGCCCAAGGCCTTCAACAATCAGTCCAGCATCTCTCTCTTGAAGAAGCACCGCCTGATCTCAGCCTTCCAAACGACGCTCTTACTTTCGTGAATGAGTCCATTAGCCTCATTGAAGCCACTTCGCCAGTTGAAGTCCCAAATCCTCTTACTCGCACCTCGTCCAACTCTACGGTCATTAAAACCCCTCGTCGACAAAGCCTGGCCAACCCGTCTCTCGCATCATAGAATCTGCACAAGGGTGACTTGGACTTTGACGATTCTAACTCACAGGCAAGCTCCAATGCTATGAGAGAGGCATCTCAATCCATGAAGGCGCCTTTTTTAGGCATGGTAGTCGAGAGGGAAATCGGCAAGCCCTACACGGGGGCAAGCATGATGGCCCTCTCGGCATACCAACTTACCCAGTCGATCCCAGCTTTTCACCAGAAATTCGAGCACAAGATTGGCCTCAGAGGGATGAGAAGCGCCAGTCTATCCAATTTGGATCTTTCTCTAACACCACTCCGAGAACCAATCCCTCTGAGCCTGTTCGAAGAAAGCCCGTTGGGGGCCATCTCTCGTCTGCGGTATAGAGACAGTCCGACAAGAGCCAAGAAAAGACCACCAAAGGGTTGTTTCAGTCTGAACAACGTCCAGTCCATGATATGCAACGCAGTAAAGAGCCTGGGCGACGTGAGCGGCTTGCCGCAGGAGAAACCAGTCACCACAAAATGTCCCACGAGTTCACCCAGCCCTCATTCACCGCTCACTTCAGAGGAGACAAAACTGGGCATGCAGAAATTACGAGATCAAGTTGCAGTATTCAACAATCAACAGCGAAAAGAACTCTCCTACCGTCTACACCACGCCAAGACAGAACAGAAGCCAGCCAGTCGCATCTTGTGCGAAATCACGGACAAAAGCGAACAGATCAAAGGATCTGTTTGCATACCCATCACCACCACTACTGGTTGCGACCACCAAGCATCTCCCTTGGCCTCTCACCAGAAAGTGTTGTATCAGATAGACCAATTGGAACATCTTCTCTCACACGTGGTAGTCCGACCGGGCGAATTGAGCTGCAGCTCGCCAGCCGTAGGCTCATCGAGGAGCAACTCGGACAAATCCCACACAGACCTGTCCACGAGTTCCGCGCAGAGTCAAACCTCGGTGGAAGAGGACGAGCTGCTAGTAGAACTACTAGCAGACACTACATCCATGAAGCAGGAGGTTCACACAATGCAGGAGGAGAGGGCGCACTTGCGAGGCAGGCGTCTACTGCTGTCAGAAGCTATCTTGCCGGCACTGGAGGACAACTCGTTGCCCAGGTCAACGTTTACACAGGACCAAATATTGATGGCTACGAACAAATGGAAGCTATCGAATATCAACCAGATGACACAAGAGCTGGACCTCAACAAGACACCAAGCCCCGCAGAGTATCAAACACAGATGGTGGAAGAGAACCCTTGGGCTCGTCCAGAAAAAGAAGGCAGCGACGACATCGCAAGTCTTTTAGATGACTGGGAACATCTCTTAGACACATGCCCCGATTCAAAGCTACCGCCGGAAGAGAACTGGGGCGAGTGGAAGATAATTACGGAATGGAAGGAGTATCGGCGCCAAAATCAAAGAGAGTCCACTGGGCCGCAGCTTTTCCTGTACTGCCTGAAAGCTCTAGCCAAGCTCTACTGGTCAACCGTCTGGCCCATGCTCGATCCTCGAACAATGCAAGTCGAGCACGATGGGCCAATGCCTTTCTGGAAGGCCTGCCTGTTGATTGTGCTTGCAGTACCGATGATGACTGTGGGCTTTGTGGTTATCGTGCAGGGGATGAAGATTGTGAGGCTAATGGCGTGGCTGTTGAACTATGAGGATGATGGAGCGGCGATTTGGATCTAAAGACGCTGTGAATTGATCGATACATGGACCGAGAAAAGGTCATGCATGGGTGAGGTTGATCAGATGAGTTCAAATGTGGCGGAAGTACGATGCAGAGAGAGAGAGATTATCAACAAGACTCGCGAGCGTTGTGTGTTTATGTCTTAGGCTATAGAGGTAGTACTGGTATTGATATTTCCATAGACTTGACTTGCGTCACTGTCAAAATGTTTTCTAACTTGACATTCTTTACATCCCACTTCTAACAGCTCTCTATATGTTGCTATGCGCCTACATTAAGAATAATCCAAAAGCAATCAATCCAAAAGCACATTTCCAATCACCGCCCAATTAGAACCATCATATTGCACCTCTCGAATCTGTCCATTCACCAAGTAATAGCAGCGAGCCGTGTTGTAGTCCGATGGCAAAGAAGCGACAGTCCAGAGCGTGGCGGTGAGGCAAGATATGCCCGTGCCATTGTCGGGCCTGCCGAGAAATGTAGGCGTCGATGAAGTCCGCCACCCGGTGTCGTCGTCCTCCCAGGTCATTAAGAGGGTATCTGAGCTGTTTTGCCATAGTATGTAGGTGTTCATGGCGCCATCGGATGAGTTGGAGTATCGGGGGACGGTGAAGGCTCCCATGGGGCTGTTGGGTGGAATGGCGATGGGCGGTGCACCTATCAAACAATTTTTAGCCAAGTATGCAAGCGTTTTCTTCGAATAAGCCTCACCAATGCTCAACTTATTGGTCAAGTTGGTTCGCCCCTCGAGAATGAGCTTCTGGTCATCCCGCTGATAGAGAATCTTGTCGCCTCCGAATCTCCCCTCGAGGACAGAAGACGGCACCTCTGCCAAAGCCGAGCCGTTTCGGCTCTTGAGGCCCTTGCTGCTCCGCGCCCAGGTGAGATTGGCGTCGTACGCTTCTTGGACCTGGTTGTTTCCGTCTTGGAAGATGACGCTGGGCCAGTATGCCGCGAGGCGCGTGTTTGGCGAGGCTTTCCATCCGTTGGGGGACATGGGGCCGCTGCCGGAGAAAGTTTGTGCTGAGGGATAGGCGGAGTCTTGTTCGCGGAAGTACCATTCTTGGAGTATGTTTTCATTGTTGAGGTAGAAGATTTCGACTTGTGTGAAGTTCTCAAGGTTCAGTCGTGTTAGTGAGCACACATGGCGGTGCAAATTATAAGAGAAAGGAGGGGGGTATCTCTCACATTACTGCTCGTTATCGGGCTGAAGCAATAGAAGGGGATGTTGTAGCTCGTTGCTGCTATTGGGCTGCCTAGTTTTGCATTTGTATCTGAAAATGTGGCCAGCGTGGACCAGTTGCCATCGCCGGAATGGTATCGCATCAGACGCAGGTACCCGTGTTGATCTTGGTATATGAGGCGGATGGTGAAGCTGGACGGGCCTGTCCACCAGCCGGTGACTCCGATGCCTGAGGTTGCATAGACGGCATTCACCGGTTTTGAAGAAGTAGCTGGAGGCGTAGCGGAGGCTCGTGGTGTTTCTGTAGGAGTCTTGCTGCTGCTGTTGTTGAGTCGCAATCCAAGGACGATGCCAAGCACGGTTGCCAGGATGATGAACAGCACAGCGACGCCTGCTAGGGTGAGGATGAGCCACTGCTTCTTTCTCAGATGCTCGTCCGATGATTCTTGTTCAGGTTTCTCAATGAAACTCTCGGTATTGACCCTAACAAAGCCGTTTGCGCTGGGATCTACAGCCTCCAAGTCGTCGCAGCCGCAAAATACTTCCAACGCCTGCTCAACCTGCTCGCGGGTCGAGACCTCCAGGCCTCCAACGTCGGGAGCCCATACTTCGAGCCCTTCTTCCGGTGGTCGTACTTCTAGTCCGCAAGGATCGCGATCGTATATCACGCTCATCACATCAACGTCTGGCGTAGCCCTGGAAGGCCGTTGAAAGAGAAGCCAAAACATTACGTTGCATTATGAAAAGATTTTGAAGAGAGAGAGAGAGAGGCTTCAGAAGGGCTGCTACAAGGATGCTGGTGCGAATAGCGAGGTGGCTTTCCCACAAGGCCATTGTGGGCAGCCTGATCGTCGCAAAAGGCGTTCGTTGCGGCTATGTGGCTGGACCCTGGCGCTTCTGAAGGATTTGTGTCAGGTTTGCACGAAAGCATAATGACGAGGCTATGCGTATAGGTCAGGATTGAGACTTGAAATCCAACAATTCGAGCATTTGCTATTAATAGTCGTGGATGGTGCGGTTCATACGAGGCAGAGAGCCTCATGGCGATTTTACCAATTACACGTAAGCCTAGGGGAAATCCCGTGACTTGCGACAAACACTGAACTCAATAAGGATATCCACAGGGTACATGAAATTCAGTTCACAGAGATCCTTCAAGTCTACCCCTACAAGAGGGAAATACCACAACGAAAGTACCTGTACAAAGCTTAACATGAGATGTCCACTGCGGATCAAGCCTTCGCCACAAAACGTACAAGACATGGTCACAGTTTCGCTCAAAAACTCTTTGCCTTGCAATCTTTCTTCCACTTCCTCTGTTCATCATGAGCATGTGAGCAGGATGCTGTGCTGCCTACCAACCATGCAAGGCACGATGGCGAAGTGTTTGGCAGCATAAAGGAAGCGAGGCGTCTTCCACTCAAAGACTAGGTGTTCGAGATCACAAAGGCAAGGATACCCCAAGATCGTGCTGCATTTTCCACTGTCTACCATCCTATTTAGATACTCTACAATCATCATCCTGGAATAAAGCATCCAAATACCCGTCATCTCCCCAGATCGTCCACGTTTCGACAAACACCAAGGAGTAGATAGAACTCGGAACTTCGGGCTTCCTCAACACGCAAAACCGCCGCGATTTTGTACAAATACGCAGCATCCGTTGCCCCATTCCCATGTTATTGGGGCCGATGATGGAGACACCTGAATAGGTCTGAGGCCGGGAAATCTAAAAGGGGTCAGCCAAAGGCTGGTGGGCCAAATCTCCCTTCATAAGCCGTGTCTCTTCATTGCCAAAGCGCAGAATGTAACAACCCACAAAATATAATCATTAGGGGTCCTCACCTTGGAATTTGATTGTCCCTGTCAATGATGAAGGCGCCTGAACAGGCCTGAGACTGGGATATTCTCAAGGAGGAGGACGATGGGGGGGGGTTCGGCAGTATCGGTGGAGACAATGGCCAGCAGAACTAGATGAGAGAAGAACGTTTGAGGGTAGGGAGACGAGACTCAGTGCCGCAAGAGAGAGCACTGAAGCAGCGCAGAAAAGACATATGAGGATGGCGTGGCGAGATCCGTGATGAGTGGTGATGATGGAAGAATGGGAGGGGGGATTTGAACAAGATATACGCAAAGCCGAGTTGCTCGTTCCTGACAACATTATATCAACAATATGTCAACACGGAAAGCTACAATGAGGGATAAAGTTTCGATTGGTCTCTGACAGCAAGAGAGGTGCATATTCAGGCACTCAGTCAGAAAGAAGATGCGAGTATAACCATGAGTGTTTATTCAGAAGTGGGCAGTTATAGGGCATGGAGTTAGGAACTGGAGTATATCGAAATTGAGCATTGGAGTTGGCATCAGATAGCAACATAAATAAAGAAGTCTATTGAGAGTTCAAATCTTGCAAAGTATCCTACGTATCACGCGGCTTCCACTCAGAATTGGAGATATATTCTAGCTTTGTGTATTGATATTAAAGGTTTTTTTAGATTCTGTTCGCCGTCTCATGTCGGCCGGTTGATGTAAATAAATAGCAGCGCCGCAGCTACCAAACTTTTAACAAGAAGCAGCTATGCAGTGTGATGATCCATTTAGGTGAAAGCTTGGCATGCTTTTCCCATCACTAGGCTCAACGGGAGCTAATTTCCAATTTGAACACACAGCTATGGAAGGGAGTTGGCTTTCTTCTAAAGCCAGGTTGATATGTACATATTATAAGTGACTACTTCCACATCGTCCAACTCTCAGGGTGGCCTGCTGTCGCTTCTTGAGACTCGCTGAATCGACTCTGAATCTCCTTCCTTTGGCTCTCCTTATGGTAAGAGAGATGAATAGACTCAAAGCGCATAACCTTTCATGAAAAGCTGTTTACAAAGTCTGCAGTGAATGACAGGCCCGGTGTTTGAGACACTAAGACCAAACACTGGCCGCGAGAGATACCTTTTGTACTCTTGGATCTGTATTCTCCTGAATATATACCCTCTAGGTACCATTAGATAGATACATAATACCACGAAGATGCGCCGAGGTTCAACATACGGCATACTCTTTTTGAGAATCCACTCGCCAATTCTACGTAATAGAGTTTATACGAAGAGGAGCCCTATCAAGCCTTGTGAAAGCTTAATACGATTTATCCACTAGCAGCCAGTAGCGGTACGTATATAATGGGCTATGCCCTCCCTCACCTCACATAGCGAGAATCTTTCTCCTCATTGCCGAAGCTCGGGAAAGCGTAACACCCGAGAGCAAGGTACCACCACAGGGGTACACCAAAGGGATTAGATATCTTGTTGCCAGTGATGCACCTAAACAGGACTGAGGCAGAGGGTTTTTTTTTTCTCCCCGTCTACATAGCTAATGGGCAATGGCTCGCTTGGCTTGCTCTCTGTAGAGATACTAGATATCCCTCCTCATTGAGGTTTGGGATCAAAAATCGTAACAAGGTGTGGTGCCAATGATGAAATACCTGAAGACAGGTCTGAGGCCAGGAGTACTCTCCACGGCTAGAAGGGCGGCAGCTCAGGTCTTGCAGAACACAATACTAGTAACTAACAAGGTAATAAATAACTAGTCTAATTATTCCAAAAGTGCTATGTTAACAACTGGTTATCTAAGTTTCTATTCAATGAGTATAACAAACTATCTTATATTGTAAGTCGTGGGAACGATACTATCTACTAAGTTATGGTTCCCGTCTGCTATATGACGCTCGTGTACAGCGTCTCTGTGAAGGAACGCTGCGTTCCGTCATTCCTTACCTATGATTGGTAGCCTCGGTCTTTTTGTTCCAGGTACGTATCTTTTATCCCCAGGTGATTGGTTCGTATGCCTGTCAAGCAGATCGCGAATTGGTGCCCCGCAATATCCGCCCAACTACCTACCCAATCTTTACCTTTTGATAGAGTAGAATCACTCTTTTATCTCTGCTTCTATACTATCTATATCGGCAAAACTCAACTATCTATCCGAAACTTTTCACGATATGGCATCTCGACCTGATGGTCGTGAAGATTTTGAGATTGCTATAGTCTGTACACGTCCCTTTGAGTACGATGCCATCCTCCGCATCACTGACCAGCATTGGGACGAAATTGGAGATGCTTACGGTCGAGCTATTGGCGATAAGAATTTTTATACGACGGGATCTATAGCAGATTTTGACGTCGTAGTTCTTCTACTTCCCGGCGGTGGAAAGGCTAATGCGGCTGGAGCTGCGGCTAGTCTTCGATCGAGCTACCCAAGGCTGAGTCTTATGCTGCTGACTGGAATTTGTGGCGGCGTGCCTAATACAACAAGTGGTGATGAGATTCTTCTCGGAGATGTAATTGTCAGCAAGGCGGTGGTGCAGTATGATCTTGGCTACCAATACCCTGACCGCTTTGTCGAGAAAGATACCATTGAGACTAGTTTGGGCAAACCGACAAAGAACATCGGCAGTCTTATTGCCTTGTTCGAGACAGAATTTAAACGGGAGCGTCTCGAGAGTCGAGCGGCAGAGCTTCTTGAGATAATACAGGGAAACCATCAATCTAATGACTTGCAAAGTAACAGATGGAGGAAAATCAGCTATGCTTATCCTGGAACCGTAAGGGACAAATTATTTGACAATAATTATCGACACAAGCATCACTCTCCATCTGCATGTCTCTGTATGAATTGTTACTCAAATTCGGACCCGACATGTGATGATACACGGAATCAAGATTGCCACGAGCTCTGCTGTGATGATGCCTTTCTCGTGAAGCGGGAGCGTCATGGAGAAAAGAAGAGATGAGAATTAGATAATCAATTCAAACAAGCCCAGGCGCCAGCCATCTTCGTCGGACGAGTGGGCTCTGGAGATAGAGTGGTGAGGTCAAGTGAGGAGCGAGACCGCATCTCTCGGCAAAAAGGCGTTATTGCATTCGAGATGGAAGGCGCTGGGCTGTGGGATGAGCTTCCCTGCATTATCATCAAGGGAGTCTGCAACTACGCCGATGGCCATCAAGACGGGATGTGGCAATACTTTGCGGCTGCTTCTGCAGCAGCGGTCACCCGAGGCCTGATCGAACAGTACATCAAGACTGATAAAGTGGCCAGTATTCAACTTAGCCATCTCCTGCGGAAAAAGGAGCATCAAGAATGCCTTGCCAATCTACGAGTTACGGATCCTCGCAACGACAAGATCCGCATTCAGGAAACAAAGGGTGGGCTTCTTTTAGATGTATATGACTGGATTGTTAATCACCCTGACTTTCAGCAGTGGCAGGATGATGCTGAATGTCGCCTGCTTTGGATCAAAGGAGATCCTGGAAAAGGAAAGACAATGCTCTTGTGTGGGATGATTGATGAGTTGAGCCAAGATAACACACGCGTCATATCCTATTTCTTTTGCCAAGCAACAGAAGAAAGACTACGAAAAGCTGTCAACGTTCTAAGGGGGCTCATTTGGCACCTCATCGTTCAGCGGCCATCTCTAATTTCCTATGTCCAGGAGAGATATGACCAAAGCGGCAAAGATCTCTTCAACGATCACAATGCGTGGTATCCCATGTCCGAGATACTGACAGCCATGTTGGCTGATGAGAATTTGAAAGATGCAATCCTATTAATCGACGGCCTTGACGAGTGCATAGACGGTCGTTCGCTTCTCCTTGACTTCATCACCCAGTCATCTTCATCCCAACGAGTCAAATGGGTCATTTCGAGTCGCAACTGGCCAGACATTGAGCAAAAGCTCGATAATGCCCTGCGAAAAATCAGGATTTCCCTCGAACTCAACGAAGAGTCTGTTGCAGCTGCTGTCCAATCATACATCCAGCATCAGGTGCAAAAGCTAACATGTCAATTTCTCCTCGATGATGCAAAACAAGATGAACTGAAAGCGTATCTGACGTTAAACGCGCATGGCACATTCCTCTGGGTGGCTCTCGTGTGTCAAGAATTATCCAAATTTACAATCAAGACGCGTATATTTGCCACCCTAATATCCTATCCACCAGGGCTAGATCCGTTGTACCAACGGATGTTGGATAGCGTTCACGATTCGGGGGCGACAGACTTATGCAAGATGATACTGGCCATCACCGCAGTCGCTTACCGACCCTTAACCCGATTAGAGCTGTTGACTTTCCTAGGGCAAACCAAAGGCTTGGAAAGCGAGGACTTAGAAGGCTTAATTCAGATCTGTGGCTCTTTCTTAACACTGAGAGGCGAGATCATCTACTTGGTACACCAGTCAGCAAAAGACTTTTTACTTGACAAAGCATGTCATCAAATATTTCCTTCTGGAATAGAAGAACTGCACTATTCGATCTTTGAGATGTCAATGGCTACATTATCTTCGGCGCTACGACGCGATATCTACAACCTCAAATTGCCAGGAGTTCTTATCGAACAGGTCTCAGCACCGCAGCCGGACCCGATTGACCCAATTCGCTACCTGTGCTTTCACTGGTTAGATCACTTGAGCGATTCAAAGAGACTGCAATCAACACAATCTAGTCTACCAATCAAGGCCGCAGGTCTCATCACGACTTTTATCAGAGAGAAGTATCTATGCTGGCTGGAAGCATTGAGTCTGCTGCGGAATATCTCAATTGGGGCAAAATCGGTCAAGAGATTGCTGGAGTTGGTGGTAGGTCAAGAACTACGATCAATCGATCTCGGTAAAGTTATGCTGACCCGATAAAGAAACTAACCGATATGCGAGAACTAGCAGAGCTAATAGAGGATGCTTATCGCTTCATCCTCTTCCATAAACCCGGGATCTCATTAGCACCGCTACAGGTTTATACATCCGGACTCGTATTTACTCCTTCGGGTAGTAACGTGAAAAATTCCATGGCGGCACATGAGCCAAGATGGGTCTTTATGAAGTCACGGATGAAGAACAACTGGGGTGCTGGCCTTCAATCGCTAGTGGGACACAGCAGCTTTATATCCTCGATGGATATCTCACCCGATTTGTCTCTCATAGTGACAGGCTCCGAGGACAAGACAGTTCGACTTTGGCAAGTCGATACAGGCGACTCTTTATACATATTGAGCGAACACACATCCTACGTTTCTGATGTGGTCTTTTCTCCTGATTCCAGAATGATCGCATCGCATCATTCCCTAGACGACATGGTTCGACTCTGGCTTGTTAGTACAGGGCAGTCCATACGCATTTTTCACATCACCAGTATGGTCGGGCGGCTTAAATCTCTAACGTTCTCGCATAATTCGACCCTCTTGGCGTGTTTAGGAAGAAAATCAATCATGGTTTGGGACACCGACACCGGGAGCTGTAGGCATACAACTTGCTTTGAAAGAGACACGGACCAAGAAATCAGGTCTATTGCTTTCTCACACAAATCATCACTTTTAGCTATGGGCTTAAAGGGTGGCACAATCAAATGTTGGAGCTCTGATCCCCCATTCGATATGCTCGAATTCCTCGGAAATGGAAGTGAAGTGACTTGTATCGCATTTTCACATGATTTGGTTACAATTGCATCAGGTTCACCCAGTGGCGTCGTCATTTGGCATATCGATACTGGCAAAGCTATACGGAAACTCGCAGATCATATGGAATCAGTAAGACGTCTTGAGTATTCTCGTGACTCAAAATTGTTAGCATCGGTGTCGACCGAAAATATGATTCAACTTTGGGACATTCAAAAGGGCACATGCTTGAAACAAATCAATCTGCAAGGAAAGTATGTCTTTGCAATTAGATTCTCGCCCAGCGAAACTGTGACTATAGCCTACGAAGGCAACACAAGCCAGATGGCCAGAATTCTGCGCTCTGACTGGAGTGACGAAATGCACAAAGGCATAGGCCACACCGAATACGTCAAGAGAGTAATGTTTTCTCCTGATTCGACAACCATAGCATCGTTTGCTGACAAGGAAAAAATAATTCGTCTTTGGGACTCTCAATCTGGTTATTGCCTTCAACAGTTACAGGGCCATGAAAGCGATGTTCAGTCAGTCATTTTCTCCCATGACTCTACTCTTCTGGCGTCAGTTTCGCAAAGACCGGCGATATGGCTTTGGCATGCAAAAACTGGCAAAATTTTTCGCAAGCTGAAAGGTTATGACCCTTTCCTTAGGCTTTATAGCTTATCAGCCTTCTCTCCCAATTTATCAGCCTTCTCTCCCGACTCAAAGCTCATAGCCTCGACCGCGGGTGGTAGCATCTTACAACTATGGTGTGTCGCTACGGGGAGGCGACTTCACAGCTTAGAAACCCACAAGAGACTTTTTGGAATAATAGCTTTCTCTCCTAATTCAGCCGTTATTGCATCAGTATCCAAAGACTACATCTTACGGCTTTGGGATGTCAAAACAGGTCGATGTCTTCACAGGCTAGGAGACGGCCGTGCACTCATTAGATCAATTGCCTTCTCACATGATTCTGCTCTCATAGCCTCAGCATCAGTGGATAATAGAATTCGAATTTGGCGCGTGGTTACAGGTGAATGCATACAGACCCTAGAATGCAATCAAGGCAGTATGGGAGGGATAGCATTCTCTGATGACTCGAAATTAATTGCTTTGACCTCGGAAAACGATCGAGGACTATTCAACAGGAGTTATGGCGAGTATGATCGTTTCTGGCGCAATACAATTGACCGGGAATATCGTAATCCATTTACGAATATGAATGACGATGCGCTGCGGCTCTGGAGTGTTGCTCAAGGCTCGTGCCTACAGGAAATTCCCCAAGGCTCAACACATCTTCTAAAATTCTCCGCGGATGGATCAAGCATCTATACCGACTTTGGGAGGATCGGGGTAGACATTTCTCGGACCGAGACTGTGGTGGAGAACAACATCCGTCTCTATAAAAAGGGCATAAGTCTCAGCCAAGATAGATGCTGGATCACCTGGTATGATCATAAAATACTCTGGGTACCGATAGAGTATCAGCCGATCTGCTCAGCTGTTTCAGGATCTACCATCGTATTTGGATGCAGATCTGGGGAAGTCTTTATTTTGAAATTCTCGGCTCAGCTACTATCAGAGTTATATGGTACGGGTGATCTTGAGGAAGTTGACGGTGTAGATGATCAAACAATGACGGAAGTTCCACTTGGATGGAAGAATCATCGTAATCACAGGAAGTGTAATCTAATGTAGATAAAGCATATATATCAAATTAAATCTCAATATCACTTCAGCCTAGAGTACTGGATTGCTATGAAGGAGAAGCTGATTGTATTGCTCTGTGTTTTTGTAGCTCTTTTTCCACCTTCCTTATACAGCAGCCTCTCTATCTTTTGGTATCGTTGCTTTCCAGCAACGTGCAACGTCCTTTTTCTCTTGATAAGTTGAGCTTTCGTCTCAACTTCTCTGGTTTAGGCTTGTTCCCAGCCAAGATGCACGCAGTCAGCTGTTATCAATCTTGCTCTACTCACGGAGGATAATAAGGATCTGCAGCGCTATAATATCTTAGGACTTTGATAGCGCCTTACCTAACTTATGAGTCGGGAACCGGGCCAAATGAAATAGTCGAGTGGCCAGAGATCTACTCGACGAAAATTCGAAGAGCAGGGGAGCTCGGGCAAGTGCGATAGCTATTGTGCGTTTCTGGCGAAGTTGCAATCCGACCGCAGCCTCGAAGCGCCTGGAAGTCGTGTTTCAAATAAGTCCATCTATTACAGATTTACTGTTTTATAAAGCATAGCTGTAGGTATTATCTTACTGTTAAGACAAGGTGACTTAATGGGCCTCGTGCGCCTAAAAAGGTTTAAAGGTTTTGGATACGGCTGAAAGCCTGACTTTGTCTTTGGTCACGTAATGGAGGAAGAAAACAATAAAAAGGGCTAACAGTAGGTCACTTTGTTAGGTGTTCTGTTTCAAGGCATGGAGAGATCAAATACTTCATAAAGCGACTTATTATTAAGCTCATTTTGCTGCTGTCTTCCTCCATTACTTAATAGAAGATGTAGTCAAGCCCTTTAGCTTGCAACAGCCTTATCCAACCCAGGAGGAAACCCATAGAGTTATCAGAAACTTTGTCGTAACCGGAGATGCTCAGCCACGGAAACAAAAAAACAGTCCATCCAATACCTCATGGGACAAAGGATACCCATTCAACAGCACCGAACCATTCCTTCTCTCCCCAAAGAGCTTGAAAGCTACAGAGACTCTCTGAGAGCACCAGAGACTAGGCCTGTCGCAGATTTTGTGCACTGGTCCGTCTTTATCAAGTATGACAGCCTCCTCCATGGCCACGGGCATCTCGCCTCTACATTTCTCGACACAGGCTGTAGAAACTGCTTTGCGACATACCAGTACGGCTGTCGGGCTCGAAGGCCAGTTCGTGTTCTATCAGCCTTGATTGCCAAGGGAGCTGACTTACAAATACGACTCGGGAAGAAAGTCATTCCTAGAGGCTATCGGTCATTGCCACTTCAGGTCAAAAGCAATCGGTTGATGGTGCGAGATTACGTAGTTCATCGCAGCTATGTGCCCGTCGGAATGGCGAATTTGAAACACAGACTATCTGAGATTGATTCGAATCACACAGGACGGTCAGCCAGGTGAGTCTATGCATACAATGTTGATGACTCAGCCAGAGAAGTTTAAGGCGGCGGGCAAATGAGGCGATAGCGCAGATACTCGCCCTAGAAGAGTAGATATAGATAGTTGGATGTTCGTTTCTCTGGGAATTTTTGCTGCTGCTGCTGCTGCTACTTTAGCCTCTTCCTTCCACTATATACCTATACAAAAGGTCACAATTCTAGATTTTCAATACGCTTCTTTCTTGTTCATGTGCGTATTTTCATCGGCCCAGGCTGCTTACACATGTGAACACTATCAAGACAGCCACAACTCACATTCTGGGCATTCCAAGAGTCAACACGTTTCTTAGTAAGTGCCTTCCGTCATATGTAATCGCTAACTTGTTTAGGCTGCTCAAGGGCTGCTAGTATTGCCACTAATACTATCCGAATGTTGTAAACAGCCAAGTTTAACCACCAATTCTCACACTCGCTTCGATCGGCTTCTTTGGCACCCAAATCGTGGCATCCTTGCATCAGCAGCTGATCGAGGCAACAGCCCCTCTCTGGAGAAAATCCATGCAATTCCCGGCTGCAGCCAACCAGCGGCGGCCATTTAGCAATCGCCTGCTCCATCCGGGTTTTTTCCAAGCTCCATAACCGGCTTGCAATGGCAGAAAGGCACCTTTTGCTAGGGCGATGCGGCGACTCTCCGATCATCGGAGCCGTGCCACCGGTCAACATCGGACTTGGGAGCTCTGAACGAGGCCTCGTTGATGGAGATAAAGCGACGAGATTTGCAGTTGTTCTTCTCCCCGCTCTGTTCTCTGCTTCTCTAGACTCTTATTCCCCTTTCCTTCTTTTTGCTTCAAAGACTTTTATCCAATTGAGCTGTGTTGATTGATTCACTGAAAGGCCTACAGAGTGCAGCTTCAATTTAAGCTCCATCACTGCTTATCATCTTCAGCACCAGCTCCAGAGCTTCCGTGCCCCTCCTTTTGGTGCAGCGAAAAACGTCATTTGCAGCGTCTTTCGGTCGCTCTTCTTTTCTCTCCATCATTCCTAATCCTCCGCTTCTCTATTAATCTTCCTACACCACGACACAATGCCCGTATCAACAGGAACGCCGCAGACCCTTTACGACAAGGTGTTCTCGAGCCACATTGTCGACGAGAAGCTCGACGGCACAATCCTCCTCTACATCGGTTCGTTGCGCCGTGCTGCCATTGCGTTTCGCGAGGCTCTAAACTAACCAGAGTGGGGGATGATTAGACAGACACTTGGTTCACGAAGTGACATCACCAGTAAGTTTCAGCTCTGTTCAATATCTCCGATTGGCAACGCGCCTTGCTAACATCTTGTCTCCAGCAAGCCTTTGAGGGCCTCAAAAATGCCGGCCGCCAAGTCCGCAGACCGGACTGCACCCTGGCCACTACCGATCACGTACGTCTCATCTGCCAAGCCATTCATCGTGGAGATGCGATCAGATGCTAACGAGTGCCTGTGCCTCTTCTAGAATGTCCCCACTACCTCCCGAAAAGGCATCAAGGACATCGCGTCCTTCATCAAGGAAGACGATTCCCGCACACAATGCGTTACTCTCGAGGAGAACGTCAAGGACTTTGGTCTGACATATTTCGGCCTGGGCGACAAGCGCCAGGGAATTGTCCATGTCATTGGACCCGAGCAGGGCTTCACCCTCCCCGGCACCACCGTCGTCTGCGGTGACAGCCATACCTCCACACACGGTGCCTTTGGCTCCCTGGCCTTTGGCATCGGTACCAGTGAGGTCGAGCATGTTCTGGCTACCCAGTGCTTGATCACCAAGCGCAGTAAGAACATGCGCGTCCAGGTTGACGGAGAGCTCGCCCCTGGTGTCAGTTCCAAGGACGTCGTCCTACACGTCATTGGCAAGATTGGCACTGCTGGAGGTACCGGCGCTGTCATTGAGTTCTGCGGCTCCGTTATTCGAGGCCTCAGCATGGAGGCCCGTATGTCCATCTGCAACATGTCCATCGAGGGTGGCGCCCGTGCCGGCATGGTAGCCCCTGACGAGCATACCTTTGAATACCTCAAGGGCCGTCCCTTGGCTCCCAAGTATGGCTCCGATGAGTGGGACAGGGCTGTTGCCTACTGGAAGTCTCTGGCTTCCGACGAGGGCGCCAAGTACGATGTCGACGTATTCATCGACGCCAAAGACATCATCCCGACCATCACTTGGGGTACCAGCCCCGAGGATGTCGTCCCAATCACCGGCAAGGTCCCTGACCCCGAGACTTTTGCCACCGAGACCAAGAAGGCCGCTGGTCGCAGAATGCTCGAGTACATGGGCCTGACTGCGGGAACTCCCATGGAGGAGATTGCCGTGGACAAGGTCTTTATCGGTTCCTGCACCAATTCGAGAATCGAAGATATGCGGGCTGCCGCCCACGTTGTCAAGGGCAAGAAGATTGCCTCCAACATCAAGCGAGCCATGGTGGTCCCCGGCTCTGGTCTTGTCAAGACGCAGGCTGAGGCCGAGGGCATCGATCAGGTCTTCATTGACGCCGGTTTCGAGTGGAGAGAGGCTGGCTGCAGTATGTGTCTTGGCATGAACCCTGACATCCTGTCGCCCAAAGAACGCTGCGCCAGTACCTCCAACCGTAACTTTGAAGGTCGTCAGGGAGCCCAGGGTCGAACTCACCTCATGTCTCCTGTCATGGCTGCTGCGGCTGCCATTACGGGCAGACTTACCGATATTCGCAGGCTGACCGAGTACACTACCAGCCCTCACGTCCAGGCTCGTGTCGCACCCAGCACCCCCGTTGAGGCCCCTCATGTTGATGAGCGTGTCGAGGATTCTGATGAGCGAGAGATCATTGGAGACCAGCCACAGGATCTTCAGCCACACACCAACACCCTGGTACCCAAGACTGATTCCGCTGGCATGCCCAAGTTTCTCACTCTCAAGGGAATCACAGCTCCTATGGATCGGGCCAACGTCGACACTGATGCCATCATTCCCAAGCAATTCCTGAAGACTATTAAGCGCACCGGTCTGGGCTCAGCTCTCTTCCACGCCTGGCGCTACCTTCCTGACGGTTCCGATGACCCTAGTTTCGTCCTGAACCAGGAGCCATACAGGGGCGCCAAGATTTTGGTCTGCACTGGTCCCAACTTTGGCTGTGGATCATCGCGAGAGCACGCCCCCTGGGCACTGCTTGACTTTGGCATCAAAGCCGTCATTGCGCCATCATTTGCCGACATCTTCAACAACAACATGTTTAAGAACGGCATGCTGCCCATCCAAATCTCCAACAAGGCCGACATTGACGCCATCGCCGCTGAGGGACGTGCCGGCAGAGAAGTGGAAATTGATCTGCCCAACCAGCTCATCAAGAACGCAGCCGGCGAAACCATCTGCGCTTTCGACGTTGAGGAGTTCCGGAAATACTGCCTAGTTAATGGATTTGACGACATTGGCCTGACAATGCAGCTCAATGACAAGATTGTCGATTTTGAGAAGAGACGATCAATCCATACTCCTTGGCTGGATGGTACCGCTTATCTCAAGAGAGGCAAGGATGGCCGACTGGCTGCCAAGGCAGTGCCCGTGCCAAAGACAAATCGTGGAGAAGAAAAGAAAGAGCCTCTGGAGTGGTAGTCTGAACGCCTCTTTTCTTCCTCTTTCCTCTTGTTGACCTTTTGCTAAAATTTCCTTTTAATTTCTCGTTTGGCTTCTTTTTTCTCGTTTCATGACATCTTAAAAGACGAATATTTACGTCGAGTCTATCATTAAAAGGCCCAGTGCGGGTTGATATGACAAGAGGAAGGGTTAGTGGATATGAGCTCCTATTTAGCGAGCCATATCGGCCGAGGGCCTTGCATCAAAAAGGAATTGCGTTGTTTATATGAGATAGGGAGCTTTACTCAGTTTTTGCCTAGTTACTTGAAACACGACCCATTTCGATTTTCGAAACTCTTTGCTTGATAATATTTGTGAATAATTCCTTGATGAAGTAAATATGGGCAGAACGTTAGAACGAGTCTTTGAGAATCCCAATGTGAACCACAAAACCCGCCTCTGGACGGAGCGCTGCCGGCATCATCTCACCAGGTATCCGCCACACCCGGAAATGCTCTTTGAAGGCAACCAGCCAGCTGTTGAAGACGTCGTCGTTTCGTAGCTGCTGCGCCACGATACAGAGACACGGCGAGAGTTCGTCGCCCTCCAAGAGACCATCTGACTGGCGTAGCTTGCAGATATCAGCGCAGGTCTGCACAAAGGGCTGAATCAGGGCGTAGTTGAAGACACAGTCGCAAGCAATGATGGCGTCGAAGGAAGATACCGAGGAGGAATTGGTAAGTGAAGGAGTTACTTGAGAAGTCTCCCAGTCGAGGACTTGAAAGTGGATATCCGCGGTTGTGCTGTAAGAAGAAGAAGGACTGGGAGATTTATTGCCCGCCTTCTTGTTGGATTTGCTACCGCCTCTTGCCGTGAGTTTGTTCTCGGCGAGATTCTGCAGGACGAGTTTCTGGACGTAGGGCTGGTCGGTGAGGATGTAGCGCGAGACTTTTGGGGAGAGGCTCAGCGCGTTGAGGGGGGAGATGCCGCAGCCGAGTTCAATGATGGAGGATGAGGAGGAAGTTGCGAGGATTGTGTTGAGGAGGATGTTTGATGGGGAGGAGAGCCATTCTGCGAAGAGGGGGGTGATTTTCCATAGGACTGATTGTTGGATTGTTTGTTAGCTGTTGTTAGGTTTCACAATACGAAATGTTACACAAGCAATCTGTTCATGTATATATATATATAGGGGTGATCGGTTGGTTTGAGAAATAAAGTGAGGCTCACCTGATCCTGTAGTGCCTCCTTTGCGAGACGACGCCAGTACTCCAGGAGATTGATGAATAGTGATGTTTCTTCCGTTGAGCTGGAGGTCTAGGACTGAGGCGTGAGAGTCAATGAAGCCTAGACCTTGGGACGGAATGTCGTTGGAGTAGAGAAGAAATGTCTCTAATCACAAGAAGAAAACGTCAGCAATGAGGAATATAATTGATACGCAAAGGTTAGAAATAATAATGTACCTTCATCAGGGTCCTGGATTTCATCTTCAAGGCGAGAGATGAGTTCCAGGAGAGGATCAGCCATTTGAACTTCAACGTCCGAGTCCACCTAATAGTACAACAATTTTAAAAAAAAAATTAAAAAAAAAAAAAAAGAAGAAGAACAAATCAGACTACGAATACAAATACAAGAAAAACACCAACGCTTTACAAAAGGTTCAGAAATACGCCATGCTGAAGTGCCATCAGAGAGAAGAAGAAAAGTCCATCTCGTGATTAATATCTCGCATGGGAAAAAAAAGGGAGGCGTCCACGTTTTCCAGTATCATTCGGGATAGCGCTCTGCCCCACTTTCTACATGCTCACAAATCGACTTGCTAGCACCAACCAATATGAGTAAGAAAAGAGTACAAGTCGAGAGTTTTGCTGCAGTCAGATCTTTATCAATCCTGATTGTGCACTAAAAGCTTATCTAACACGGATCTATCGGTAATTCGAGATCTATTAGTATTGTCCATCAGTACGTCCATACAGTACCCCAAACTCACTATAGCGGGATCGGGACGTTGGATTTACTCCCTGTTTTGATACGCAACTTCACGAGGCTATGTAAACCAGTCAAGCAAAAAACCGACTAATAAACAAAAGACAAAAATACGGATATAAACAAAAAAAACACCCAAATCACAATCACACCCGGCAGCCTTATTTCCGCCTTATTGTTCCCTCTCTAGTTCACAGCAGAGCCCAATACACCCTTATCCTGTCCACCCCCTCCAGACAATCATCCTAAGAGAAGCGTAGGGACTCAAACAAAGGAGGAAACTATGTAAGAAGGGAGCCAACATCAGAAGCTGGGCAAAAACATACAAACGGCAGAGCTTCCTTCATAGAATACCAGTCGCCCGGAATACCAATAAAAAACCGGCAGAAAAAAATAGAAACAATGGAAAAAAAGAAATGGAGCAGCATTCAACAGTCTACACAAGCCCGTCGTATAAAGACAACGCCGAAACAATCGTCTCATCCCGTTTGCTTCCCTCCTTGAACTCTTCCATGTCCAGGCTGCCGTTCTCATCCTTGTCCATCATGGCGAAGATTTTCCGTACTCGCTTCTCGGGCGTATCTTCGTCTTCGGGGAGTTTGACCATGGAGCCGACCTGGAGTTCACTGCGTTAATAATGCTCAGAATGAAAGCAAGCCCAGAATTGTCTGTCTCGTACCATCTTGTAAATTGCCTCTACAATCTGAAGCATCTCGTCATAACTGATTTTGCCGTCGCCGTCAATGTCGTACAGCTGAAACGCCCAATCCAGCTTGTCCTCCATCTTACCCCTGCTGGTAACACTCAGGGCGCAGATGAATTCCTTAAAGTCGATACTACCAGACTTGTCGCTATCGAACACATTGAATACGTAATCTGCAAACGAACTCGGGTCCCCGAATGGGAAGAACTGGCGGTAGATCTTTTGAAACTCCTCTTTGGAGAGCATGCCCGACGGGCAGTCCTTCAAGAAACCTATTTTTGAGAGACCATAACGTCAGAATCATGCGCTCGTCGAAGTGAGCAAGGGACAGAGGGGACTCCAGGTCTTCTCCATCTCCTCCTGCCGACGCCGCTTACCTTTGTACCATTGCTGAAGCTCCTTCTTATCGAAGTGAGTTGACTTTTGGAGCTCGGCGAGCTGCTCCTGAGAGAGTTTTGACTGTCTAAAACGATGAACAACGTAATCAGTCAAAAATTGAGAAATCGGAGAAAAAACGGCCATGTCCGCCTAATGCACGAAAGGAGTTTCGCGATAATGATGTGGTGGTGATGAGGTGACGCCGGGCAGCTTCGACAGAGGGCAGCATTGCAGAGGTTTATATAGCCAGCCATTCTTCTTCCTCGCTCTCCTCCCCATTTTTTTGAACAGTCTTGGCCCATCTCCGCTTGTAATACGCGAACAAAAGACGGTAAAGAAGGGGATTGCGCAGCGTCACTCACGATTTACCCATGATCCGATTAAGGCGAAAGAACAGATCTTGAAAGAATCGAAAAAGGAGGCGGTGCTAGCTCGCTGGAAGAACACAGTTCTGTCCCCAAACGGTGGAAGGAGGGGCGCCGCGGTGAGGATTTCAGATCCAAAGGCTTCGACGTAATATTGCGCAATCGGCCGATGAGTCGTTTGAGTGCTCGCAGGTCCGGCGTCTGAGGCGTTTGCGCCCGGATCTCGTGATGACGTTCGTTGGATCGGTGGTTGCCCCTCGTTTCGGAGCGTCTGTTGTCGCAGCGATATCAGGATCCCGAGGCTGCTACCACGTATGAGTTCAAGTTCGTCGAACCTAGGCGGACAAACAAGTGTTCCGAGCAAGGGTAGACTCGGACGATACCGAGAGTTCAAGGCCACAAGGGGAGAGAGGAGGGGCGGGACCAAATAAAAACAACGACAAGGTGACACGCACAATACGTAGGTCGGTAGATCGGTAGGAAGGCAATTCAGGTGGGAGGTCGATCAGGAAACACACACGCACACACCAGCCAAAAGAAGTGGACAGTGCACGGCGTTCTAGAAGCGGCGTCCGTTTCGGCAAGGATCGGCCAGGCGAGTCGGTCGGGCCAGGAGGAAACGAAGGGCGAGGCCAGGAAAAAAGGGTCTGTGGTTGTTGGAGTTTTGGGCAGGCAGATTAGAATGGACAGCGGACGATGGGATGGTCTGGGGGAAAGGCGAGCCAGAGGGCCGAGGAGGGAGGGGCCATGCCATGGATTAAGGCGAAGGCGCCTTGTGACGAGGAGCAGCGCCTGTGCGTTGAGCCGCATCCAGCGCTAGGGAAGCTGCAGCGCCTATAACGCAGCGTCGGTACAGGCACGCAGCGTGGCTTCAGCGTTTGTCAGCGCATTGCGTCGTCGGGCTGTAGCGGGCCTTTACAGCGGGGTCCAGCACAATTGAAGACGTCGCATCGGAAGAGCTGGCGCCGCGTTGTCGCACCAAGGGCGGGAGCTTTTGCCCAAAAATGGCTGAAGCTGATGAACAATGCTTATCAAGACAGAACAGCCAACCATCATGAAGATGCCATTCCAGCTCAAGGTTCATGACATCTACAGCGAGTTGCTGCTACATAATTAAGAAAAAAACAAGACTTATATCTTCCATAACTCAAGTTGAGTAAAAAGCGCAAAAAAGATGGGGCTTCACCGGGATTCGAACCCGGGGCCTCCTGCAAAGGCGATTCTGAAGAATCGGGGACTTCAGGTTATTTTCCCGAAGCAGGAATCATACCACTAGACCATGAAGCCAGTTGTAGACTTGAACCCATCGGTTGAAAAGCGGGGTCAATAGTTTTGCTTATATAGGGAAGAGCGTAAATACAGCTGCAACACCGGATTGGCTGCCCGAACTGCTCCTTCGCGATCAATGTTAACCTGTATCAAACAGGAGGAAGCTCTTGCCTTGCTTGCTTTCAACACGCATCCACTTTAAATCAGGTCAACACCTAGCCAGTTTGATCCAAATACTACATCATCTTCCTTTGTTCGATAAAATTATGTGCTTGTATGATTTTCTCGGTTCATAGCACAATTATTTCTGGTTCATAGCCACTATCAGATCTTTGCCTAGTATCATCACTATGCTTCATTACTCAACTCTTCCTTCGCGCCGCAGCCCTCTTCCTCTTGGAGCCGCATTTCCTGGCAGCCAAAGCTTCGGATACAAACAAGCAAAACAATTTCATTTCGGCCCCTCCGGAATTCCATCTCAGCCACAATCATGCCCTCCTGAAGCAACAAAGCCGGCCGGAACGGAGCCAGGCCACGATGACGATGATGGAGAGTCTTGCAAGGGACCCAAGCCAAAACCGACAGCCATAGATACAGAGGCAGAAGACGTGCTCGGATTTGATCCTGCAGACTCTGAAACCTGGGGCATCAAATCTCTTCCATACTGGCACCACTCTGCCATGCTGCCAGGCTCGGGGACAGGCGGTCTTCATCATACTCGATAGTGGAAAGACATCAAATCGCCCCCGGTCCCTCGCAACAGTGAAGATGCAGACGGTGAAGGCCATGACTCTTCTCTGCTTAGCAGCCCTGCAATGCCGTCGCCTCGAGTCATATCGCAAACCAGTGACCGCTTTCTCAGGATGATTGATGAGCTCAGGCTTGATAACTCGGATCCCTCTCCGTCCTTGACGGATGATATCAAGAACATCAACCGTTACCTTCGCAACACGTCTTCTTCGTATCCCTCCCAAGGTCATGCATCTACCAGAGTTCAGTCTCCGGATTCAATGCTTCGTCCGAATAAGCTAAGCTTTACGGATTTGTCTCGCTATAGCAAGGCCAATGATCGACTCTCGAACCTTCGCTCTACTCTGTCGTCAGACGGAGACTTCGATAAGAGCAGTAGCACCGCTCCTCCAGAAGCTAGGGAGGATGCAATCGCGGCCATTACTCAGTGGCAGGGCCAGGTTCGGCCAAGAGCAGCATCATACAATAAGTACCAACTGTTGGAGAGTGCCGAGGTTTTCCCCAGCGATTCCGCCTCGCAGCAGCCGAGTCCTACCGGAGTGCATTTCCTGCCCTCGACTCCGGCTTCAGCAAAGAGCAAGGGAGGGCTTACTAGGGGAAGTGCTGAACACATGAATGGTCAGCTTGACGGAACCCACGAAGCCACTAATCAGGCTGAGAGCCCTGATCCTGCCAGCAGATCGTCAAGCGCACCCGCGAATCATGGACACCCTCACAGGCAATCCAAGCGCAAGGCATCCGCCTTTTCCCTCCGCAGCCTGACAAATTCCCTTTCTAAGCGTCCGAGATTCGATATACGGAAATGGGCCAGCGACTTTTACCGACAAGGTAGCCAGAGGCTTAACATGGCCCGGCTGAAGTGGAGGCACCAGACTCGACAGGACCGAGGCATCTTTGAGGCGTGGAGAGCTCGCCACCGCAGAGCGGCCCAGAATATGTTCCCCGACCAAAAAGAACCCAAAAAGGACTACGGAACCTTTTCGACAGAACGCAAGGTGTGTTCGAATGAGGACTGGTGGAGGGATGGCGTGAGCCGATATGAGGCGCCTAAATGGATGAATTTCAGGGGCGGTGCAACTCATACTCACGGATGACGCATTCGACGCTCATGAGGCGCGGTGGGGATGTTTTGAACAGAGTAGGCATGAAGAAAGACGCAAAGGTCTTTGGTATAGGAGAAAATAGGTATTATGCTCATTCTATGAGTGTAGAGGCAGTCTGTCTACATAACGCTTGTAAATATTCAAGGGAAAAGTTAACCAAAATTCCACCAACTCCAAGCTCTAGTGACCATCATCATAGGCTATACCTGTACACCCAACCAATAATTACTCTACCATCTTTACAGCATGTATCGAAATTTATCTGCATATCTTCGCTTCTTCCCAGGCGCAACCAGGCCCTCTTCTTCGACGGTAGAGCCGTCTGCCTGTCTCTCTTTTTCGGCTTCGTCCATTTTGCGGTTCTGACGCTTCAGATAGAAGCGGAGCAATACAGCCAATACGGTCACACTGAGCATGGCCACTGCGCAAGTTCGCATGCCGTTAGTATAATACGGCGCATCACGATCGGGATAGAGACGCGTGCCGATAAGTGGTCCGCACTGGCCAATGACTTGCATAAGGGCGAAACCGCCGCCCTGACGGCTCTGGCTGGCCTGGTTATTGATGTTCCAGGCGATGACGAGGGTGACGACGTTGAAGAAGCCGATGGCAGCGGGGTAGACTGCGAGGTAGCGGACAAAAGGCGGGATGTGGAGGACGTTGGACAAGGCGAGGATGGTGTAGCCGAGACATGAGGAGAGGGCGTGGAAGACGATGGGGGTGGTTCGCGTGGCGAGTCGATCGGACATGTGGGCGGTAAAGAGGACGATGAGGAAGGCGAGGAGGTAAGGAGGCGCGCTGAGAGCTTGGGCGGTGAGATTGTCGTGGCCCATTTCGGTGAGGATTTTGGGGAGGAAGACGGGGAGGGAGGAGTAGGCCATGTTGGTGAGGAAGAACATAGCCGGCGTGATCCAAGCGATGGGGTCGCGGAGGACTGAGAGAATCTCTTTGACCTTGAGGCCGGGTGATTTTTTGTTGGCTGTTGATGAAGAAGCTGAGGGGATTTCATGGCGGAGGCGAAGGCGGGCAACCTTCTTTTCGCGCTTGGTGAGGTAGTGGGCTGTTTGGGGAGAGTCTGGGATGACGCTCCAGGCGATGACGGAGACGATTACGGAGGGAAAGCCTTCGATGAGGAAGAGGAGGCGCCATGGGGCGATGGGGCTGAGCTTGCCGACCTTTACAATGAGCCATGCGAGCGTCGATGCGAAGCTTGTTGCGAGGGGTGCGGCTGAAGATGTCATGTTAGAAGGATATATTTATTGATAGGGAGCAGGGAGAAACGTACCAGAGATGAAGATGGCTGTGCGGAAAGCCAATTCCTGTCTCTTATAGAAGAAGCTCAAGTAGAACGGAACTCCCGTAAATCCAGCCTCTCCTATGCCCAGCAGAACGCGAAGTGTAATGAGCATCGGATACGAGACGGTAATGGCCTGCAGCGACGCCGTTATCCCCCACGTCATGACCAGCACCGAGACGTAGATGTGCGCAGGGATGAGCTTCCACAAGAGGGACATCCACTCGAACGCAATGTAGGCAATGTAGAAGGACGTGAGAGCCCATTCGTACCAGTTGTCGCGAGGGGGGTCGGATTGCAGGTCTTCGTCCATGCCGGCGATGCGCGCGTTGCCGATATCTGAGCTTTTGTTAGTCTTGCAACGATGATGGACAAATGTGAAGTCGTGGAAAAGCGGCGCAACGTACTGGATCGATCGAGGAAGCTCAACATATATAGCAGCGCCACGAAAAGCACCAGCTTGCGGTCAAACTTGCGCCTCACAGTCATTTCCTCGTCCGGCGTGTACAGCTGGAAGCTCTCCACGGAGCTGGCGCTCAGACGACGGCTTCTCCCAGCCGCTGCCGATGTTGACGGCCCGGCATCGACATAGTCTCCTTCCACGAGCCGCTCACTGCTGTGGCTGCCGCCTTTTCCTGTGGTATATGCATCCTCTCGTCTTTTGCCCGTGCTGCTGACCATCTCGAACGTCTCCGAACTGCCACCACCGACCTGGGACCGCAGATCCTCGTCTTCTTCGTCTTCGTCGTCGTACATGTCGCTGTCGTCGAGGTTGAGCTCCTGCCCCGTCTGGGCGAAGAACGGGGATTCATCGCGGTGTACGTGGTGGTAGGCCATTTGGTGCGAAAGCGAAAATCGTTATTAAAGGAGGCGACTTATACGATGTGCGCGAGGGCGTGGTTGGCTGTCGAGGGCGGTCGCCATGCGGTTGTAAAGCAACAGCTTGTCTCTATAAGACGATGCTTCTTTTCTTTTTCAAATGTCCCCCGTTTCCCTTTTTCTTTTCTCTCTCTTTTTATTCCTCCTTCTCGAGATCTCCGTATTCGCTCCCAATACGGGAATGAATTGGCGATCTCGAAATGTGATTGAGGGAGAAGATGCGGCTCCTGGTAGTATAAAAATGCCCCCCCTGCCATAATTTCGCGATAGGTAGCTCCCAGCTCCTATTACCTCTTACACGTGACAGTGTCGGGACGTCGTCATCTGCTTCTACCGAACCACCGAAGACACTTACACGTTAAAAGATGCGACGGAATTTTGACATTTATATGCTGCGATATGGCTGGTTTTTCTTTTTTTTTAATTTGTTCGTGTGACGCTTCTATATGTTGTATTGCTTTGATTTGCGTACCACTTAGGTAGGCTTAGTCGAGTTAAGTCGCAGTATCTGCTAACTAACACGCTCCTACGTTCCACGGCTTTCACAACCAATTGGTGACTCCTAGTCGCAACTTACATGCAGTATTAGAACTCGTCCTGCTGGACTCATCATCATAATAATTAACACCAATCCATAGCTACATATCAATCATCATGCCCAATACAAACGCCCAAATGGTCATTCTCCCAAGCGGCCCCAGTACCGCCCTTAAGCCATTCAACAAGCGCAGAAAGATACGGCCATCCGTCACTCAGGAGCTTCCTTCTTGCTAAACAGACGCCGTAAGCCTGCCCGAGATATCTTGTGCCGTAAAGAGTGCGGTTGGTCAGTTAACCTGGGCGCTTGTGAACGATCCTTGTTTCGCGGCTGCTCAGGCTGTGACTCGCCTTCCCCTTCGTCGCCACCTTTGCCTTGCTCCGTCGCATCGCTCTCACCATCGTCTTCATCGTCATATTCAGGTACAGCACGCTCTTCATCTCCATTGACAACAACGTACCACCCAATGGAGGCGCCAGCCTGCAGTTCGTCGCGGAGCCTTTCGAACCAATTGCCCTCATTCCGTTCTTTGACTAGAGCGTCGTATTTGGCGATTTCCTCCGAGACGTCGGCGCTCAAATCTATACGGATAACGTGGTCTGCAACATAGGCAAATGGGCGCGCTGAGATGTGTGTTTCTTCCGGGTCGTACTCCTCCAACAGCTTCACCACGGACGTCTCGTTGACCAAAACGCTATCTTCGCTGTCGGGGACACGAGATGGCGGCACGGTCAAATCATCATCCTCATGCAAAAACTTCTTCTCTGCTTGCTCTGCCGGCAATTGCTCCTCCTGAGGCTCAGATTGCTGTTTAGACTGTTCAGACTGCTCTTCATCGGGCTGGCGTAGAGGACGTTGAGGCAGGTAATCGAATTTGGTGCTCATGCGATCAAGAATGGCTGCGGAGGTGTCGCGGCCCACTATCCAACCTGAGGCGGCGTCTTCCAGATCTTCAAGGATGACGAAGATGCGAATTAGCTTGCGAGTCCAACGGAATCCGTGACATAGATAGGTCGGCATGGTGGCGGAAGATGCCTCGTTTGTCAGTACTGTAGAAGAATAGAGAGAGAGAGAGAATCGTCAAAGATCGAGGCTCATTGCAGTCTTAACCCGAAGCGCGTGCATTGGTTGAAGCACAAGGTACGTGTATGTGTGTAGGTAGGACAATGCATGCCTCCAGGATCAACAAGTAGCCCGGAAGTGAGACGGGACGGCGATCTTGTCCTCTCGAGCTTTCTATACTCTTTTTTTTCGCCCTGATGTGTATCCGACAACTCGCGGCAATTCTCTCCTCTCCTCTTATAGGTAAGCAATGGGCCAGCTCAGAGGTCGAGGAGGGTGAGGCCTCACAGGAAGTTCTGGGTGAAGCAGGAAACAGGTACAGTAAGGCTACGAAAGCTATAGGAGCGGCACACCCACGGCTCGGAATCGGGCTTGCGGCACGTGTTTACAAGCACAAATGGCCTCGTCGGCGAGCTGGTAAAACATGGCTTATTGTCACGGAGGCCGAGGCAGAGACATGGCGATTAGAGGCGGGCTTCATCATCTCAGCCAATGATTCCGAGGTCGACAGCACAGCAAAGTGAGACTGAGTCGCCAGACAGCTCTTCTTCAGCAAATGTTGTTGGCTGAGCCCACTAACGCGCGGCATCAGCTGGATCAGCCTGCTATATTTGTCAGTGCTAACGGCCATTGCATCCCTACCAGCCTACTGCGTGCGCCAGTTGGTGTCTTAGACACTGGGCTAACTAGCGCCCGAGATGCTAACTGGAGCCCGTGTGCTGAGCTTATAGCGGCTACGAGCGCGGGGGATCTGGAACTGAAATAGATGCCAACTTGGGTTCATTGTGGTTTATTATTAGCTCGGTTCTTCTCCAAGCGTTTTGCGTGCATGCTTCACTATATCTATCGACTTAAAAATACCAAGGTATCTTTTCCATGCTTCATGTTAGAGACAATATTTCTTTTTTCTGTCTTGTTCACTGACAGTCGGTTGGAATCATAAACTTATACACAGTTGCGGAGAATAAAGCGCAGCAGCCGCTGTCAGATACGCTCCACGTCTCATGCCCCAGTTTATGGAATTTACCTTTATTTGCGTTTCCACTTATTCAATTGATAGCTGCGCAGCTTAATTTCACAGTACTCGTGCTACCTAAAGAACACTAGGTATAACGTAGATAGGCAGAGCTTAGGTGGCCTGACTTATAAATTCAGCTGCCAGACTTCGCTCGTGCGTGGGCTGACCAGGGAGGTGATGTGATATATCTTGGGTACAGGGACTGCGGCACATGGACTATGGATATCTACAGCAACAATTATCGTAGCGGCTGAAAATACAAATTCTGTTGGGGGAGCCTTCTCATTAAAGACGCGGACTTGACTCATGCATCGATGTCTCGTGATACCGTGGATGAGAGAGGAGCGAGCGTAGGAATGCTTATAGCTGACGGAGCTGAGTAAGGCGTCAAACGTAAGATCATGATAACATATTCTGTTTCCAGCAATTAGTCCGGCCAATATTTGTCGTCTACATCTGGGTCTATGACAAATACCACTAGTAAGGCTGTACCGACTGCAAAAGCGCACAGGCGAGCCTTCCTGTTCGACTCTTCCATCTGCGCTTGTCGCGCCTGCCTTGGTGCCAGACTGCTTCACATGCAGCTCGCACGCGCAATGAGAAACTTCTCTCGCTATTTCATCAAGTCTTTTCCCTCTACTACTCATCCTCACCAGTTTGTCGACGTCATCCAATTTCGTTCAGGTTTCAATTTGCTAATGCCTATATGTACCCCCATTTGCTTCTCATGCTATCTTCAAACTTCAAACTTCGCGCAAGAAAAATCGAAACACCCCATACTTATCCAAAAATGCGACTATATATGCTCATCTTTGTTTATACGTTTTATGCAAGAGTGGTATATGGCAAAACAGAAAGACCAAGGAGAAAAAGACAAAATAAATCAGCGCCAATCTTCATCCATCATCAACAATCATCATTTACGATATCATGCACTGAAGGCGACTCCGCAGGAAATGTCGCGTTCAAACTGACACCTCCGTCATGCTCGATTCCTTCCATGGTCCCCAATCCAAAGTCGAAATCCATATCTTTGAGTATATCGCCAATCTCGGCGTCAGAGATATTAACATCCATATTCGTGGGCACAGCAGAGGGAAGGCTGTCCATAGCATTGTTTTCTTGCTGAATGGGCTCTCCAGATGCCAACTGTGGCAGCCTGGTGATCAACCACGTCTTGAATTTATCCAAAAGGACAGGATCATCTGCGGCGGTTGTTTCAGTCTTGAGAATCTCGCGTGCCTTGCATTTCAGCGCCATATCCGAAGGCAAAAAGCCTGTATCAATAAAGTATGCCTTGGAATATTGCTGTAGACCCCATTCCAGTTCACGAGAACAGAAAATAACAGCTGGTTTGCGATTCGGAGACGACGTCAGCTCTTCCAGGTAGCTATTGACGGCTGAGTGTCCTGCCGTGATGGCCTTGGCCCCAGTTCGCATCGCTACCTCGACGTCATTATTAACCGGGTCGTGATCCCCAAGAATGGCATATGGCGGCGCAAAGCCTGTTCCGCCTTGCTCCAGCGCCCATGCGTAGCCTGGTGGCAGACCGGGGCCAGAGTCGTGGATTATGCCAGTGTCTCTTTTGAATCGATGAAGCCATTCTGCGTTGTCGGCTGCGGTATAGTTCCAAGGGTCATCACTGCAACGATCGTTAATGTCAACTCATCAATAGGGAAATCCACAGCAACTCACTCGTCATATAAGATCCACCGAGCTTGGTATTGCAACTCCTCATCCGACGGCACGTGCCGGTTCGGATTGTTTGGCGACATGGTAGAAACGACCCACCTCCTGAGCTCCTTCTCTAGCCTTCGGTAGCAGTTGGCATCGTTGAGGAAATACTGGAATGACCTGAAGTGATTGCCATTCTCGTCAAGCCGAGCCTGAAACTCAGAAAAGGGGTTTGGCGGAGTGGTAGAAAGAGAAACTTGTGCTTTCTCAGCTGGCTTGCTGGCCATCACCCGAGGGGCCTTTGGTGAACTGGATGAAACTGAGCCAGGAGTCTTGCCAGGGTGATTCCGTGCTTTAAAAGCTGCAAGCCACTCCTGGTTATCCGCCACAGTCTGGTTCCATCCATCATCGAATTCGTAAACTATGATACGAGCCTGCCGCTGCAATTCATGATCTGTGGGCTCTCTGCCCATTGCGCGCTCTTCCCTGAGGAATGCAGCCAATTCTGTTTCCAGCCTTGAGTAGTTGTGAATTGTGGAGTCGATCGAGTTCGGATCCGTCGACCGTATAAACTTATGCTGGACGTCTTCGCTTCGAGGCAAATGCGCACGCCGACGGAATCCCTCGAGCCATTTTGTCGATGCTGTGATCAGTCTCAAAAGCCAGTTGGCCACTGCTTCAGAAGGATGAGTGCACACTTCTTCAACTCTTCCCACAATCTTGCGCGCTTCTTCTTGAAGCTCGTCATCCATGGGCGTTAGTCCCAGTAGTTGTTTGGCCTTGACATATTCGTGAAGCTGCCTCTCCATGGGGCATTCCTCGAACAAGTTATCCTTGCCGTTAATTTTCAGGGTCTGAAGCCTGTTTTCTGCTGCACCACGGAGTGGACCAAACCTAGCTTGTTTAACAATTGGATCCTGGTTCATGACAATGTCACGAAGCCACGAGGCTTGTGTCGCAATGCCTTGTAAAGACAGCAACTCGGAGGCGAAAATGATACGACATCCTTCGAGCGTCAAGTCGTCTTCGGTCGGTGCGCGGCCGTGCGTATCCCAAAAGTTGCTGCCGAAGTAGGCCAGCTCCAGCTTAATCAACTCGTAGGCATTCCTGGGCGATTCAGGCGGCGATTGGCTGGCATTATACGGCAGAGGGGATTTTCGCTCATGATGAATCAAATCTATATTTCAAAAGTTAGACGCCTTGATCTGATCTATAGGATACTGTAATGGTCTCATACAGGGAGGAATCGAGTTCTCGACCATGTCTAGCACAGGTACTTCAAAACCCCAGTCACCCTTCCAGTCCGCCATGGAATAACCAGTCTTGAAATGCTCTGCAAGATGGTCTACTCGGATTGTCCAAGTATCCATCACAATGCCGCAGAAACCACACCTCGACCGAATCTCAGGAGTTGCTACTCTCCAGGCCTTCATTGCCCATTCCATGAATTTGACATTGTGGACCAGTCGAAGGTGCTGGTTCAGGTGATCTTTTCGGTAAAAGGTTCTCTCTTCAAGAGATCTCTCTTGACATGCCGAGTGGTTGTGAGTTTCTACATGGGCATCGTCTGGGTTAACTTCGCCACAAAACACGCAACATAGCAGCCCGTTTTCCGGGTTGACAGCCCGAGGGCCGTCTGGTGCACACACCCATCTCTCCAGCGACAGATGAAGCGATTTCTCGTGGCGCTGCCAGTCATGCTTGGTTCTGAAAGTCTCTGTACAAAAGGTACACTGGAAAGTTTTGAGAGGAACAGAGAGGCTGGTTGAGCCTCCCTCGTTACCGGGCGCTGCCCTTCGCCTCCTTCGCCGTCTTGCTTTGGTAGCAAAAGGAGCGGAGCCGAATGAGCCCCACGAGTTACGGGAACCATGAGAGAACGCAGAATGAAGGGAGCCACCGCTTGAGTGAGATGTTCCCACACTGCTAGCAGAGGACTGATTACAGAGCGACCTATTGGAGCCGTCATCTGTGTAGTTGAAACTATAAGGACTGTTGAGTCCAGAGGAGATTCCAGACGACGATGATGCTGTCACAGCCCTAGCAATGGCTGTCACGGAAGCCGGTTCATGTTCAGGTGGAGAGTGCTCCCAACGCTGAAGGGGATTCATGGCTTCGAGAGCTGGCGTTCCTCGTCTCCGCGGGATATCGATGCCAGCAGACAGATTACCAACGTGGGGCGAGGTAGATCGGGGAGGTTGAGCCTTGCCACGTCGCCGGGCGTTTGCCAACCAGTTAGTGATCTGGGTTTTGTTTAGGCCTGTTTGGCGTTGAAGCATTTCTTTCTCCTCATCACTTGGATAAGGATGTCTGTTATGGGTTGACAGCCAGTTTTTGAGAATGCGGACTGACTCCCGCGAGAATCTTGCTCCAATCTTGGGCGGAGTTCCCGCCTTGGCATTGGCAATGCTATCTTCCATCGGACCAGTTGACTGCAGATTCATCAAGTCCAGGAAAGACGGGGTGCCGAGCGGTCTCACTGGTTGGATGTTGATCAGGTCTTCCTGAGTGATGGCGTTGTTGGGCATCTCGGTGGAAGACCAGGAAAGCCTGGTGGACTCGGGGTTCAGACTCTCAGGGATGACGCCTCCAAAGCTGCATTCGAGCCCAAGAGCGACGCAACTGGTGCAGTAGCCCTTGTGAACACCCTCTTGGATTTTTTTGCATGCGTATCCGCCCAAGACACAGTGGGCACAAGGGTTCTCTGGTGTCTCCCAAAGCAAGGCTTCGGTCACGTCCAAAGGGGTAGGCTCGGCGACTCCTGGCAACTGTGCAAAACTGTTGTGCTCAAAGTGTTGCAGAGCGCAGAAACTGAAGTCATCCTCATTGACATTTTCAAGGACGAGACCAATGTCATCGTCGGCAGGGTTTCCGGTAGACGACATGTTGGGTACAGGGGGATACGCAGATGCCCCAGCGTTGTCCCAGTTGACATATTCGTCCAGCTCGTCAATGGAGGTCATGTTGGTAGTTTATGTGAAAGGGCGCGCGCCGTCTTACTCCAAGCAAGAAGAAAGGCGTGCGGCTTGCATCCAACCAGAGTCCGCAGAATGACTTGCAAAGGGCGCGCAGGGTCTTGGTCAAGACGAATCGACGGAGACAAAGAGAAGTTGCCCCAGATGACCGTCCCACCTTTTGCTCCAGTCCTCAGCTAAGAATTTGTGATGAACTGTAACGATCAAAGCCAGGTCTATCTTGCAATGGGGAAAACAATGATTCAATTGAATTCTTGGTGTTGAAATGTCCAAGAAGCTGCTCTCGAGTTTGCAATAATAAGAGAAGCAACGCTCGAAGCAAGGCGGATCCGGAGCCAGTTTTGTTCATCGGTGGCCTACCGAGCCCGTACCAAGGCGGTTCTGCTATCCACGCGATCCCCAGCAAGGGCCCCTCCATACAGAAGACGAAAGAGCCCCATCTCCAACGGGCTTTGTGGCTCCCATAAGCGGTGCGGCATGGCGCTGGAGCCAGTGAGAACAGAGTCATGAGTCTGAGCCGGTGGAGCAAGCCTCAGCCGGAGCCGGGGCACGCAGAGGCAAGGATTGGCGGCATAGCGCCAGCAGGTTGTCGACATGAACTTGTCAATTTTACGCCCTTCGCTTGACAGATAGGCAACCCCATTCCGCCGTGTGCTGCGGTACTGTGTGGGGGCCACCCTCAAGCAGCAGTTTTGCTGTTGCCGCTGGAATACCCAGCACCAGCACCACGAAACAACTTCTTTTTCTTTTGTCTGCTCTGCGCTTCGTGCACAGTACCCGGACTGTCGAGGCGCTAATCTTTCCCCGCGCCCATACAGATGATATAGCCCGATCGCGGCCCTACTGGGACTCATCCCTACCGCAGAAGTGGCATGCTTAAATTCCTCGGGGCATGTGGTGTGAATAAACACGATGGTGCTGCGATTATGCCGAGTGCGGAGTGCTACGCAGATATCGTTGATCTCTGACAACATGAATCGATACCTTGAGATTTCTCCGCGAAACAGGACTGGCCCTTGCTATATTTTGACTCGGCATACGGCAATCCTGCACTACCGAGTGCTACTCCTCCCGGTACTATTACTATGCCGTTCAAATCCGTCTTCTATTGAATGGTATAAAAGCTGTGCCGGGTGTGGTCCATCCAACCAAGGTATTGTCGTATGTCGAAATACATTTTAACAGATATTGCAAGGCATACATCCACTACGGGCATGACGAAAATGAGTGTTATAGTGTCTATGGAGAAAACATTCAACTACTGTTCTTACTAATATTGCAGAATACTGCTTTATAGAAGAATGACTACCAAATGTTATATGCGATATCCCGACAATAATCTCCTTGAGCAAAACGAGCCCAAGAAATATATTCGATAGGACAACCTCTTTCCTGATTCGACTGCCTTCAATGGCCAGCGTCTCCAGATTCACTAGAGCCTATACAATACAGCGGCTAGTAAACACTAGCTCCCATGTGGTATGTGGCGGCTACTAGCATCTCACGCACAGGAGCATCGACCTCCCAACGAGCCCTTGCTAGTTCGCCTAACGTCGAGGATGGACCGATCAGAATGGATCAGAAACTATGACCACGTCGATGGATTGCCATTATTACACTAGCAGAGCAGCCAGATAACGTTACTCGTATGCCCGAGCCCGAGAAACAACTAATTTAGCACACCGCCCCACGCCATTTCGAAACCAATTGCAAATGTCCGATGCTGGAGGTTGATGGCACAACCGCGACGAAGGCTCTAGAAACTTCTTCAGCGGCCTCATGAAAGCCACGGCCTAGCTGAGGGTGTGTGAGCTGCGCTTCTAGACTTATAGGCTAACCATTAACGCACCACTTACACCGAGCGAGTTAAGTAGCATTAACCGCGGATACTAGTGGAGCCAAGTCGGATACAATCCTGCCTTGGGCCAGCTCCGAATCAGGAACTGATATTGTACTAATCAAGTCAGGGCGCTCATCTGCGTCTCATATGCGGCAGATACGCTCAGATGACTGACTCTATGACAAATGGACCGACGGCAGCTCGTTACCGCGTTTTGAGGAGCACGTGGAACATCGCCTATTTGACAAGTAAGCATCAACTAGGCGCCCGAAATATTGGACAGGGACTGCTGGAGGTAAGTGGCTTGCCCTCGCCACGTTCAAAAGCTCGGCTGAAGAAGTGAAGAAACGAAAGTGGCTCGTTTCAATGATATATGACCCTTGGAGAAGATATTGTCCAACTCCTTATGGAGCCATATCGCCAGAAGGGGACATTCCAAGGTAAGGATGATATTTGTGGTGATTTGTGACAGACTATGTTTGTTTATTCTGAACAAAGCCAGTGGCTCAACAGGCACAAGCTACCCAACAAGTGGTTTTCTCTTTTTGAACAGCTTACTTTCCAGGAATAGACTTGCATGGAGAGGCACATTTGAAAATGTTTTGCTCAAGATACCAACATTTGAGACTGAAAATTGATTGCGGTGAAAAGAGCTCTTGTATCTTTTGAATTTGATTTTGAAGTACCCAAATTTGAAATGGTATGATATCCGAAAAAGCTGGAGAGGCATTGATTTACCATTGCTTTCAATGCAAATTGCAGTTTACTCAGCAAGACAAATACGAGGGAGATGTACACTGCAAAATCCATGAGTAGAAGCAATTTTTCAATATGCTTTTTACATTAGCTCGCCGCCTGATGTTAACAATTAACGAACCAGGACTGATATGAGAAGAGGCAAGAGAGTCGATTATTCAAAGATACACAGCTCCCATCAGGTAACTCTAAGAGAGGAGATCATATCTCGAAGAATGATTGACAGTAAGATAGGACATGAAACAAAAACCTATAAACGCCTAGCCAGTGGCTGGGTAATAGATAACGATTGTATAATTAACTTCTCTTCGTTTATGAAGTCGGAAGCATGTTGGCTCTCTTTACTTTTTTGCCACTTTTGGGGTGGTAACACAGCTCCTTGCAGCCACCTGCTATCTATCTACCATAGATCATGGCATCTTCCACTCGCATCGGTTCAGATTCGGTATACCAAATGTGTCCACGTTGTTCTTCTTCAGCCATTGAAAATCGTAACGAACGCCGTACATGGTGAAGACTTTTGGAGCCAGAGGGTCCACGGGGGCATCCAGGAAGGCAAACTCTCGCGGAACAGTGGCTCAGATAATCGTTGCTGATGAACTGAAAAGTGAACTCATATATCCCGTCTTCATCGTATGTACTGTATTTCTTGGGCCCTGCTTCTTCGGGAGGTAACCATTTCTCGAAACGAACGCATTGGTCATTGGTGAGATGCATCTGACCTTCAATCTTCGTGTCGCTGTTGGGTGGCTGCTTCGCTTTGAAGCCGTAATCTTTGTCGTCTACATAGTAGGAAAATTGGACAAATTTGCGGCTCCGAGCCCACTCACAGAAGCAGTGCTTCACGTGATCGACGCAGTACACGTGGAACATTGTGTTGGCGACAGAGTTGAACGGCTGGGGCGTCTGCTCTGCTCTCGGCCTTCTGCACGGCCTTGATAGCCGCCTGTATCTTGTTCACCATGATAGCCTCTTCTTTAAGGTCGCCTTCCCTGAGCTCCTCCTGCTCTTCCTTTGCTTCAATCAGTTCCAACTTCCTTTCTTCGCGTAATTCTTTGAGACGGCAGCAGTCATCATCGTCGGGACCATTGTATGATCTCTCCAATAAGCCATCTTCGTTCATATCATCGTCTGATGCGTCTGGCGATGGACACCCGCAGTCCGAATCATGATCGCTAATATCGTAACGCACAAAGGTCTCGTCTTCGTCAGCATCAGATTCTGGTTCTGGATCTGAAAGTTCTTCGTCAAGGACATCTTGGTCTAGATCTTTGCCAATCTATTCGAGAGACACTTCTAGAGCGCGCACGCAGTGATACCACGCCGAGAGCTCTTTTGCTGGACTCATTGCCCGTAGATACTATCTATATTAATGGCAGCTACAAATTAATGAGAGCTAAAGTCAAATTGGAAACTCCCATTGGCTGGAATACAAGAAGCAGATCATGGACACAGCTTTAACATGCATTTTGCCAGACGTTTCTGGCACTTAGACCGCGTTTAGAGTTGATACTGCGACAGTGGGGCTATAATCTGGACATGCGGTGGCTGAAGTTACCAAATTCTGGGGAGTCGTTCCTAGAATTAACGTGCTAGACTGGACATCAACGCTGAATGTTGAACCAAAACCGTGTTCCATGGGGAGAATAGAAAGCGCTACGGCACTTCTCTTTGTGATATTACTATAGATGCCAGAATACCAAAAGGAGATAAAAAAGGAGAGGCGTCTAGCACAGAAATAGTCCGTTGCGGCAAACGCCACGCCTTTCGGCCGTTGGGATTTAGCGCAGAGGTTAGCTTAGCGGAACGGCATATTCCCCTTCGGCGTACTTTTTCATTATCAGATGTAAATGCGAAATTGCCGATCAGAGCACTTAAACCTTTGTCGGAACATACATGAATACCCGTGGAAACGGCTGATTAATGTCATTAATGAGGATGGCTGAGCTTGTAGTCTTGTGGCGTCATCAGTTGACGGCAGTCGAATGTTATTATTAACAAACTGACGGCTTAGTTACCGAGAGGACCTTTGTGTGACTCTCATGCTCACAAATTAGAGGCCAAGAATATTAATCCACCGTGTCTTGATTCATCTGACACCAATAATGTGGTACTACCTCTTATCTAACTGTCTCTTTAATACTGAGTGGAACACGTAGGAGCAGCAGCTCACAAAACACCAGCATTGGCAGGCCAAGCATAGCTGGCACAAGCCTCAATCATGATGCCATAAACACCACCGCCCAATACCTCTCATGAGGTCGGAAATCCCTTTGCAGGCCCAAATTCAAATTTTTCTTTCGAGTACGCCGTCCATTTGTCCCAGGCGCTGTAACATTATATCCTTTCCGGTACGCCACAGCAAATAGCTCCCAGGGAGTATTTGAAAATAGACAAGTAACAATGAATCGTAAACAGAGTCGTAGCAGAAACTCAGTAGGCGCTGATAAGGCGCCCACAACCCAACTCTTAACTGTCAGAGGAAAAAAAAAAACCACTCCATCACATCTTCATTCTCCTAATTCCATAAGTTCGCGTTCTTTTGCTGCAAGCATTTCTCTCATTCTTTCAGCCTCTCGTCTTAGTAATGCCCTGCGATCTGCCTTTATTCGTTCGTTCTCCGCATCGGCATCTCGAGGTCTGGACATTGCATTAAGTGGCGTAAATCCGCCGGCGCCTGGTAGTCTCGGGGATACGCTTGCCCCAGGAGATCTCAACGGCGGTAGCGCATATTCTCCACGATCCGCACTTGTGGGACCGGCAGCCGGTGACTCTTCGGCAGTTGTTGATGGATTAAGAATAGACCTGATGGACGAAATCCTTTTGGCGCTTTCGTGACCGTTTTCTGCACCGTTTATGGAGTCTGTCTCCGTGGCGGAGAAGGATCGTTTTCGTGCCGAGGAAATAAAGGAGGCGGGGGATAAGGACGATTGCCTGTCGTCGGCTATAGTCGAGTTCATGGGGGCAAGCGGCGCCAGTTTATTCTCGTCGTTGAGAGAAGGCGGCACACTACGAGAACCTGTGTTATGCTGGTGATAGAACGCAAGATCAGACGCGGACGCAGACGGTAATGGCGAAGTATTTCGACTCGATCGCAGGGCCGGCTCAGGCTCGATGGTCAGGGGGTGACCGGGGCGACGTCGAAGACCTAGATTTACAGATCCATCTTCATTCATGGTTCCTCTCTCTGGAGTTTGCTCCAGACCCGGAGTTTCAATGTCATCCATGCCTTCATCCATGTCCTCATCATGAGCCGCAGGGATCACGCGCTTCCGTCGTTTGATGGTGGCTTTTTTCATAGTAACTGGTCTGTGCACGCCATGGAGCTTGTAATATAGACCTGATTGATCCATCGTTAGAAACATGTATATGCGGGCTATCAGTATCACGTATCATCGAAACTCACCACAAGCATTGCAGATCGTATGCCCACTCTCATCTCTCCTCCAAAGGGGGGTGATTGTTGTCCCGCAGTTCTGACAGGCAATGATCACAGTCGTGTCTCTGTCTTGCGCTTGAAGGGCATTGACGTCGATTGGAACGGGTTCATTCTTGGTTTCCACCCGGCCGTGGCATCCGCCTTGCCGCTGCCCAACGTTGAGCTGAGCGCTCTTGGACATGCGGTTGTTGTATGCAGGACAGCCGTTACAGCCCTCGGCGCCGCCAGTGCCGTTGCAGCGGCCACCGCCTGGACAGGTGCCCGATTGAGTTGCATCGGCGGCCACATAGGTTGCACCAGCGACGTTTGGCAGCAACTTTTGTGGAGAATAGGAGCTTGATTTTGCAGGAGGTTGAGCCGAACCGCCAGCAGATACCAGATTCGGGGGCTTTTTTAGACTTGTTGGTCTAGAAGCATTTCGAGCCTTTAGATACAAGCCACATGCGTTGCAGATGGTAGCCCCTTGCGGGGATCTCCTCCAGAGGGGAGTGCGAGTGGTGTTGCAGTTACTATGAAGAGTATAAGCCAAAAATTCACGACACAACAACATCCATGGCAAACGGAGACTAACCTGCAGATTTGTCCTCCTTGCCCTTGAGCATTTACCCCGGATAATATCAATTTTTTAACCTTAGGCACGCTTGACGTGCTTCTTGGGCTACCTCCATTGGACGATACCTCTTCGTCTTTGCCTGGGCTATCTTTTGAAATCGAAGGGGCATTTCCCTCGACGTTTTTGGATCCGAAGCCATCGTTTTCGACGGAAGATCGAGCTGAGCTGATGGTACCAGATGGTGTAGTTTCGCGGTTTTTGCCCGACATGGGCCGAGAAGGTAAAGCTGTTCTTGCGGAGCCTGATTCCCGCTGGACGCCAGCAGATGGCGTCCCCGGCTGTGACGCTTCACTCATTTCCACAACACCGAGACAAGTTCGAGGAAATATCAAAACCGTCCCAGTAGATGATATTGAATAATAGAGAGATGTTCGGGCGTGGTACGAGGGCTGACAAATAATGGTGGCGCAAGCACGGGTTCGTCAACCGGCGGCCGAATAAGACATTTGCCAGCGGGAGATGGTCGGCTTCCCAGGTGGCGAATATATCACGGACGAGGTGCGCTTAGACGCCGGCAGAGACGTGCAAAACACCGAAAACCGACAGATAGATTCGGCAGCCGACGATGGTTGATGGTGTTGATGCTTGCTGTTGCTTGCTAATGGGCCGGCAGCCACGTTGTGCCGAATCCGAGCAGTCAGGAGACAAGAGGCCAAGGAAAACGAGTATCAGGGATGGTCCCGATGGGGGCCAGAAAGACGAATCAAGAGACCACAGGCTCGGCCGAGTGCTCGGGAGAGGCAGCGCAGGCGTCTGCAGCGGCGATTTAGATGCTGGGCAATGATAATACAGTGGGATAGAATGACTCCAGAAGTCTGGAAAATCAGACAACCAGGCAGGCGTCCAGGGCGTGGATGGATTTTTGGGGGGCGGGGCGCTTCTGGAAGCGAGACGAGATGAGGCAGGGCGATGCGAAGCGCTGTGATTCGATGCCAGACGCTGGAGAGTGGTTCGGGCTCTGTCGTTGTTCGCTTGTTTGGTCTTTTGATCACTTTTCCGGGCCAGACTCGAGCTGCATGCCGAGTCTTAGTTTGTGCTGCATGTACTCTGTAAAGTGGCCCCCCGATCTCTGTTTGAATCTCTCCAGATCAGCCAAAGCCCAATGCTGGTGGGACCCTGGCCAGGCCGAAGAGCGACGAGGAAGATGTTGGACCGAAGGAAGCCTTGCAGTCTCGCGGCCTTTCTGCCGGGAGGTCAATGGATGCGCGAGCAGCGGTGAGGCCGTCCAGATGTCGGCGATGCCAAGCGAGCAGACGGACTTCTTGGTCGGGAATAAATCATCTGGACACCACGTAAGAAGTCGTAGGTGGCATCCAAGAAGCGCCGCAGCCTGGGTTACTGGCGTGACTGGCGCGCTACATCGAGGCCTGGAAGCGTCACTTCAGCATGCAAAAAGGTCCCGAAGGGTCCCCCAACAGCGGCCAAACCCACTGCAAACCCACCGCGAGCCCGCCGCCAGCCCACTGTCTGTGGCAGGTAGCCAATGGCGCGACCGCTATACGGTTGCCTGGACCAGTCTGCTTACAATTGTCCGCCTCCCATTGGCTGCGGCTGTGCAAACAAGGGGCAGCCACACTGCGTCGGCCATCGGCAAGGCTAGGCCGTTTGTGGCCTGAGCCAAATTGACGCGATTAGACCGATAAGATAACGCGGCTGGCATGCTGCAATCGATACGAAGATGCTAGAGCTGCGATTCTGAGGCATCGTGTGTCTCTAGCTCCACCAGCAAGCAGACCAACAGATACTCAGAATCTCCCACAACTACTACCGATATCTCGTAACATAGCTGCCAATTGCAATCACACATCCACAACCCATCATTTTCATCTCCGTCTAAAGGCCTAGATCTCTTCCATCGTCCAAGGATGGCTTCAGACGTCGAGAGCCCCAAGCGAGAGCTCACCCCCACCGCGTCCCTCTCGTCCATCCCTCAGAAGCGCGCCTTTGACGAGGGCCACAGTCCCGCCGTGCCGTCGCCGCTGAATCCAGACGTCAAGCCCTCATCCGAAGCTCAACATGCCGACGATGCGTCGCAGTCGGGGCGCTCCAAGCCCGTCAGGGCAAAGAAGGACACCCTCAAGAAGCGCGAGGCCAAAGGCGGCGATAGCAATCCCGCCACTCCAGACCCCAAGGCTGGACGCGAGCCCGAGCCGAGCGAGAACAGACCTCTCCGGTATAAGCTGGCGCCGCCAAAGTTGTCGGACTTTGACCCTGCTCGTGGGCCTGTGATGACGCTGCATCATCAGATCGATGGGCCTGACGGACAGGCAATTGAATTCATGGAAACGTCTGATCAGTAAGACTCTCTACTTCTCCAAGCTTCTACACCAACCAATCCACTAATCACTCATAAACAAAAAGTGTTTTCAACAAGAAAAACTTTCGCTATACCCCTTGCATTGCCGACCCTCTATTTCCTGCAACACTATACTATCGACAAACAGAACCAGAGCCATTCGGACCGAGAATGAGCTTCGAGGATGCCGCAACGCACGTCTTTTTCGACAAATCTGGCCGACAGGTCACTACTGATAAAGGGTTTCGAATGGCGAGGGCCAATGTAGCCGTACGCGAAGGGAGGTGGTACTGGGAGTGCAGAGTTACACAGGGCATACAGCAGCCAAAGGACGGCGACGCAAAGCCTGTTGGCGGCCGACACGTGCGCATGGGTTGGGCCAGACGAGAAGCATCGCTTGATGCCCCTGTTGGCTTCGATGCTTACAGCTATGGTATTCGAGATGTAGCTGGCGAGAAGGTCTTTATGTCCCGGCCGAAGGAATTCTTTCCTCCTGGAGAGGGCATACGGGAAGGCGATGTCATTGGCCTCGAGATTCAGCTGCCTTCAGAGCATTTACATAGGAAAATCATGGCAGGACACTACAACCCTGCTGTAGATGCTGCCGATGAACCACCGCCGCCAACCGCAGAAGCCGCCAACGTCGTACGAGACCGAGTGCCGATCCGTTTCAAGGCGCATACTTATTTTGAGAAGATCGAATACCATACCACCAAAGAGCTAGAAGATCTTATGAATCCATCGCCGGCGGTATCAGCAAGCTCTTCCACGGACGCTCCCAGCCCAACACATCCTTCGCCTGCCTTGCGCACCCTCCCCGAGTCATACATCAGAGTCTACAAAAACGGCGTGCTAATGGGAACACCTTTCGAGAATCTCCTGGGGTTTCTCCCTCCCGCGTCAAAACCAATGCCCCAAGTCGGCGCCCGGGAAGGCCTCGATGACGGCATGCTAGGATACTATCCCGCCGTGAGCGTATTCAGGGGTGGCGCCGTGGAAGTCAACTTTGGACCAGATTTCTGGTACCCGCCAGCGGATTACGATTCTACCAATGGCGAAGTGGACATGATCCAGCCCGACGGGCTCAACAAATACTCCCTGCATGCCGTCATTGAGCGTTACCAGGAACAGATTGCGGAGGACGTTGTGTACGATATCATCGATGAAGTGGACTTTTGGATGGAAGACGGCGGCGGTGCTACGAATCAGACGGGAGCTGGCGAGAAGAGCAAAGATGTAGTCATGGCGCCTGGCAGGGAAGAGATTAAGGAACTGGTACAAGATGACTGATTTAGACGGATGCTGCATTAATCATTAACAGGTAAATAACTACATCACTGGAACCTAGCATAACATGAGATACCCATTTGCAGAAGATTACAGGAAAGCAAAACTACAATACTAATACTATTACCAAAACTTCGTGTCGTCATATCATATCCATTTCATTAAACAGTGTATCGTTCAACCATTAGAGTGAAAAGTAAGCCGCATCCCTCAAGAGCGATTCTGCTCTTCAGAAGCATCTAGCCGCGGCATTGCTGGCGTCGAAGCTCCTTCCGGCGCCGGTGATGCTCTTTGTTGCCCACCCGGAGACGTGACGATTACTGGTATGACCTCTGCGGCCTCTGCGGCCTCTGAATGTTTCTGTCCGGATTCTTCGCCGTTAGAGTCGTCCGAGAGCTCCTCAAATCGATGACTATCGGCCTCAATGCTAGGTCCAGCTTCAGATTCTTCGGTTTCACGAAGCATTCGTTCCTCGCGACCGCGCTTGTAGCAGTACCAGAGCACAACAAGCAGCACTGCGCAATCATATTAGCTCTATACACAATATTGCAAAGAAGCGACAAGGTACTCACAGCTTAGCGCAACACTCCAAATGACGTTCATGCCGATAAACGCCGGCCATCTCGACTTGAGGACCTCCACAATTGCCTTCAGCATACTAACAATGACGCCTGGCTTCTTCACCAAGTCGGCCAGATTCTGCCCCATGAGCATCCTCTTCGCCGTCCCCTTCATGCCGCCCTCAACGACCTTGATGCCCTGGCTCTCCGCCGCAGCAGCCAAAAGTTCGGGAGCCAGCGTAGTGGTCAGCTTATCGGGAAGCTGCGTGACAAGCCTCTTGAGCGACCCGGGCAGCTTCTCAAAAAGCTTGTTGATGGAGCCGTCGCGGTCCTCGATCAGCTTGGTGAGGTCGTCGTAGGCGGTGGGCACGCCGTTGACGAGGTCCTTGAAGACCTGTGTGAATCGCTGGAGGAGATCGGACGAGTCTTTGGACTCGGAGACGACTTTGTTATTTTGGGCGGAGAGGCTGAGGCGGTCAAGGACACGGGTGAGGTCCTTCTTCTCGCGCTCGGCTTCTTTAGGAGGGACGTCTTCAGTGTCTGGCTTGAGGGAGTCGCTGGAATTTGGGGTTTCCATTCCCGCAAGCTTTTTACCTCGTGTGAAAAGAAGCGACAGTCTGTTGGGCTTCTTCTCTACCTTTTCCTTTTCCTTGTCCTTTGCCTTGTCTGTTTTCTCGGCGGGTTTCGCAGACTCGTCTTCCTTTTTGGCGGTTTTTCCAGCGTCCTCTTTCTCATCATCAGTGGTCTTCTTTGACTCGGCGATGGAGGCTTCGTCGCCAGAGTGCCAATCTACATCGTAGGTGTAGATGCGCGGGGGCAGCGGCGGCGGAGAGCCATCGGTGTCCTGCGCGAGGAGTTCCTCGAGGAAGCGCTCGTCTTCAGGCTTCAGGACGGCCTGGTCAGTATGAGGCTCTGAGGTCGATGAGTCGTGGTTCTCGTCTGTCTTGGCCTCCTCATTCTTTGCAAAGGGCTTGTTCCCATCTGCTTCTGCTATGCCATCGTCTTTCTTGGCTTCCTTTACATCCTTTTCTTCCTTGTTCTTTTTGAACTTTTTGTAAGAAAAGTATTCCAACATCCTTGGCTTGTCTCGGTCGCGTAATAGTAAGGTTGAATAGCAGCGATTTGGTAGGCTAGGCAGAGGTTGTTTGTTGAGCGGATGGCTGCGCCGTATTTAGGTGTTTGAGGTAAGAATAAAGTCCGGAGGGAGCCCGTCTTTGTGATTTTGGAATCTAACATGTCTTAAGAAATCGACACGTGCATGTGATGGCGGCGAAAGAACCATCGTGCGAGTGATGTCATTGAATGCAGCCCTTAAAGCTTTAACCAATCAAAGCCGCGGCGCATCTCAAGATCCAAGGGTGCCCATTACGCTGAGCACATGGCAAAAAATGGGGTACTCAGGTACAGTGTAAATCTTAAGATCACCTAAACCTTATACTGAAACGACACTGCGAATGCAACATTTAATATTCTTAGCTGAATAGCAGCAGCATTATTCTGGGGTATCCTTTGTAAATAGTAGTCATGCTAGTTTTCCCGTCCATCCTTGGTATGCCCGATTCTCTGTACCTACCTAGGTGTACATGTCGCAACAAAAATAATCTCATCTCGTTACCAATGCTTTTCAGATCCATCATATAATTATTCCTCTTCCTCGTCTTCCTCTCCTCCCGCTTCTTCGCCCTCGCTCTCTTCCTCAGCCCCCTGCTCGCGAATGACATCGTCCACCAGCGTGTTTCTATGGCCACCGCTTCGTCTTCGGCCTCTTTGATACGCCTCAGTCATTGTGATGGCTCTCTCTCCCACATAATGATCCCCAGTCCATTCCCGAGAGCATTTGGGACAAATCGTTCCTCGTCGTGACCTCCAAAAGGCTTCTTGGCAGATATCGTGCAGTCGGAGGGTGCAGTCAGGGTCTGAGCATCTGAGCCCCCAAGTCACAATCTCTTTGCAGGCCTCACAGAACTTGATCCTTTGCCAGTCGTTTGGCTCGGCATCTGCATCGTTGTACATGTCGACCAGCCACGGGCGAAGTTCCATGAGTGCGCGGGGTGAGAGCGAGTAGAATCCTTCCCTGCTAATCTCAAACCAACCGCCTTCCACCAGACTTTCGAGAACAGTTTCCACTTCGCTGTGCTTTAGCCCTCTATCTATCGGGGCTTGTGATTGCTGTTCTTCTCCTCCTTGGCTTTCTCTGCGTGGTGGCCTCGCCAGCTTGATGGCTTGCATTTCGGTAATACAAAGCGACTCCATGCGGGGCCGGTTGAATTTCTCAAATATGGCATCGAGAACTCTTTTTATAAATGACAGCTCTTCTGGACTGTAGATTGTGGCCAGCTGAGTTTGGGGGTCAGAGGTGGTGTTTACGAGAGCAAAGATTCTCTCTTTGGTCGCCTGATGCTGCGTGCTCCGGATCTCATAATCAAACAAAGACACCGCACTAGAAGCTTTGTCGATGTACTTTAGAAAGATGTCTTCTGATATCTGATCAGGCCTGCATTCCTCGCTGTTGGGATTCTTTGCGTTATCGGCATTGATGATGGCTGCAATTATAGGCCGTGCCTCTGGATACGTTAATGTGCCTCTAGCAAGGAGGGCCTGGAGAAAGGCTCTATTGCCGTGACCATAGTTGGCTGGAGGCTCCATGTATCTGTAGTCTCTGGCTCGTATTATTTACAAGATGTATTTTCCCAATTGAATAAGCTTCAGCGAAATGTCGTGATGTTGGAAGAGCTTTGAGATTCTTATCGGTGGCCATTATCGCAAAAACGCGTGCACGCGTTGCTCTCATTAATGAGCTGTGGCGGTGCGTGGCTTGATTTTCAGAGCAGAGGGCAGCAGCAGTTACAAGCGCGGGTGATCCCATATCTCAAGTCAATGATTCAATTTCTCAGGGCCGTCTTGCCGATTAATTACAAGAAAAGGTTTAACCAACAAGATGTTTGAAACCAAAGAATAATGAACAGAGGGTGCTTTCAGTCATCGCCCATATAGGTACTTTTACATATCCCCAGGTCTCGAACCGGTACATGGCATATTCAAGTGGAAGCGATTCAACCAATTGGCATCATTAATCTTGATATGGATAGTAATCTTCTTGCCAATATCGCTCAATTGAAAACATCTTTGATAGTTGTGTTTGATTGGAGATTGACACTTCATGAAATTTGGTACATGTTTGCATTTAACGACTGCGCCACAGTCTGATGAGTCATCCAATCTCACTGGCCAACCGCTACACGTCGGCTTTGTCGTTAGAAGCAGTCAATTCATCATTGCGTCAAAACAGAGCAAATAGTCAATCTATTAAAATCCTTCGTGGTATCGAGGCACAAAAACGCCTTGCAAGCGAAGACTATCAATCATCTCATTGAGACGCCATTCTTTTTATGAATCACGCTTAGAGCAATTCTTTGAAATATCTTCCAGTATTCTTCTTCATTCGAGGACGACCCAACAGCGCGCCCCTTGAGCTATTCGAATTGGCAAACATCTGTTCGGACAACAACTGCACAATCATCTACGTCTATTCTCCTTAGCTAAGGTACTTGTATGAGATATACAACTTCTTTAAAGTCCACCTCGAATCAAGGAGTCTCGTGACCCACGTGTGGTGTGTGGTCGTGAGGGAGGCAGAACATCGTCAGCTCGTCTGGGGCGAGTGAGACGGGCGCTATCACAGGTTAGAAGTCATGGACACCAAAGATTTTGATGTGATCCGCATTGCAAGAAGCGATGGAGCAGACACCGGGCCAGGATATTGGCCGGTGACAACACCAGCGCCAGCCGCCAACGCTGCGAAGAAGCCAGCCAAGGAAGCTGCTGCTGCAGACAAAACTCCGCGCACAAAACCACAGATGACGAGGTTGGCCGAAGACGACCCAAGATTTGTAGAGTGGCGGATAAAGCTGGGGATTCTGCTGAAACAGGAGCTATCCCCCAATCCAGATGGTGAGTTGTTCGCCCAAGCGAAGAAAGTATGATGATGCCACCAGGACACAGCCTAATGGATTTTTTATGCAGAGGGAAACCCGTGGTACGTGAACTTTCCACAACGGTATTGGCTATATGAGAAATCCAAGCATCTTTGGGTTTCTGGATACCCTACCAAGTCAAAGCTATTCAAAAGCCCACAGGAGTTCGGTGTCCATTTAATATGGCTGCTATCGGCATCCAAAGACTACGGCGATTGCTGCTGTGTTCATTGCAACATACCCGCTCCTTCAAAGGCTTCGTATGCTCCGGAAGAGCAAGCGATCAGCCAAAGTCTAACTCAAGGCTCGATCCCTGTCCCGGGTCATTCTCCGATTCCACCTCCTATTCAAGCCCCAGCCGACCAGTCTTCAGTGAGGGCCGACAAACTTGAGAGGCCGGTCAAGCAGACGCCCGTTCCGTTACCCCCCATCCCCGGTCAATCATCCTACAGACCGCCCAATATTACGCCTCATCCTCAAGGAGGCCAGCAGCCTCTGCAGCCGGCACAGCAAAAATCCATCCAGCAGACTCCTGTACCAATACCCACGCCTATTCAACCGCGAGAGCCGATACAGTCGGCTCAACCCACCCAGGTTTTGCAACCGACGTCATCCCAGCCACCTCCCTTAGCTGTTACCAATCCTTCAACTCCAGTGCCTGTTCCTGCAGCTGCAGCGCCTACACCGCTCCAGCTGCAGCCGGCCCAGCAGACACTTCAGCAGCAGACACTTCAGCAGCAGCTGGTTCCGCAGCAGACGAACCAACAACAGGCAGCTCAGCAACCAAAACCTCAGGCTATACAATGGTCACTTAAGGGCTCATTGCTTTTCCGAGCTGGAGAGCTGGTATGGTATCAGACAGGCAATACCTGGCGCCTTGGGATTATTGCTTCGCCCCCTAACAACACCCCTAATGGGATGGTGTTTGATTTACTGCCTTTGGGCCACGCCACGGTTCCTCAGGTCAATGTCTCAAAGATTGAGGCCGATTTGCGGCCTTTCTACTGCTATAGTGTACCCTCTGTTGACATTGCAGAGCTCAAAGACAAAATATTCGATGAGATTCCGTGGGAAAACTTGTTTCAATCTGCTGGCAATAACTCTGTTCGTCGAGACCTTCTCAATCTAGACGCCTCCAAGATGGCCGCGTCGAAAGTCGACTTTTCCCATTCCCTCTGGACTCGCCGTGGCGACGATCCTACCGGCAAGGCCGTGTCATATTTCGGATGTTTCTTCGGTGCCGAGCGTCTCGAAATCGGCGACACCGTGCGGGTGAAAATGGCAGGGGCAGAGGCCAACTCCAGCCTGACCACGGTGATGGGTTTGCTGCATATATTTACTAGTGCAGACTATCCTGGCTCAATCTTCTTTCGTGGACCAATCTACCAGCTGGCAAAGGGGCCCGGCGTGGCTGGCACCGTCATTGACGATGAAAAGGATAAGCTCCCACTCGCCATGCAAGACGAGATCCGGTGGCGTACCCAGGTCACGCAGAGCCGGCAGTGGTGCTGGGTGCTCGTCAAGGACAACGTGGTGTTTAAGGAACAGTCTATTCGAGGTCGCTTTTACCCGACGCATCGGCTAATGCCGATTTACAATCCGAATGAGTTTGGGGCCCTGGTCGCGGGGCAGCAGCCGTTGAGAGATCAGCATATATACTTGAACAACCGTATGGACGGTGCTGGAGGGAGGCATATTGGACGCAAGGCGAATCGGATGGACACGTTGGGACCGTGCGTTCCACCGACAGCGAGAGTGGTGCTTGAACCACATATCTTGGAGGAGTAGACTTCTCTCTGGTTTTCCGATGGATCTGTGTTTGATGAGCTGTGGAGCGATACATGAAGATGGTGGACGAGATAGCGAAATACATTGGGCGAAGACAGTGTTGGAATACATGGCAGGATCTTCTATAATGGCAGTAGTGGTAATTGGTATAATACATAAAGACATTACTTCTCTAGGCAGCAAAAGTCACAAAAAATAAACACCTTTATATATGTACTACATTCCAACGGCAGATTTGCTTGCCTTTATGAACACTTTTAGCGGACATTAGCATTTGATATACTTCTAGAGCTGTACTCAGCCAAGCCATTTATATGTCTCTGTCAACTGCCCAGCTATTTGGCCAGCCAGACAAGTCACACCCTCTACTCTCAAATTATAACTTTTCTCTCCCTAGTTTCGCATAGTAGAGCTATTAGCCCTGTGATATGAAACTCCCTTCTAGCCAAGTTGTTGACTTATATACATGCCTCTGATTACGTATCTCACACAAGGTTGTGGGATCCTACTTTTGCCTAAGTCTACAAGCCGAATTTACGTGCAATAGCACACTCTATATGCTGCTTCATTTTTCATCATAAACTCCTTCCTGCTGCTTCTCGTTCATCAGTTTTGATTTGAGAGAATTATTAATGATAGAATCCTAAAGCGTACCTATGTGTTGTTTGACGTCATGTCTCGTTGAATAGAGCCAGGTTTCCTCCAATATACAGCTGTATACATGTACATTGTCAACATGCCTGCAGATTCATATCTCTACAGTGTAGTAGTATTTCTTCAGTCCCATTTGTTATCCTTCCTATACAAGAACTTCTTATAGGTACCTACTAAGAAGCTGAGTTGGGTGTATGTATATCTTGGTAATATGTACTACTGTTCTTCATAGTCTCGTCCACATTCAAGGTGGATTAAAGATGAAACCCTTTTTTGTAAGCTTCTTCTCGCGACAAGAAATAATAACATTTCTAGCTTATTGGAGTGCCTATCTTGCAAGAAAGGCTTGATGTTGGCAGCCGCACAGGCAATATCGCTGGAGTAATGGCAGCAAGTGTAGGGTAAGAAAATTGCAAACGACAGGGAGAACTATCGTCAAATCAAGGAGCTACAGGCAAGTACATGTACATGTATTCAAAATGCACATTTACTAAAATTGTCACTCAAACAACCCTTCTCCCGTCTTCCCAACTACCTTCGGGCGCCACCCCGTTTCCTGGTGACGTTTTTTCCCCTTGTAACAGGGTGTAAAAAGCTTTTCCCGGCTCCGTCAGCCTTTTAGAGGCATGAACAGGCTCACCAGAGCAGTCACCAGAGGCAATCCCTTGTAGAAACCGTTACCAGAAACACCCCTGGCGCGCGAAGGTATGTCCTATCTCAGCCCCCATTGTCTATAGTCTAGAGGGAAGTTCACAGAGAGTCTCTAGAATAGGAACAGAATCTCCTGCCGAATGGCCCTATGCCAGAGATGGGTTACTGCGTTCTGCCCGCCCCTTCTGTCAGCCATTTTGTTCCAGAATGGGCGGTACTATGTAAAGCGTAAAGCTGCCACAACTGCATGGGCGCTTGGCAGCTGAAGCTCATTAGCCCAAGCAAGGCCTAGCGAGGACAGTCTTTTTCCTGTTGCGCGGAGCAAGGGAGAGGGAGTTTTGGTTTAGTGCATTGAGCCATTTACTATCCTCCGTACTGCAACTACTAGTCCGAAGAGCCTGTCCTGTCAACAAGAGATATGCACAGTTAGCAGCAGACTTGGCACAGGTTGAGCATGCCGCAGTGATGTAGGGATATGCTCGCCTCAAACGCCATTTCCATGTTGCTTTGCTAGCCCAAACATGCCCCAGCGCTGCGCTATCATACGATGGTTTGCCCAAAAGCAGAAGGGCGCAACTTAGGCTAATACCTACAGTACAAGATAGTATGCCCCGGGAGTAGTAGCAACGGTGTGGTGCCATCATCGTCAAGCGCCCCGTCAACATGAATTGGCGGTGCCAGACCCAGGCCCAAGGTATGATGCAGGACGCGCCGCCGACACATGGAAGTTGTTCGTTCCGGCCGATGGCCCACAGCGAGCTGCAGCGAAAAAGTCGGGTTGATTGCCGGCCCAGTGCGAGAGCGATCGGATACTACCAGCAGTCTAGTCTAGCTGGTGAGACCACATGCGCCTTTCAACTAGTCTTGTATACTGCTAGAAGCTTAGGTAGATCTGGCTGACGCTGCGGGTGAGATTTTGAACGCCTGGCACTTTTTGCGGCACTGGCGTTGTTTGGACCCAGCTATCCGGAGCTCAGTCAGGGAGCAAGCAAGCATCAACACAAAGCACGTCTGAGAATTTTGATGTCTTCACATGTAAATAGCGTTGCAGATATGCAGTATATCTCTGCGTGCTGGGATCACACAGCTCGGATCACACAGCTTGATTCTGCGAGTTGTTTTTCCATAAGAACGAGGGGTTCGATACCATCCGCCTGATAGAAGTACTTGTAGCCAACGAGCTGCGAGGCGCTTGATTGATTGGTGGTCGGATCCGAAACGGGGACATGACTGCATGCCGAATATGCATATTTATAGACTCACCAAGCCGTACATGCTAACTAGAGACACCTCGAGGATATTGCGATACTGACATCATTCTTCTTGTTCCAAGACATCTTGCTGAGGGTATACCTGCTATTTGCGACCTGCAGAATCTCCCCTAACCATGCGGTACACACACCGAAAACCCCCTCGCTTGGCTAGAGTCGGAAATGCAAAGGGGAGCTGTTTGCCGCTACCCTGCCGATATATGGAGTATCAAGTACGGAGCACGTTGCGTGCCATCTCCGCAAAAACTCTCTTGTTATCGGCATTGCTACCCACAGGACGGCAAATGGGTGTGAACGATTTGGAAATTGCGTTATACAGTACTGTACGAAAGACGGAGTACGAGACTCTCTGCCCAAGGTCTTGCTGTCAATGTCGGTGAGCCAAAGAATAGGCCGATGGCTCACACTTGCATGTAGGTACATGTATTTCCGTGCCCATATTCAGTTTAGCAGCCCGTCCTTATTCTTCGCCATTTCCTCTACCATCGGCAAAGGTAAAAAGAAGGCCGCGGAAACGGAAATAAAGCTGTGACCGCCAGCAGATGAAAAGTGCAGTAAGCGATCGCACTGTGGATCTGCTGCACATGGCTCGTGGTGATGGACGCTTACAGCACATTTAGAGAGCATCGGGCCTTGTCACCGTTGAGCGTGGAAGTCTGTGGCTGGCCCGTAAGTTCCGCTGCTCGTTACGTACTTGTACAACTGCAGGCATCTTCGCCTCTCAGTCCACCAAGGAGACTAGAGCCAGAGCCAGAGCCAGAGCATGCTCCTCTGATTGATGCTACCCAAGTCGCAACTGGGTGTACAGTACAGGGGCCAGGCCAAGCCGCGGAAACGCTGCCCGAGCTAGGGGATCCGTACATGCTGCATAATTGCTGCTTTCGAGCTTGCCGGGGGTCTCAAATTAGCGGGCGAGCTCTTGGGCTAAGCCGAGGGAGAGTTGACACATCAGATAATGGGTAGCGCGCCGCCACAGTGCCAGGAATTTCGGCGACTCGTGCGGGGGCTTGATGCCAGTCTGTCGGGCCAGCTTCCCTTTTCGATGCTGGGCGGTCTCTGTGATGTGCAGCATCAGCGAGCCTGGAGGACGCTGTGAGGCGGCATTTGGCCATTCTAGAAGCGTGCTGGGCTGGAAAATTTCAAGACATGGTGCCCGCAAATGGCGCAGGCTCGTATGGGGATGAACCCTTGATGTGTATAGTCTAGTCTAGTCTACATACCTCTGTACCGTAGTCTCGCCTAACGTCTCCTTCGTGTGGCTGTCTAGTCCTAGAGTGACAGACAGCGCGAAGGCCGAGCTGTTGATTGCTACTCGTACCTGGTAGTCGGGATGGGGAGCACTCGCAGCGCCCAGTTGGCGATATTGTGCTTGTCCACGCTGCCAGCACAGACCAGCGGCAGAAATGGCCGCAGCAAGGGAGGCTAATTTCCCGTTTCCGCAGCTCACATGGACGGGTCTATAATAGACCTTTTTGGGGGTGGATGATGATAAGCAGGTTTGTATGGGCTGTGGAAGCCGGTACGAATTTGTTATTCGCCAGGATTTTCGTGCAAAGTAGAGTATACATATATTGAACGTGCTAGTAGTAGCTTGCTCCTTGCATCATGCGAAATATTGGTTGAATTAAGTTGGCGAATGCTTGGACTTGAATCTGTACTACCGCTCAATGTTACTTTGGTGCATATAGTTGTTGGTGGTGGTCTTGAAAGTTGTTTAATCTTTGAGACGTCATTGGAAACGCACTTGTTCAATGAAAACAAATACAAATGTAAATACAAAAAGAGCATCTGCTGGGATACATCCGACGTCCTGGGATGACTTTAGAAACTACCGAAGTCGTCAACGACAGGCCCCCTGGATCACGTCTGCCGAAGGCTAGGGCCGGCAGCAACGAAGAAGAGAATGGGTCTCTCGGTGAACTTGTAGAGTCTTTCTTTAAGACTTGAATAAGAAATACTGAGAGTGGTTACTGCTGAGACCAGCACTGCTGGTGCGGGCTGATGTAGCCGACTTTTGATAGGACGAGAATACGGTGCCATGCTAGCTTCGCCAGGATCAAGTCGGGGAATTCCATCCACTGCCATGTGCTTGAGCCCGAAAAGCTGCCTAGAGGGCTCAAACTTGTTTCATGTCTTGCCTCCGTAGAGATTCTGCAACAAATGCCTGTCTTCTGAAGTAAATCTCCATCTGCGGGCGGCGTACAGTTCCACGTGTATGAGCAGCCAGATTAAGCCGGGATTCGTCGGGAGCCCCCCCCCCCCCACCTTTCCATGACCTGGCCACGTCTATGCAGTGTTCGAGTTTGCCAGCAGCGCTCACTCACTTACAGCGGACGATTCGCACGCCCCAGCACATGCGCCTTGCGCCGACAGACGCAGGACGTGCTGCAGCGCTACTGCATGCTGTGCGCGCAGAAACGGCGTGCCGTCTCCAGTAATGTCCATCAGTCTCGCCCCAAAGCCCGACCGGCCGCTGCTGGACCCGACGGGCTGGGTGCGGATTGACGGGAGTCGCTGGCTGGTGCTCCCGCTGGCAGCTCCCGTAACACACCATCCTCCCAGAGAGCTGGGTCGAGGACGCTGGTCCGCCCAACCACAGACGACGGCCCCGTGGACCCTCGTGCATGGACGGCGCTGTGTGTTTTCCTAGAACGCTGGACAGACCCCGCGCGTGCTCCGGTGCGTTGGACAGGCCCATCGAAGCCCCATCGTCGCCCGTTGCTAATTGCTAGGGAGTGGGGGGGTTTTGGAAATAGGAGCTTCGCCCCATGAGTCGCGCGCTTGCGAGACGAGACGGGAGACGAGAGACGGAAGACGAGTACAGTAGAGCAGAGCAGATAGTCTTGCTGCACGCAGTTGTTTTTTTTGTGACCTCGTGCCGGTTTGTGCGTCAATGCTGTCATGTTGTAACAGGCTGAGATGGTAGCAAGAGGAGTCCTGCACTGACAGGTGGCGTGTACAACAAGAGCCGCCCTTGCTGGCCTGCTGCAGGATCCATGGGCTGGGAATTCATTAGTCGCGATGATTCTTCCCAGGCAAAGGATGACGATTCGGACCCTCTGCCCTTTTTGCCCTTGCAGAATACGGAGTAACGTTGTCTGACTAACCAGGCGCTGGTAGTGCCTTGTAGTGCCCTGTAAGTGCCTTGGCTGAGGCAGGGAGTCTGTCAAGGCGAGAACCATCCCAGGTTGCTGGTGCCGGTCCGGTGCAAATGCGCGTAAGCCGACACTGTGCAGCTGCGCTCTAGTGTCGATGCCCTCTGCCTGCCGGAGCACCGTCCATCGCCGTGGCGTCCACACCGTGCCCGCACTGGGCGAGCCGCTATTGCGAGCTAGGCACCGCTGAAGCTGCAGGCGTGCCGGACCTGGCCTGACCTGGCATTAGTGCTAGCCATACCTGTAATAACCAAGGGAACCACCCTCTCGGTCCTCGCAAGACGCTGTGCAACCTGTCTCTCTCCTCCGACTCTAATCTCTGCACACCACCGCTCCTCGCTGCGGCCTCGTCGAATCCGCCTTCAACTTCAATCGCAGCAACTCGCCGGCTGATGCGCTGTGGTTTTTTTTTAAATTCCGAGGCCCTCGTCGCTCCATTCCTAGGCCCGGGCCCTTGCGCCGCTTGTCGATTCCAATTCCAGCCTGTCCAACACTCAGCCGCACCGACGAAAAAACCCACGACCCTGAAGGATCGCCGTTTACCGTAGTAGCCGCTACCATTGCCGAAACAAAAGCAAAGGGGAAAAAAACAACCAGAGCCTGCAGGAAAAAGAAAGGAAGGAATTTTCCGGCAACGATTCCGATTGTTTCGACGGGTCACATCGGATTCCTTTTGCGATACCCATCTACCAGCCTGTCGGACTCCTTACGAAGCCCTTTTTTTTTTTTTCTTGAAGGTGTTCACCTACTGAGACAACCACTGCCGTCGCCCGCACGCCAACCAACAGCATCATGAGCTCTTCCGCCCAACCTGCGGAGCCCGTGCCAAAGGCCGATAGAGAGAGGAAGGGAATTGTCAAGGTGTTTGCCAAGGTCAAGGGCGTTTTGCGAAGAACTGGCACTGAGCGCCAACCGTCTGCTGCCGCCAGAAGCGGTGCTGTCGCTACAGCTGCCACAACTCCTGGAACCAAGACTGAGGATGCTCCCAAGCTGTATGTGTGACATCGAATTGTTCTTGGGATTCTTTTTTTCTCATTGGGCTGCCCTGCTTTGCTCACTTACTGTGAATGATACTCACAAGCACCCTTCACGCTGGGCTTTACAAAGCGCGCCTGTAACTGCGGCTTATGTCCGACTGAGAGTATCGTGCTAACACAATCTTGACATAGTATCAGCCATGTCGACGCCAAAGCTGCAGAGGCTAGAGCTCTCTATGAGGCCATGCCCGGTGTCAGCCGGCTCTCTAAGCTGGAGCTGTTTGAAGAGCGGGCAAAGAAGCTGAATGAGCGATTTGGCCTGGAGATTCATCCCATGGAATGGCAGAGCGCCATCCCCAGCGACACCGTCCTTCGCATGGATAAACCCATTCGAATGCGCATTCGACGGACCTGCCATCGCTGCAACGCTACCTTTGGCGCCACCAAGGAATGCCCCAACTGCAGCCATAGCCGCTGTACCAAATGCACGCGGTACCCACCAAAGCGCTCCGAGGCCGAGATCGTCGCTAGTCGTGAAAGGAGAGCCGCCCAGATCAAGGCCAACCGCGAGAATGCCCCGATACTGCCCGACTACGCCCCAATCGAAAAAGAGATTGTTCTTAAGCGCCCAAGCAAGACCGGGGGCCAGGATCTCATCCACAAGAAGCCCCGTCAACGTGTCCGACGAACTTGCCACGAATGCGATACACTCTTCACGGCCGGAACAAAGACATGTGAGAAGTGCAAGCATGTTCGCTGCACGGACTGTCCCAGAGACCCGTAAGTTGACACCGTCTCCCTCTGAGCGGCGACATTTAGATGGATGCTAACAATAGTGCGCGATAGGCCCAAGAAAGACAAATATCCGTTTGGCTACCCTGGCGATGCATTTGGACCAAAGAGCGTGCCTCACTACGAGTGCTTAAACTGCAAAACCGTTTATCCCACCGGGGTCGAAGACGGGACGGAATGCAGGAAATGCAAGTTTCCAAAGTCGCATGCCTCTCCTCGCGCTCTGCCTCGTAAGGTAGAACCAACACCCGACCCAGAGGTCATACGAAGGCTGCAGTCCAAGCTGGACGGCCTAAATCTCACATAGAGCCGTTGATCTTTGCTCTTCTTACCACCAACAGGCTTGTGCCAGCACCACCCGTCTTTTAGCGAATTTCATTTTCTCATCATGTTTTTGCATTCACCTTGACGTCTGCTCTGGTTTTATAGAAACGGCTTGACGACGGCAATCAATTTTATTAAAAGCGTCGATGCCGTATTGAAGTATATCCCATTCTCTCTTCATACCTCTTTTTATTTCTCCTCTACCATCCCATTTCATCTGGCGACATTTTTTCCCTCCTATTATTACTCGACGTCAGCCAAGCGAACATGCGAAATCAGCAACACTCTTTTTTCCTTTGTCATCAAATAAGTGGGAAGAGGAACAAACGAAGAAGAAACGAGCAGCGATCTATTGACTCACCGCTGTACCTAACTGGCTAGAAGAGACAACTACGTGCTGAAAAGGATGGATCGATGAGGAGGATAGTTGGCTTCTGGCGGGAACGGTCTAGCTCATTGATGTTTACGAGTCGCTGTTGTAGTTCTATTTGCTCATTTTTGACTCATATATCATTTGACTTTGTTATACCTCGAGGTGTTTTTTTTTTTTCGCGTTTCATTAATTGTCAGCGCTATATACACACACAAAAGGCGAGAGAGCACGACTGGTTCTTTATTTTCTCCGTCTTTTTTTCTCTTATTATCGTCATCTCTTTGAGTTTATCCCTATCAAATCTTTGATTTTGTCAATCCTCATTTCATTCGGGCCAGTAATGAAGCAAAACTCCAATTTGAAACACAAGGATCAATTCGATATGGTATTTACAAGTATATAAAATGCATTCAGTTCTTTTGTCTGAGCGGCAATCATGCCTGTCATGTCTTTACTACATGTCCTTATGTTTCTTCCCCAAGGGCAGCCTGCAGCAAACATACGCTGTCTGTGAGCGTTGTTTGTGGGGTTATATACGGAGTTTTGGGGTATGTGAGACGTGTTGGATAAGTGTAGATGGACTGAAATCTCTAGTCTATACATGTATAGGTGCTTTGAGAAACACCCCGGTTACAATGGATTATTATAGTACCTTGCAGGCAGTGGATAGAGCATAATGCCATCAAACATCCAGCGGCCATTGAGTAATTCAACTGAGGCTAGTGATTGCATTGGTATTTTTTCTCTTGATAAAAGATGGAAGCACATTTGGAACCTTTGCTTAGTTACCACTTGCTGACTTTGAGACTTCCATGGTCATTATATTCATCCATGGGCTAATTAAATGATGACGATCTGAGTATGGGTATGATCCTTGTTAACGAATGTACATGTTAAATTTTATATTAATAACTCTTTCTTGCATCAGGCATGATTTAGAAGACTTTTTTTTTCGGTATAGAACTGTAGATGTAATGTATTGACTGAGTGTTCCTACGCATCTTCAAGTTGGTAATTATCGTTTATCTATCACTTCAATTCGAGGTCCAATCGCAATTGGTAATTTCGCATCAACACATAACCCTAAGCATATTCGCACTGGATGGTCTTTGCATCGGTAAACCAGTATCCGTTCCATTTTCCAGTGAAACCATCGTTCCAGGTTGTCAAGTCGGCAACGCCAGGAGTGTAGATGCCGCCAGAGTTGAGGTTGCCAGAGCTGTAGACGCAGTTGTTGGGCTCAACAAACATGGAGCACACCCAGCCTATGAGTTTCAGTTGTTAAAAACTCAGAACTTTTTATGTATATAGAGATAGAGAATGGATTTGGTACTCACCAGAATCAGGACCGATTGATCCCAGAGTCTGCCATGGAATTGTCCAGCAGCCACCATTTGTCATGTCAATGTGCTGGCATAGATTTGATGGTGTCCAGTTGCTACAATTTCCCAAAACATTTAGATCATTGCAAAAGAATGTGCCGAGTTCGAGAAGACTTACGCGCCGGGGCATAGATAGACTCCGCCGCCGGGAGCACGCTCAGTCACGTTGACGGGGCTGGCGAGTCCGAGACTCAGCAAAGAGCTCGCGATGACTGTGGTGACAAACGACTTCATTTTGACCAGAAATGCCCTTGTTCTGCTTGAGTAGAAATGCTTGAGAGGTGTTTCATTCCAAGTAATATTCGGCGCAGATCTCTCGCCTTTTATACTAGCACACCGCCCATTCTATATACTACGTGTATTATGCTTGGTAAGTTATTTGGCAGAACTGAGCAAGGGGTTTGCAATAAAAAGTTCTGCATATGCTTATACGTCTGTAACTGATCGTATTCCAAAAGGGCCCGCGCTGGGGCCTAGCTTGTAACGCCCTTTGGCTACCTAGTAGCATCTCATGACTAGTGTGCGTGGCCAACATCCACATATGCGCTGTTCATGATCGAGGACGAGATTCACTACTGCTAAACATTGTGCCGATATGCCGAGTAAGCTGACAGGATACAGAAAACTCTAGGTGACTTGTGAACAGTGGCTAGTTTGATTGTGCTAGGGAATAGAGAGATGGAACTGTAGATGGGCATATACTTATAACTTCATGCGGTTTAGACTTGCTCTATTTCTGGCTAAGTACGTCTATACAAACATGTTGGGCATTAGGGTTATTCGAAGATGATGCATATACTTACTACTGCAATCATGAATGGCCGAACTACACTAGGAATTAGAAGCGTTTCGGCTTATGTCTTCTCTAAGGCTGCTATGGAGACCGGAATTTAGTCATTACGCGAGAAAGCCGAGGCGGTTGCACGCGTGTGCTCTGCATGGAGCTAGGGTTGGTCTGAATGCGTTCCATTGGGAATATGCGAACAAATGTATCATAGGTATCTATGGAACGGAGCTTCTATCCAGGGGCTTGGATCCTCATACCGCCAAAGCTCCACTTTGATAAGTCCTGGAGCTTGAACACCTGTACTGGCTAGATGTTCTTCTCTTCTCTTTTTTTTTTCCTCTGAAAAGTCTAAATGCGAGGCCTCTCCATAGCGGTATATATGGCGACAATTGTGCTCAGTATGCTGCTATGGTGCTCGGGTATTTCACAACTCTAGGCCTATCATGTTGAGCAGTGATTGGGCTACAAGATTTATGGGTTTACTATAGCTTTGCATATGCAATATGCTGACAGGGAAATTCCTGCATTCGGTTTACAAGCCGAGAAGAAACTCGATGGTGGGCATACCCAAAGTTCAAGCTAGCTGATACCCTCGAAAAGGAATTACAGTGGTTTCGTTTTTGATGGGTGGAAAAACTAGAAGCATCACGATCGGACAAATATACGAATCGCTAGCCTGTCGACCAGGGTTGAAGCGGGGGCTGAAAACAGTAAGTCCTATTTCGTGGTCAGACTGCATGAAAACAGGCGGGACGCACACCGTATAGCTCTTTAGTCTATAGACATGGTCAGATAGTGACGATGGCTGATTCCATACGAGCATGTGTTGCGTCGTCAAAGAGCAGGGCGAGGCGACGGCCCGACTTGGCTGCCTAGGAACCTATTTCTTGATTTATCTAGGTATTACATCTAGAATAGCCATGTCATCTATAATGACACAGCTTCAATGAGCTGTAGAGATGGGATTGCAGTCTTTGAGTGTTGAAAGAAGAAGAATTCCGCTCAAACCCTAAAGGAGCCTACTCAGTAGCTTCTCCAGTTAACGCTACATTCATGTTATTAGCATCCTTTCAGATTCAAGCAAGTACTGTTAAATGATGGTTGCTATTTATATTCTCAGGGACATAAACTCGGGAAGCGTGGCACAAGTGGTTCATTTGGCGTCCTCACAATGATATCTACCAGATGAGTAGTCGGCGAGAAAGCGGATCCTTGGACGCTATTTGCTCAGCACGCGTATATAAGCCGAAGCTCCTATCATCTATTCTCTTCGTCCTCTATCGTTGATAATACGTCACCGTACTACAGAACTAAGATGTCCGCCATTCCTTTTGCTAGCGATTTCCTGACCCTATTAACCATACGATGGCCTGGCTAGAGACTAGAGATCATCCCTACAATCTCTTCGACATTTACGACTCATGAAAGAGCAGGAACCTATGCCAACTTATCATAACGGTACGGTACCTAAAGAAAGAGAAAGCCAAGAACATTCGTGATCGACAATCTTGTTTTCTTCTTCTCAAATCTTGAAGCAAATCAATAATCGCAGAGGGGACTATATACTCATCTATTTTCCCCGAATACTTGAAAGCTGGATACATGTCAGGGTTGTGGTGGTGGACTTATGCTTATAGTATGTAGATGCCAGCCGTCAACCTGAGTTTGCCACGTACAAACAATAACACGTTTGGGCCATGAGATTTGGTTGGGTCCCACGTAAATTTCAGTGCCGAGTGGCGGTTGATTTGAATTCGGACCCGGTTGTGGGTCACATACATGAACATACATAGACGATCTTGCCACTGCTGAATGCTGAATTAGAAGAGGAAGCTGCAGCCTGCAGACTGGTACGTATAGAGGCTGCGGGTGCTATAAACACTGAAGCACTGGCGCCAATTCCGGCAAAGGCAATATCGTCACTCCGGCTTATCGCCGGGAAAGCGTCCAAGTACCGAGCACTGGCGCCAGTGTGACTGCGACAACGCGCTGCGGAAAATATTCACTCTAGAAGTTTCATCACCTCTCACCAACTGCATCATCTTCTGAGTCACTCCGCCATACTCTCGCAACATCAGCCGCATCCACGACCACTCCCGCCTGCAACTACTCCGGCGTGTGCTAGACTGTGCAAAGATTCACTGCACGGTCACAACATCCCCACCTTCTCCATCTCTTCTCCCAGCTATATGACCCAAGAGCCCATCAAGACTCCGACGCAGCGCCTGAGCAACAGCAACCTCGATTCCCTCTCCCTCTCCCAGCATGGCTCTCTTCCCCGCGATGCGAGTGACCTCCGTCGAGACCTCTCAGGCGGCTCCGGCCACTCTCGCCTCGTTGCGGATGACCAGCGTCAGCCCCTCCCAGACGAGAGTGGCGCCGGCGTGAATGCCGACCGGCTGGACAAGAAGCTGCGACGATTGACCCTTGACGAGGCTCAAGACGACCGCCCTTCTATGCCTGGACAGCGAATCTCCGAATATGAAAAGGCTCTGGCCTCCCAGACTGTGAAACAAGACCTTGGATTCCAGGTCGTAAAGCGCTCAGAGCCCCGCTCTGATGCAATACGCATCGACAACTTCCCTAACGGTATGTTCCCCATCGCATACTAAACACCAATGCTCTATACTAATATGCACTCACAGAGATTCTAACGCATATATTCTCGCACTTGCCGCCCGACTGCCACTCCTCGGTGGCGCTCGTGTCGAAACGATTCTGGGCGCTGGTTACCACGCATCATGCTTGGCGCATGGCTTTCATGCGCTACTTTCCAGGACATACCACCCTAGATAGCCATGTTGAAGCCGATGCTCCACCGTCTGGACTTGCTATACCGCGTGAAACTGCTATATCCTCTGATGGTTTGCGCTTCGAGACTCGATACTTCCCCCGGCTCACCTCGCTGGCTACTTGGAGAAGCGAGTATCTTTTGAGAACTCGTCACCTAAGAAGTTTGGCTCGCGGAAAGCCAGGGACTGCCCCAGGAGGGAGCTTGTCTAGCCGAGTCGGTCGCGCTGGGAAAAAGAATAGCGCAGTTTTGACCTACAACTCGAAGCTGCCTTGGCAAGTGACCAACATTCACGCTGTCTTCTTAAATGGCAAGAAGCCACCACGTGTCATCCAGGGAGCCGGTGATCTTGGTGCAGCGTCTATGAGCGATCCTACAACTGGCAAGATTGAAAAATGGGGCCTCGAAGATTTATTTACGATGCCACAGCTGGACGAAGTTGCTCCAAATCTGTTGCCGTATGGCCTAGGAGACGGACCAGCAGGCGTTCCCAACACCATGGATGTGAGCTATACTTACGGCGTAGTAGCTGGAGAGGGATTTCCAGGCGGCCGGCCGTTCTTCCGAGGCATCAACCTATCGCGCGGGCGCTACATTGGTGCAGAGATCAATACTATAGACGCCCATTTTGACATACCCAGGATTCCCGAAATGTCCGATGCAATCTGCAGTGTATGGATTGCCAAGTCATCAGCCGTCACATCAACAACACAATCGATGTGTGGCATTCTCACGGGCTCTGCGCTTGGCGTGGTCACTGCTTACTCGCTTGGCTGGGATACTACAGGCCCGAAATATGCCAACGGCGATGTCACAGCGCGATGGATCATCAGTCCAGGAGTTCCCATTATCTCGTTAAAGGTTGATGACAACTTCAACCAAAAGCGCAAGTCTTCTTCCAGGGTCTGGGCGGTAGCCCTGAATGCGTTGGGCGAAGTATACTATCTGTGCGACGTCCCTGTTGGGAAACCTGTCCGTGCCAAAGGAGAAGATATGACGCGGAATGCCTGGTACAATGGTCGTACGGTATACTGGCATCTTCTGGAGGCAACTCGCAGAGTGGCTCGGGAAGATGAGATGGACAAGAATGCAACCCGTGGATCTTATTCGCCTCGATCGCCCTCAAACGACATGCATCTCACCAAAGCGCAGCTAGTGGCAGAGGCTCGAGAAATCGAAAAATTCATGAGATACAGACCCTCTCACTTCCGCAAAGTTTGTGACGGCTGGGATATGCAGCGAAAGCTTGAAGTGGACTTCGCAAGTGATGACGGTAAAGGCGCCGGAGAGACTATCTTTGTGATTAACTGCGGCATAGTTGAAAACCGCCCTGCCAGTATCCAGCGTTATTCGCGGTCCTTGATCCCTGTACAAAAACCTCCTAGCGAATCCACGACACCCGTGGCGCCAATCTCTACGTCGCTATTCGGTAGTATTGGCGGGTTTGATCATCGAATTTCTCCGGCTTCCGAGTCTCAAACACCGCTGTCACCGCCCCCTACTCCAAAGTCACCGCCAATGCCTTCGACTGTTATTCACGACTGGTCCGACCAGCAGCTGGCACTCAGCAGCTACAGCCATGATGCTATAACGTCGGTTGCTTTAGATAACTCTCTGCCATCGCTATTCACTCTAGGGGAAGATCCCTTGCATACTGCAAATGAAGCTTCATCTACGACGAGCCCTTGGGCCGATCATGGTTCGAGAGAGATTCCAGGACGCAGAACTCGCTTCATTGTCATTGGGACCAACAGCGGCGCGGTTCTTGTTTGGAATACCCGAGATGACGACAAAACGCGCGAAATACAACCCTTGAGAATAATCCAAACCGATTCTCCTGAGATATCCGCCGTTGCGGCTACTGGATTGTACTTGGTTCATGGCGGTAGTGATGGCCTTGTCCAAGCCTGGGATCCAATGGCATCTGCAGTGGAACCTATCAGAACAATTAATTGCAAATCAAATAGTCGCGTTCCACGTCAAATGTTAGCCATGAACCCAGCACTGCGGGAAAATACTTACTCTGCTGCGGGGGCTATATTCCTCGATCCTGATCCTACAACTTTGCAGGGTGTAGTTGCTTTTGGAGCTTTCATGCGGTACTGGTCATATGGATCACAAGGTCACGCCGCAGGACGCAAGCGTCGCATTCGACACGCTGATATGGATAATCGTCTAGCTAGCCGCCGGCAAGGTGCTGCGGTGACGGACTATATCGCATCTGAGGAAGCTGAAATGTATCGAGAAGATGCACAGCAGGCTCGTGAATATAGCCGCCGTCTCAAAAGATTTGGCGCTTTGGGTGATTTGACCGAAGAAGAATCGATCCTCTATGCGCAAATGGTCTCTGAAGAAGCGTTCCACACTGAAGAGCAACTTCGAACCAGTGACTCAGCAGCTGATGCCAGTCTCGACACTGCTTCCTCCGTCAGTGAGAATCTCGAGGTTGTGACACCAGATCTCAGCATGAGCGGCCTGTCTACGTCGGAAGCCAACGGTGAGGCTGAGAGCGAGTATGAGCAGCAAATCCAACAGGCGATAAGATTATCCCTCATGGAGGGCGTTGACAATGAAGGCGGACAGTCCCAGTCCCCCATAGATACATCGCGGGGGTACAGCTCTGGCGACTTTGAGTTCCCCATCAATGTCAAGTACAAGCCTGAGAGCAGCAAGAAGGGGAAGCAACCCGAATCCAGCTCGCCGTCATCGAGCCACACGCCCGTTGGCGGACCTTCATGGCAAACCACGAATGAAGATGAAGATTTGGCTATAGCTTTGAGCTTAAGCATGCAAGATCAAGGAGGCAACTCACCGCCACCGTCTTCATCAGAGATGGATGCGGGGCTTGGTATCCAGCGTGAACAATTCCCATCTTTGCCCAGCGATGGAGTTGGAAAGGGGAAGGAGAAGGGGAAAAGCGTCCAGAGGTGGTAACGAAAAGGAGGGAAGAGAGAGAGAGAGAGAGAGAGCAGTCTCGAAGTGGAGACTGGTTGAAGGGATTTACATTCTAGAACTTGAGGTGTGACTTGCCTGCCATGCTATATTTTTTGGACAGTATTCCCGTTAGACATTTGAAACTTTACTTTAGTTCTTGCGTACAAGTTTCGACAATACAGTTTTGTTTTCCGTACAGACGGTGCTTTTCATAAAATGTGAAAGCTCGAAACACATTTTCCTTCCATTAACTATTATTGTCCTCCTCAGCAATACAACTTGATAACGGCTGCCGAGACCCAACGAGCTGATAATCTGTTGCAATATTGTACAGGTAACCTTTAATATACATCTTCTATAGCCATTGATAAGATCTACCAATGAGGGAGATATCCACAACTCTATGCTCTAGGAGTCACGATCGATCTTAAGCTCCACCAAAGTTCATATTCTTACCTGTGACAAAGCCTATACATCTCAGATCTCAAACGAATACCCAAACGCCTACTCCTGCTAAGCAAACATACAAGACACTAAGCTTTAGACGGATCGAAAACGCACCGCTTTCCTCGTCTCCGCTCTGACCTGCAGTCTCGGCAGGGAAATCCGGCATGGAAGGCGACAAGGTGGCAGTGACAGAGCTCCCTGGGTATGTCAACGTCTGAGAAGATAGGATCAAGCCATTTGGGCCTATGGTGATGGTCTGATTAGCGATGATTGTCGTTTCCATATTGTTCAGATCGCCATCTTTGTTAATCGAGTAGGTTACCCCGTTGACTACTACAAGAGAGGGTGAAAGTTTTCCCACAGTGACTCCGCCTACAATCTCATATTCTGTATTGGTGGAGTTTGCCGAGGGCCCTCCTAGAGTGGTCCCGTGGAATGATACACCCCTTGGACCGATTAAGATGGTCTCGCCGCTGACTGTTGTTTGCTTTGGAGCAATTTTCGCGCCGTAGGTGATGGTTGTAGAGTGTAGAACAATGATGGAACTACCTATAGCTGTGATCATTTCTCCCCCCGTAATGATCTCATGAGTTGGCCGGGGCGAGGGGTTCTGGAAAACTAGCGTCTCAGGGCCAACAGCTATAGTTCCTGTCCCAAGAGCAACCTTGTGGCCATTAATGGTCGTTGTAGCCAATTGTGGCGAGATGCTCAAGGTAATACCGTCAACCACAGCTTTTGTTCCTGAGATTATCACTGAAACTCCACCCAAGACCCCGGATGTGATGGCTGAGGTGGGACTGGAAGTTTCTTGAGGTGCAGGCTTTGTGACTGTTGAACCGAAACCAACAATTGCAGTCGGAAAAATTGTAAAAACGTCAGTTCCGACTGTGATGGTTGTTGTCTGGCTCGGTTTCAGGCCAGATATCGTCTGTTCATTGATAATAACTTCGTCTCCTCCAGCGGTGACCTGAAAAGTAGGAACTGGAGGTCGCTTCACGCTTCCGATAAGGTTATTGGAGATGGGTGAGGCAGTTGGCAGACTATCTATAACATCCATGGTCTTATGAACACCATCTCCAATACCAGTGATCCAAGTGGGACTAAAATCCGGAGTTGGCTCAGGTGAAAAAACCACGGCTGGGTTTTTGTCGGTTGTAATGAAGGTAATTATTCGTCGAGTAAACGAGCGATACGGTTTGATGGTGATGATTATTCCACCTTCATCTCCGCCAGTAGCATCAGGCGCTTGTGTGAGGATCTCTGGGAGATCAAACGAAAAGGTAATGGCGGGAATAGGAGCAACTAGGGCCGGTACACCGATGTCAGCTGTTGGAGAAGCCGTAGTCAGAGTCGCGACCGTCTCTGTTGCAGTTGAATTAGATACGTGGGTTGTGCTGTAGAAGGTAATGAGAGCTTCGCCTGTAGGAGAGCAGTAATTCGGCGTTTTCATGGGCGAATAAGGAGGGGTATAATCAGTACTGTTGCCGTAAAATGTGACGGTTGTAGTATAAACGATAGAATACTCGGTAACGGCTCGGTCGCTAGGCAATGAAGTACATGGCTCTATCGAAGTCGTAGTTAATAGAGAAGAATTCGTAGGAATGTTATTAAAGTTGCCGCCTGTTGTTGGGACAGCTGACGAATACCCTGACGCATCAACATTTCCACGAGCGGTAGCGGATGAGTTTGTAAATAAACTATACATTGGCGTCGATAGTCGACTAGGCTCTTTTGTTTCATTTGTACTCTCGGTTGCTGGCGGAACAGTAGTTCCGTTGAAATTGACTTCGGCGCTCGTCAGGGGCGCAATAGACGGCGAAGAAGATATTGACGGGGGTCTCGAATATGAAAATGACCTCTCTGTAGCATTATATTGTGTCGGCGGTGCGGCGGTTGTTTGAGATGTAGAAATCTTGCTATATACCGTAGCTGTCGATTCTAAGAATGTAGTCTCGACCGCGATATTACCTGTCGGTGAAAGGCCGTCTTGAACACCTTTCAAGGTGCTGTTGGTTTGGAACAGACGTCGCTGGTGGCGATGATGCAGAAAGTCTGTTTAGGCATGTGAATAACAGCGAGCATTCGGCAAGAAATCAAAAGATCAACACACCTAATCGCGTAGCTGCTGTAGCGGCCTCTATCACAGACGCTGTATAAACCAACAGCGTAACATTTGTTGCTTTCATTGCAATCTCGAAGATTGCGAGAATGATTCAAATCAATGTATGCTTGAAATGGGGCTTATGGATACAGAGCAGAACTAATCGCCATTGGGTTATAGGAGTATCATATTCTCTAAAAGTGAAGAGCAAGTCGAAGTGCTTTGCTCAAACAATGATTAGCTGCTGGATTAGGGTCTCTACTATGGTGGCGAAGTAGAATATGCGTGGGCAGGCTCAATTGGGACAGGAAAGCTCAGTTCATACTCAATGGGTACAAAGTACGCCAACATCACACATACCTAGCGGGCACTGCCGCAGTCGGCTGCAGGCGTATGCAAGCACGAGATGAGTACGAATACTGTATCGGCTGGCCCTCACACTAACGGTAGGTATTCCATATACTCTAGCAGCAGCTGGTCTTAGTGGTGCTAGGACCAACACACCATCTCAAGCTTGCAACAGGGAGATGAGGAAGTGTCGAGTAGCTCCAGCCGCTGTCGTGAGACGTGAAAGAATCTAGCCAATATTCCTGGCTGTAGTGCGGCTACACAGGCCTCCAGATGCTGCAATATGACTATCCGATCTGATAATTTTTCGTATAGAGAAAGTCGTGATGTGTTGCTGCGGGTTTGGCATGTTTGAGCTGCACGAGCGGCTGGACGCAGAGATATGATGTTCCATTAAACCCAGGCCAGGCCAAGCCTCACCAATAGACTGAGCCAATTCACCGGCCCATATTCAGCCTCCCGATATTAACGGGAACACAACGCTAAAGGCGCTCTTGTGTGGAGAGTCTGAGATGGAAGACCATGGAGCCAACCAGGCCGTGGCGCGTCTTGGGTGTTGGATTAGGGGTTTGTGACCAATAGTAATGAAAGGGAGAGCAAGGTCTTATTATCTCATTTGAAACCTCAGTGCCCTGTTCCATCTTATCGTCGAAATTTCCCGCAAGATACATATGGCTGGGCCAAGCCAAAGGATGATTTGTGTGACGCATGGCAAAGTCGCGGCTGCATATACCTGGCGGACTCTCCAAGCCTCCGATGCAGGGCGGATGCAGTGGCAAATAATGTCCTCTCATTTCAAGCTTTGCGGCTCGCTTCCCGCGATTAGCCCATGTATGGCATTGGCTGAGCTCCAGCAAAGCCAAAACCATGAACCATCTTCTTGGACGAGATTGATACGCGGATCTTACAGTAGCGGCTTGTCCAATCTCAGCTGTAAGTAACGAGCTTGTTCTCCCTTGCTAGCAGTCTTTCTCAGCGTCCAATAACGCATACGGGTGGATGATCCGTTCAAATAGCGGATGCATGAGAGTGGTTATTGCGAGCTATCTCGCAGATGGAAACTGACGTTTCTTTTTGTCCGTATTCTGAGACACTACACACTCCCTTGGCTCAGCTGGTTCCGACTGCAACGGTAATGCCGAATTCTGATCAGACGGCCTGTAATCCGCATAGCCCTTGCATTTCTAGCGGCTGTCGCTAGCAATTATGTGGAGTAGTGCGGAGGGCTTGGCATCTAGAGGCATGCCACTGATAGGCTATGTTCCTGGCGTTGCTACAAGGGCTGTGTCATGGGTCGTCTGTCTGCCTTTCTCGCTGTTGGCAGTTTTCCACTTCCTTGAGGCGAGCAGCTCGATTCTTCAGCTGCAAGGCGCTGCGGAATTGACGGTTATGGATTCGGAAACTGAGTAATGATGAACGTCGTTTGTCGCTCTGGGTGTTATCTTGGCCTGATAGCAGTTAAATGTACATAGCACTGTCTATGAATTTGTTTGCTAGAATACATACGAAGTAGACACTGTTTGACGAATCCAGTCACGAAGACCAGTCGCGACCTTGGTTCCATGACCAGCTCTGTTCAGTAATCCAGGGTAGCTTCTGAGGCAAATTGAATATCATGAGGCGCCTGTACAGTCAGTATCTGATTAAATGACTGACGCTGGGCGATGTGAGGTGTTCAATAATTTGGGTTACAATATTCTCGTCGTGTGGTTTTTCATTCATTTGCAGTGAGGAAGGAGCTTGTGCGGTCACGTTCTTTTGTAGCGAGTACAGCGGCTCTCGCCATGGCAAGGCAGCTCACTTGGAGCACTCCTCGGTCACTTATACCTCCATCACTTGTGCTGGCTGTTAACACGGGGTGCTAAAAGATAAATCCGCGTTTCACTACCTCAGTCCTGCTCCCAAACTTTGCAACCTCGCCTTACTCGTACCATCACTGGCAGAGGTCTGGACACTTGACCATCTCAGCCTGTCAAAAGCCCCCCTTAGTAAGTTTCTGATTGGAGTTGCTGGTATTGCTTCATACAGTACTCCTACTGTTAGTATTGGCAAGTAGCCGTGCTAACGCTGCTAGTGGTGCATGGCAGGGAGCTTAGCTCCGGCAGACGATCCCTCGTCAGCACTTTACTTGCGCACAAGACGTAAACGCATTCGACGAACAAGCAGCAAAGTGTTGGCGCGTGCCTGATTTTCAGCCCCCGATACTCTTGGCTACCGGCGGGATGCACAATACTGGCATGATTCCAGGCGGCAGCACTGTCCATGCTCAAATAGCCAGGCCAGTGCGTCGTATGTTACGCAGCTCATACAGACAAATTGCTCCAAACAAGAGCGTGTAATGGTGGGGCGGATAGCAATCCCGGCTCCAGCCCATCTGATCAGTGGGCCTCCATCTCCAGATGTCATGACAAGCGATGCTGATCACAGGCCTTACCCCAGTCACTCTTCTCATTTCGTAAGAGACATCTGGAGTACTCCATAGTTGGCACCGTTTTGCAGCTTCTGAGAAGAGCCGAGAGCTTCATATTCGACTAGCTGCCTTGCGTATGGAAGTCGTAGCCAGCGAGGAACATGGACATTCCGACGACATAACGCGGCTGGCAATAAACTGCTCTGTATGTCGTACTACAACAACAAATCTTGCGCGCGCTACGCCGCCACACCGAGTCCAGGGTCGCCACCAGGTCAGGTATGTGGGCAATGCGTATCAAGCTTAGCGCTGGTGCTGTCTTGTGAATGTCTGAAACATCAGGAAGCCAGAAAAAACAGAGGCAGTAAGACTATTTTCCCTGCCTCGCCCGAAATGTTTGACTTACACGACAATTGGGCCGAGAAAGCCCAGCACAGTCTGGTCACCGGATACATCTCCAAATTTCTTTCATACTGCCGCTTTTAACATTCTGCCGCTGATAGAGATGTATATTCCTACATGGTATGGTTATCGAACTGGTTGAACGACTTGATAGCGGTACATTCGTGTCAAAAGGATGATTTTCTGTAGTAAGCTAGTGCGTGTCCTCCCTGCTTTGCCTTCTAAGACATGAGGAGCGAGCTTTGCTGACCCCGAAACCATGAGTGACAGAACAGAGGCGGTCAAGCGTAGATCATCTCGGCCGATGCTAACTCAAGAACCTCTCCCAAGGGTTTGTAGACGACATCGCATCGCCACTGCTTCGAGCCGTTAGCCAATATATAGAGCTGGACACTTGGGAGATGGCTCGACTGAAGAACACATCAGCGTACCTGTATCCAGGAGGCGTAAAGCGTTCCAGGTGTAACCCCAACAGGATATTAGCAACTGAAACCATTCCCCATCTGGTCCCATTCTGGCGGCCAGGTATTAATTACTACTAGCATTAGCGCTTCCGCGAGCCATCGGCGGGTTGATGGCCGGCACAAACTGGCGTTGCTAGGCTAATCGTAGCGGGCTTCACTATTAGACATATGGGATAGGGCCCTGTCTGTCGCAAACTGATATGGAATGCTTGGAGTGGCCCCTTCCGTTGCATCTGTGGCGAGTTTGCAGATGAATAAACGTTCATCCCTGGGCAAAGCTGTCAAGGGCGGCAGCGACAAGGAAGCTCCAGGCCCCATAGCCTAGGAGATCGGCCTGGCATCTGTGCATGCTCATTAGCAGCAGCTTCCTGTCAGTGCCTGGCACAAGGGACCCTCCCCGGCCAGCCATCCGAGGCCCGTTAGAAGGTGGCCAAAGCCTTACATTTCTATCCCTTGCTGTCGTTCTTCATCATACATACAACACGATCGTATATTTTGAAAATCTCATGGTAGGAAGAACAAAGCGTTCTCGCTGCGTCAACTTGCCGGATCACGGGCTATACCGCTCTTTGAACGCTGCGGACTCCGTCACACCACGCGATTAAACCCCATGGATACAGTACCGCGGTAGCGATATAACGGAAGCTGAGAGGTTCTAATGATACCAAGCCTTGGGTTCCCAGCAGTGCCATAACTTGGGAGTCCTCCTCTTAGCGCGCGAAGTTTCGGTGTTGCAGCACTGGCGTTGACGAGATGCGTCTTGGTGCTCTAGTATTGGCGACAGTAGCTGGTATTGTCTACGCAAACGACCCGGCACCGGTGGCATTCGATGCTGGAGAATGGTATGCTACTATTCCTTTATCTTTCTGGCGACTTATGGATTTTGCAACAAGTTCAGATCCGTATCTGACCTTGACTTGGTAGGCTTGGGATTGACGGGAACTGGTCGACAATCAAAGTTTTGCTAGGGTCCAATTCAGACCTTGTCAATGTGCTCTTGAGCACATCGCTTTCCGAGATTTGGGCGATAGGACCTGGGGGATGTTTACAAAATACATCGCCATCTCAGCATGATCGAGGTCCGCCGCTTGCAAGACATGTCGGGGATCCTGCCCGTCAACATCTCACTCCTTCGTCCAGCCAGGGAGTTGAATTGGACCTCATAGAGGAACCACACTGTTCTTCTTCTCGTGGTGGAATCTATACGCCCTTTGAATCCAAACATTGGTCCTACATGGGAATCTGGCAACTTGGTTTGGATTATCTAGGATACGGTGGAAACGGCCAATATGGACTCGACACAGTTAACGCATACAGCGCCATCACCGACATTGGTTTTGGAATGTCCAATGTCCTTATGTCTGCTATCAACTCAACAGACTATTACATAGGTCTTTTTGGGCTAGGGATTACTCAAGGCAGCTTTGGTAATGAGGTAGCTCAGTCACCTTTGACCCAAGC